GCTTTTACAGTGGGGAAGACCCCGCCCACTTGCTGATTACCCTCCAGTGTTAGAGCCCTTTTTCGTTGTTTTCGCGCTTTCCAATGTGGATTTTCGGATTCAGCATAGCGAATTGGCCCAGATAAGCACAAAACCTCAAAATCGAGTTTTTGCCCGGACACTGCCTTTAAAGGCAGCGGACAGGCAAAATGGACCCCTGTCAGATTTTGGTAGTTTCGGGTAGTGGACCCCCCAAGTACACCGTAGCCCCAACCCCACATTCCAATTCATGCGCTAAGTCCTGAAAAAAAACGCTTCAAAACTCCACCAGTCCCGCCCACTTGCATTGAGTGGGCGTTATTGGTGGAAGTTTGAAGCGCTTTTTTCAGGACTTAGCGCATCAATTGGAAGTTGGGGTTGGGGCTACGGTGTACTTGGGGGGTCCACTACCCGAAACTACCAAAATCTGACAGGGGTCCATTTTGCCTGTCCACTGCCTTTAAGTTCACCTTCGTACGATCATTTTAAAGGCTGCTGGCTAAGAGCCAGTCTCAGTGACCTGTAGTTCAATTGGGATTTTCAGCGTTCCTTGGCCAAGTTCCAAAACAGACTCTTAAGAGGCGGAGCTAAGATTGTCGCGACGTCATAGGGAGCAATCGGAGACAACGAGCATGACTGTATCCTGCAGACACTCCCCGAATCGAGCTAATTAGGCTCGGGTTCCTAAGTTCCCACACCCCAGTTCAACTCCTGAGAATTAGCGCGATGCGACTATAGTAAGCTCTTCTGAGCCAGTGCATGGCAAGCACCTCTTGGTTGGCATATTCTACAGCTTTCATTGCACTGTTCTTTTGAACAATCACATTATCAACATCTCCTGCACTATTCTACGAGATTGCAAACGAAAATTATCTATCTAGACTTAAAGGATGTTCGTCGACGACAGCCCCGACTCGTGCAATCACACCATCGCGCGCATGCGTTTTTGGAGCCTTTCCAGCTTTACAGTGTGCTGCAGCGCGCGGGGAACTTGCACCTCGCAGCATTCCTGTCCTATAACCTTCTTTGTTATTTATGCCCTTTTAATCCCTTTTTCTCTGATTTTCATTTCAGGAGGAATGGAATATCGAATATCCCACAAGTCCTTTGTGTAGATCATGCAACGCTGGGGTTTAGCTACTATTAAGCCTTCCGTGAAAAACTATGGCTCTTTAACCGTTGTTTTCTAATTTTTTTTCAATTTCTATAGTGCAGGGTTCCAAAAGGTGGCGCTATCTAAGCATGGCCTACTTGGACCATCGGCCACAGGTTGCCAACTTCCAGTTTGCCAGTGTTGACTTGCTGATCCCCAGATTTCATGAGAAAATTGCATTTGTTGTGATTACGCATGTTCTTTGCATTCCTTGCTATTAGCATCCTGTCAACAACGGCAACAATCGCAAACCTGGCACTAATTCTAGGCAACCTATGGCCGATCGTTTGCTGATATGTAAATTTGTCGAATTCTTCTGGTCAGGTGAATGCAACCAGAAATTTCCAATACCCAACATAACTTGATCTAAGAATGTTCCACAAAGACGGACGCGCATTCACTTGACCAGACTTAAAAAGTTCAACAAACACAACAGCACAGAACGAAACACGTAAGTTAATATTTGCTCCAAGACGAAGGCGGTCGCCCAAATAGGTTGAAAACATGCAAAGCTGCGGCGCGCGCGCAGTTGTCAACCACAGGGCGCACGCACGCTCGGTCAACGGTCATTCACGCGAGCGTGCGCGCGACCCTTGGTTGACAATTGCCCGCGCGCCGCGTGCGCGTCAGTCTTGCATGCTGTCAACCTATTTGGGCGACCGCCTTCGTCATGGAGGAGATATTACCACTGGCCATGTTCAGAGGACGTCTTCCTACGAGAAAAAGAACTATTCAGAAAAAATAGCAAAAGGAGTAAAGCGAAAAATCTCATTGATCAGGTGTTCCTTTGAGCTTGCAAGGGCAATCCGAGCGGCGTTGCGTGTGTGGAGGAAATACCCATGGATGATGCCACGGATACATACTTTAGAACTTGTAGGATATATCCAACGGTTGAACAGGCATGAAAGGAAGGAGGAATGGGTGCGAAAGGAAGGAGGAATAGGTGCCTAAAATGGATTTCATGAAAAAAAAAGAAATGAGAAACGCTTAAATAACGAGGGAGGTTATAGGACATGGATGGTGCCAGCTGAAAATTCCCCGCGCGCTGCAGTGTACTGTAAAGCTGGAAAGGATCCAAGAACGCACTCGCGCAATGGTGTGATTACACCAATCGGAGCTGTCGTCGACGAACATCCTTTACTCAGACATTCGCAGTTGAGTCGCGCAGGAGATCCGCCCTCAAAATGGACGTTCGCACCAAAATCGTTGCACCGGCAAGAGTCATCATTTTAGTCTCGTCCCGATTAGTTATTTCAGACCGGGCCGCGTATTCAAAATAGCAAACCTGGTGAAGATCTCTGCTTCTGTTCAAGATCGAAGGTGGGCGCTCTTTTTCTTGATCTCTATCAGAATGTCTTAGGACTTTTTGGCTCACAAGGAAATGGTCAGAAGTCGAAGTGGCCAATCCATACAAGCTGCATACCTTTAAATGCAGCATAAAAAGCTGACTCTAAATCTGTCTTCGTTATCTGCAGAGCGCTCTTGTGGACGGAATTATAAGCCTTTGAAGGCCATTATTTTGCTAAGAAATTGTGCGTGTGAAGTGCAAACTTGGCCGTACAAAGCCATTCTCGGCTCAGTGTTGGACCAAAACATGCAAGTAGATCACTTCATATGACCCATACCTGGAGGTGAGCTGAAAAAGCAATAATGTGCCTAATTTCGCAATTTTTGTTTACGATTTTTTCGCAGTAAAGCTGCCCATAACTTCGCCTACAAAGGCGCTCTGCAGATATGGAAGACAGATTTGAAATCAACATTCTATGCTGCATCGAATGGTATACAGCTTGTATGGATTGGCCACTTCGACTTCTGACCATTCGCTTGTCAGCAAATTTGCGGAATGCAATTTTTCGGGCTTGAATTTGATTTACTGTTTATAGCAACCTCTAGGAGAATAATACCAAGTGTAAGCAAGCTTTGTTACCTCAATTGATTTAGAAGACGAAATATGATAAAAACTTTTGATTCGTGGCCTTAAGTGAGAGAGGCCACAAAGGACGCAAAAACCTGTTAATAAGGGCGCACAGTCGAGTAGATTTTCCTCTTGATATAGTGTGCTTACATTGAAGGTGAAATGCGGTAGAATTTGCTCGTGAACAAATAGCTACTCTTGTGACGCCGGTCAATTGCGCGCGCAAAAGGCTGGCGTTGTGGGCGTGGCTACTTGTTCACGCGCAAATTTTACCGCATTTCACCTTCAGTGCAAGCACACTATATTAAGCGGAAAATCTACTTGGTATATCTAAATTATGTATGTATGTAAATATGTGTATTAAATATATGTATGTAATCTACTTGACCGCCTCTGAACGTGACCGGGACATTATGCTGTCTCCCGCAGGTGTCCCGATTTTGTCCGGAAAGGGTTCGTCGGGACACCTGATTTTGTCGCGCACTTTTGTCCCGAAATAAAATCAGGACACCTATTTTAACACCGATTTTGGGAGTAGCGCAGGCATTCCATGACGACACCTCGTTTTGTTCTGCGCGACTCAACCGCGAATGTCTGAGTACGTCCGTGATCGCAGTTTCTGCTGCTTCCTCCTTTTTTGTATTTACTTTCACAGAGCTTTTCTTAACCACTCATTTTTAGTGAGATAAGGAAGCTATACTATTGCGTTGTGAGTTCCATTTTGTAACGTTTATAGGTTCATGGCTGTCCACGAAGGGCTAACAGGAGAAGAAACAGGACGAGTTGAATTGCTTCTGCGCCTGTGCTTTCCACACGCCAACTTTGACAAAGATGTCAGCTACACATTTGCAATCCAGGGGGACAATAGAAGCTTTTTTTCAAAGATCGTACGTGTGCACCTGGATTGGAAAAATGTAGAAGAAGGACAAGATTACCCCACGTCCATTTTTATGAAGGTCTATACTACATTAAGCTTTTCTGCTCATCTTTGGACACTCTGCTTTCGTTGCGTACCAGCGGCGTTCGATGCTCATCTGAGCGGAACACCCAAACGCCGCTGGTAGGGCAATCGCACGCCGCTCGTACGCTGTGGAACTCCGCTAGTGGGAGAATGGTACGCCGCTGGAACGCCAGGAGTATCCGCTTCATTGGATGACCGCAATTTCACTCGATTTTTGGTTATACTGATTGCAGCGCTGGTTTGGAAATTGCCATTCCGACAAATTTTATTAAGCTGAAATTAGCGCAGAAAAATCCCATTAGTTCGATCGATGGACTTCGCTGTTCGAAACCAGGAGATCACTCAGTTCGACTCAATAAGAATAACTTAAACGTCAAATACCCAGAATTGTTAGCCAGCCCCATACATGCTGAGACAGCCCAACCACTGCGTCATATCCCATGGGGGTACTACTTGTGATTACAGCGTGAGGTAATGTGATGGAACGCCGCTTGCTTGCGTTGACGGGACGCCGCTCGTCGACACAACGGTACGCCGCTGATAGCACCCTTACAGAACGCCGCTGGTACGCTAAGCCACTTAGGAAGCCGCTGGTACGCAACGAATATCAGAGTAATCGCCTTGCTGTTCACGTCCAATTTTCAGTACACATTTGATCGGTTGTCTTCTTAGATTAGAAGTGTAGAGCATGTCCATCTGACTAAATGATTGTATAATTGAAAATAATTGAGTGAAAGCTCAATTCTAGATCCCGCGGGTCTCTAAGAATGTGAGAATTGGGGAGGCGAACGACTATAGTGACCCTGAAGCTGCCAAAGAAGCTAATCTGTTCATACTCACAAAGGCATGTCCTACACTATGCAGAATAAAAGTAGATGACGTGAAAGTCATGCTTGCAGTGCGAAGTGTCATTTTATCGAAACTACGGAAACGATATCATTCCGCACTTTCCAATGCCAAAATTTTACGCTGCCGAAGATGTCACAGAACCAGGGACGGGAATAATTGCTTTAGAAGACCTTGGCGACCGCGTAAAAACGATGGACCTTTTTCCTGGTCTGTCATTAATCCAGGTACATTGCACAAGTTTCTTACAACCATTTATACTCTTGCGTTTGAGTTGGAAAGAGTTATGGATGCGTTGGCTGGGTTCCATCATCATTTCTACACCAATGCAGATCAATCGTGGGTGTCTTCCTTTGAACGAGGTTCCAAATTTGAGAAGGAGTTCCAAGATTTGCAGGCAATGATTTTTTCTTTGGAATACTTGAAATTGATCACAAGGAAGTCAAGTGCACATTTTCTCATGTGTACGTGCACGTATGACTTAATTGCAGTTTGACGCTTGCCAGATGTTTGAGAAGATTCGACCAGATTTGTTCAAATCAAAAGTATCAGCAATGAGGGAGTACTTTAGCCTTGAGGCGGCGACGAGCGCCCATCACTCTTATAAAGAATTAGGTTTGCTTCAAATGTATCTCATTGATTCTGCCGTCACCGAAACTGATATCAGGAGTCCCTCCAGCTCCAGTCCACTTCGACATGAATCCCACAAACTTATTATGGGACAAGGAAATGAGGAAGGTGAGCGAAGCTCTCTATCCAGAGATCGTCCACGCAGCGTTCCCACGCAAGTTGAATGGGTGAAATCATCAAACTTGCGCCGCAGAGGTTTTTTGCTGCAGTGTGGCTGTAGAGTGAGGCAACTAGGATGCCAATGGTCTCAATTTTGCTTCTTATTCTGAACTGAAGATGAAGATCGTTGGTTCAACATCTCATAACAACTTCGAACTTTCGTGAACTCTTTCCAGCTCATTGCAATAGTTGACTATCAACTTCTCCACACCGGTAATTTCGCTGAAGACATCGCGCGGACGTTGATGCTCACAATGTCGCGACAGCAACGATGGAGCCATACGAACGCGTGAGTTATACGAAACGAATCATTCACTTTTAATTATCTCTTGGACAATGCTCCGGCAAAAGTACTTTACAGTTTGACACCGAATTTTTTGAAATGATCGGGAATTTCTTTTCAGACTCCTCAAGCGTTACCACGACACACTAACATCACTGTCAAACGGCAATCCGCCTTACGCCATTTCCAAGGTAAAGAAATCATAGCACTCTTTGTGACTGCAGCAAACTCAATGTTCGAAGGTGTACGAGGCATACGAATGGATCTTCCCCTACTCCATGAACTTCGGATTGTTTGCTATGGCCAACTACTTTGACATGTACAATAGGCTAGAACAAGATGAGGTGAAAAGAAGAGAGATTCAAAATGAGATCACTGACAGAGCCTATGGGGCAATAATTGATGCTGAGCGATACATTCGTCTACGGCAAAACTCGCGAAGTCCTCGAAGGGTCTAACAAAATTCTACCGACAGCTCGTAATCATGCACTCCAACGCTCAAGCTTTTTTCGTTCCTCACTTCCGCTATCCTCTTCTCATACATTGATTTTAAAGGTTCTTCACTTAATCTGATGAACAAGCCATTTTATATAGATAATCTCTGCAAGACTTCCGATTACAGCTTGAAAAGCTTTTATTTCGATAATTATAGTTTCTATTACATTATGCTCATTGTTTCAAATTCATGTATCCTGTCCGTCTTTATGCTGGGATGGGTAAATTTTTGACAAGTGATAAAGAATCAATCAAGTTCTGGCACTCTCAAAGCAAATTATAAAGAGAAAACATTGCGTTCATTACTAATAGGATGGAATGGACTGTTTGCATATGTTGGAACAACATGAATAGGGAACTTGTGATGTCTCCTTGTAGATCCAGCATGTGCCAGACTTTATTCCGTTGATGTAGTGTCCAGTTTGTTGTCAACGTCTAGCTAACATAAAGATGTTTGAGAAGGGTTCTAGGAAAAGCGAAGCGCACCTTCTCATATTTGTGATTAGTTATCCTGACAAGCAGAAAAATGATACACTGTTTTGATTGTGTGGTGCTGATATCGAGAAATGTTGAGCGATTAGATTTAAGTAATAGGGGGGGGGGGGCGGAAGTTTCTCACCCGAGCCATATTCTCGCACCTAGTGATGTGCCTGCCAGGCACATTCGAGCTCGCTACAGCTACGGGCTCCTCAGGAGACCAAGACATCGCAAGCCCCACCCCCTCATTTAGTGTTCGCTCCACATGATGAAACGCAAAATTTGAAGAAACTTTCAAAATCGAAGTTCAGGAGTGAATTTGCTCCAATCAAGACCAAATTTCGGATCTAGGGGTTTTCGAGGTTGCTCTTTTTAGTAGTATGCTTTGTTTGTTGCAAAGTCGACGTTCAGCACTGGTGATGCTTGACCAAGATTAAAATTCGGATTTAGAGGTTTTCAACTACTTCAATCCAAGACCAAAACTCAGGTCTAAGGGTTCTCGAAATCGCTTTTTAGGTAACGGTATATGTTTTGCAATATCAATATCAATAGGATTTGTTTTTTTGGACAATTTTTTGCAGAAAAAAATGTTCTTTTCGCAAAAACCGGATTATTTTCATAGAATTGTGCCAGATGCATGAACACGTATGTGATTTTGTAGTGTTTTCTTCTCCTGACTTCATTCTCAAGAATATGTCAAGGTAAAGCGCTTATAATACGATTCCAACAGTTCAAAACGGCTTCCTTCCTGGTGGATCCACCACTGCACTACTCTCAGATTCGCTTTATGACTGGGTCACCGCTATGAATAAAGGTGAATCAGTGGACATTGTCTTTTTCGATTTATCTAAAGCATTCGACAGAGTTTCACACTCTAAGTTACTTTTGAAACTCGAAAACTATGGCGTACGCGGTCAGTTGCTTGCTTGGTTAGCATCTTACCTAAAAGATCGAGGGATAACTACCCGTGTTGGGAACAGTTTTTCAAGTCGTTTTTCTTGCAGCAGCGGAGTGCCCCAAGGTGGTATACTGTCACCACTCCTTTTCCTTACTTACACTGCAGAATTACCAGCCTTCTTGAAAACGCATCCCAGTGTCAAGATTCAGGTTTTTGCAGATGACATAAAAATTTACTTTTGTTACAAAGAAGCAGAGGCGAACATAGCATTTGAAGCGGTTTCTTCTTCAATAAACAAGATGGTACTTTGGTCTAAAGAGTGGGGTCTTCCAGTTAATGCTCTCAAATCGAAAGTCATGCATCTGGGAAACTGTCCACCTCACACGTACGTGTGCGACGGAATAGATCTTGAGCATTGCAGTGCCACTAGAGATTTAGGCGTTCTTGTTGACGATAAGCTCAGTTTTTCTTTACAGTATGATTCAGTCACTAAAAAGGCCCTATCCGTCCTCTTTGTTATTCTAAGAAATATTCACAGCAATGATGCAGACCTCCTAGTACGTTTGTACAAGACTTATGTTCTACCACTTCTGGAGTACGCGTCCCCCGTATGGAATCCTTTTTTGAAGAAGAATATGGAAAAGCTAGAGAAGGTTCAGAAAGCGTTCACTAGAATAATTTTTTACAGATGCTATCCTAGATCCGATTATCCTCAGTCTTTGCCTACTTACAATATGAGACTATCCGCTTTGGGTCTACGCAGTCTAAAATACAGAAGAATTTGCAATGATTTGATTTTTTGTTTTCGCATTATCCGCTTGGAAACTAGACTGAGACCAAGCAAATATTGGGTATTCAGGCCTTGTGGAAACCGAACAGGAGGTTTTGCATTGGGATATCGCAAACTAGGGAACAGGACTCTTTCAAATTCCTTCAACTCTTTCGTTTGTCGCACAGCCAGATGGCTTAGTCGGCTCCCGAATGAGATAACTTCTTGCAAAAACTCTTTAGAATTTCGCAAAAAGCTAGGCACCATAGACGTTATGCAGACTTTGAACATAGTTGACTTCTAAACACTAGATTTCAACTACTCACAAGAACATACGCTAATCTTGCACAAATTTCTAACTGTGGAAACAGTTTGTACGATTGCTACATTTTTGGAACTTTTGAGCAAGTCAGTTTACCAACGATTCGAGCAAATTTGAAGGAATCCATGAATTTTACTTTCATGCGCACTGTGTGGTCTTCTTTTGCTGGATATGTGCGTTAGATTTGCGTTTGTCGTCGCGCTTGGTGATTGATGCCCCATCTTATCACCACTAGTGACTTATGGCACGCAGATACGTGATTGATTCTGCCAGATCTATATGCCTAGTATGGAGATTGAGCCATGCATGTCGAGACAATTTTTTAGAAGGATGTAAGCTAGTTTTTTTGAAGAATTTTGTGTTTTGGACAGATGTTTTGCAGTTAACGAGCCTTTTTACAGTCTACCAATCTATTCAAGGGTTTGGAAATTTCTCCTAGCTTGGACAGCCGTTTGAGGAGATCGAAGACCAGTGAGCACTCTGCCTTGAGATCCCCCCTTCTCGCTCGCCCAGGGTCCCCGGCGGATTCGTCCGTCTGGGGTTAAGTTGGTCAGCCAAGCCCTGGTGATTGCTTACATTCCTCTGCGTTCGGGTAAGGGAAAAGGATTTCGGTGGAGTTCCACTCACTTCTTGGAGATGGAGAGCGACCTTAATCATCCAGCAAGGGACGAAGTGATCCAATCCCACCCTGTGTTCTTTTTTTTGTTTTTTTTTTTGTTCTTCCTTGTGGCACACTCTTGTGTATTATATAAATAAATAAATAATGACCCAGCCAGCTATTTCTTGAAGCTGATATAGTATGGTCACTGAGGTCATCGAGGTTGGCTCAATGCCAGAAAGCTTCATAGTAGACGTGGAAAACTCGGAGTAATGTCAAACAAGAGAGAAAAACATCTTTATTATCTTGGAAACATTCAAATTTAAATTTGTTCTGGTTTTTGGGAAATTTTCAGTATTTTAAGACTTAGTAAATTACATGGAAAAGCCACGAAAAATGTAACGCTCACAAGCGACTGGAAGAAGAAAACATAAATTTACACTTTACACGCACCATTTTGAAGTTTACTTCAATCGATTTTGATTTAACAGTATTTTGGTATTCAGGACTAAATTTTATATAAATCCATGCCCCGGATGTTTTTTCAATTGTCCATTCATAAATTTTCGAGAACCCTTAAACCTGATTTTTGGTCTTGTATTGAAATAGAAAATTGAAAAACTAAGAAAATCCGAATTTTGATCTTAAGCATCATCGGTGCTGAACGTCAACTTTGCAACAAACAAATCACACTACTGGAAAGAGTAACCTCGAAAACCCCTAAATCCGAAATTTGGTCTTGATTGGAGCAAATTCACTTCTGAACTTCGATTTTGAAAGTTTCTCTGAAATTCGGTTTCATCATCGAACACTAAATGAGAGGGCGGGGCTTGCGATGTCTTGGTCTCCTGAGGAGCTCGTAACTGTAGCGAGCTCGGATGTGCCTGGCAGGCACATCACTTAGGTGCGAGAATATGGCTCGGGTGAGAAACTTCCCGCACCCAAGTAAGGGTTAGTCCCCCATTTGGCTACTATTAGAGAGAACTAATATCCAATGAGTCGATATGCGTTCTACTGTCCATAGTAAATATATTTACCACATTTAGTAAGATATAATTGGGAGCATTCATCTAGGCAAGATAATGAAAGAGGCATAGGATTGACTGTAATGTTTGAATGGTTGATCCTTTTTTATTCTCTTTGGGTTTTAGAAGTATGCTGATGGAAAGCACTTGTGAGTGGCCATATCTCGGTTCTAAATTGAAGCTAACAGAATAGAAATTCGGAATCTTTGAAATGATATTATATCAGCTGCGTATTGCCATTCAGTGACTGCAGTTAGTCCTTCATCGACTCATCTTTCACAAAGCAACATACTTCTAGAAACTTCATTATATGCAAATTTCATGAGATTTTGGAGCAATAATTTGATAAGGATGAGAGATATACAGTAACTAATCATCAAGAAATATACAGAACAAGTACATCTAATGTATAAAGAAAAACCCGCAATGATTTTGAGAAACCATCAATGACTGATAAGCTAGGTAGAAACAGAATTTTGAAGTCCGGGATACAGTTTTGATCATGGTATATAGAATCCGAGACCAACAGTTTTGCGGAAATCGGCGGAGTTCGGTTATTACCCGATGACTGTTATTGCGGTGAAGTGAAAGCTAATAAAGAATAACAAACATTAATACTAATGCACTACTAGCAAAAATGTTCTATAGACTTGACTCAAATGGATCGCTGTGCTATCCTAACTGCGAGCCCTAATGAAATACGGAGGTAAGAGCCTATCAGTATCAACTGTGAAATCTTTGTAGCCCGTATCAAACGGCGCAGTGACGTGTACATGTTGTGACGAGAATTCAAGGAAACCTAATATGTAGGAGTGACTAGCAATAAAGCACTTGAATCTGTTATCGTTGATAGGGATAAAGCTAGATTTGATTCGAGTCGGTACAGCCCTGCGAGTGTCACAATGTGCAGAAAATGTGGAAGTTATATACTATTTTCTACATGGATAAACCCTCACACAGAGGGTAGATATCGATCGTCATCGGCTCGCTGCATCAGCAGGGCTTCGTGAGCAGTTTGTCTTTGACGAGTATTATCCTCGCGTCGTTTTTGCCTCCTCCGGTTTCCGACCACCAGAATTATCGCCGTCAGTAAAATTGCCCCAATAAGGAGACCTATGACGATGTACGTGACGATTGACGATGGGATAGTCAGACCAAGGAATGAGAACGAATTCTGGAAACCATGCAGACTGTGATAGTAGAAGCTGAGATTCCGAGGAAAATCTCTAGTGACGCTACGATCCAAACCAACTTACTTTATGCCTCCGCTCCCTGTCCATGCCAGAATTTCGCAGTGCCTGCGATGACTCGGTATAGGTAGGACTATTTCGGGTATAAAGCGATTTGCATATATGATACGGATAATCCGCAGGATTGTGATGGCAAACGCAACTTGTATTCGATGAGCTAAACATCACACTGACAAGGAAAAGGCAAATAGGCAGAATTCGGCAATTACCTGAACTCCGGCTCGCCGTTTTTGCATGTCAGATGATCGCAGAAGTCGCTCGGCTGGTTGAAGCAACAGGTACACCTGAGAAGTTTGGATTGCTAAAATACCTCAGAAATATAGTGGATGCTAATATATGCATTGCCCACAATATCCACGAAGGGGCTAGAAATTAATTCGTGTTCCCAAAAGGCCATGCATTTGTTAAGCGAGTTCTAGAGCTTTTTTTTTACTTTATTGTTAGCTTCGAAAATAAGTTTAAAAGTCCCTCATTAGAACTGTAAAAAATGCGATAACAACCCCTATTCAAACTGCAAATGGGTTAGTGTGTAATTGCACACATCAGCTTACGAGGCTGCTCTGCCTGAAGATGTACAGAATAAGGTAAAAAGCTTGCGTAAATGTTTCTCATCTACTCGTCAGCGATGAGGATTTTTTTGGAGATTAAATAAGGTAACGTTGGTCACAAAACAACCCCTTTAATGTGAATGTCTTAGTCATGCCATATTGGTACTTTTGTTGAGAAATATCCTGTAAGCGAAAACCTCTCAAATCTGTGCATTTATCATGATGTTATTGATTTTATTCATCCTGATCCCTATCACGCAAAATTTGAGTGATCACAGATGGAGTCAAACTAAAATAACTTTGTACTGAACAAGCTTGCCTACTATTTGTCCGATGCGAAAAAATGAATAACTTACTTCTTATCCTTTCTATTGAAACACCGCGTGATGAACTGCTGGCACTTGCTACCATTGTCATCAAATTTTCTGGAAATGAATTTTGATTCACTTTTGAAGTTTTTCTACATTAAGTGTTTTCGAAAATTTTTGATCGTAAAATTGGGGATTCCAGCCGCGGAACCGTGTTTAGCTATATTTCTGACGAAAGTAATGTAAAGAAACTAAACGTATTTCGTCGAAATCAGAATTTTACAGCACAATAAAAAACCAAAAAGTGAGGTAAGAGTTGGTTTGTAAGATTACTGGAAAGGATACGATTCTTTGATTGTTACGAAATCTAGCTTTAATTATCTGATTGCTAAGTATGTTGTGTTCGAAAATGCATCCTCCGAGTTGCGAATCTTTTACCGCATGAGCCATTTCTTCACACTTTTTGATTTCTTGCAACAACTCTGATTTAGAAACTTTCATACAAAATTGAACCTGCATATGCATATTGTAGGCATCTCTGGAACAAGTAATCCGGGAGTTGCGGAGAGAATTTGTGTGTGATTGCAGAACATCGAATTCCAATCGGGGAGGCATGAACAGGGAGTATTAAACGTAGCTCCTCGTCGCAGGTAGGGATCAATAATGCGTGGAGGAAATGATTCTGTAAATACTATATGATCTATCAAAATAGTAAAAGTAATTTCTCCTAAAATTTATAGTGGAATGCAAGTATGCCTCACCAGAGCTGCAGTGGAACCGTTCGCATATCGCTCCACGACATAAATTCGTGGCCACAATTGAGACCACAGTTAACAAAGATACCAATAAATTTGATGAGGCCAGAGGAAGTCGATTCACATTCATTACAGTTCAAGCAGGTAAACGTTACAAAGTGACATCTAAAACAGCCTGTGTATGCAGCACAAAAAAATTTTCTCGCCGACTTACAGACTTGAACGAAGGCGATTTGACTGAAAGGCTGGCCCGGTAAAGTGTTATGCCTGTTATGAGGGCTCAGCTACTTTCACTGCAAGCACCAAAGACGGCTGTGCTCTAAGAGGAGATTTGCTTTACATTTCTGGCTAACTACAGTTCATATACATGCATAGACGATTCTCTTCATAAACGACAATTATACAGGCCATCAACGCCCCTCCGATTCCACGAAAGCGCACAACACGCCAAACAACTCGGAAGAATCGTATCAAAGAAGTAAAAATCAGTGCTTGTACAACGGAGCGATCTCATTCACTCAATGCGAAAGAACGTGGCTGAGATTGTTGGAAAAGCGATTATATAATTTCATGTAGACAAAAAATGAAAGACGAATTTGAGATAGAGAAAATCTCATAAACTGCAATGAGGAGTAGTACGAAATACAAGTATCAGTTAGTATTTGAAGGAAGGATAATGAAAGCAGGATGCTGCTTTCTACACGATGATATGTCTTGCGATCAAGCGAATTCGATGATGATAAACTTTGCAGAAACCCCTTTTCTACCTGCAAAATTTCCCGCAACGAATTCTCTGTTCCTTTTTATAATATCTATTTAGGTTTCCCAGAGCTACTTGGAAGCAAATATAGGATTAACGTCAGATCGACAAAGAATTTAACAAGTTTCGGTGAGCAGCCACCTGCGATACTACCATAACTACGTTTTCACAATATGCACAACCTCATAAAAAATATCTCGCTAATTACTTGTGCAGTTAGCACGATCCATTGTAAAGTTTATTCAGGCCTAGTCCTGTTGGTTCCAATACAAAGCAAATACATGCGTGCATTTTTCAAAAACAAAAATGAAACTCTACAAAGCGTAGTTGTTATTAAACAACCAAATTGTTGGTTACTTAATTTTAAAAACCAAATTTGTTGGTCACTTTGAGTTCGATCGATTTATGTCTCTACCATTTTTGGCTTACTAATGAGTTTTGATACTTGATGCCTAGACCTTGAGAGTTTCTGAAATCTTAGACAACATTCCTAACAAACGCATTTATTCTTTCAAAGGCATCATAGATAATCGCAGTAATTTTGACATTGCCTCTTCTGTCCCGACCCCTTTAAATATATATTGAAAAGAAGGTTGGTTAGCTTCTACGATGCAATATCAAGCAAAGTAGACTTTTTAGTCTTTGTAAGCAAAACTGTGGAGAGGTTTCGTTCTTGCTTCTTCAGCCAAGTGAGAATGATGTCGAATATCAACAAAAATGAAGTACGATTTCAATGCTGAAGTGCTCTTCTTACAGTGTAATTGGACATATTACATTTGCGAGTTCAAACAGAACGGTTTTTCAAAGGTAGAGAGAAGAGCTTCATACGAAGGAGTGAAATTCACAAAATAGTATGAGTGGCTCGAATATGTGTCGAAGCAAAGCTAGTTTCGCAAGGGAAGAGAGAAGTTCTAGAGCAGAAAATGAACTCACGCTCACAACTTAATTTGCTTTCCGCAAAAAAAAGGTACTCAAATTCGGTGATGGAGGATTCATTAAATCACTAAGGCGGTGGGATATCGAGTTGACGTAAGATGATCCATGTATCCCGTGAAAATCACGCTGGATTCTATGTTGGTGCAGATAGAAGAGGATGAGTACTTCCACATCTTTGGAACGATTCGCGCGTATAGGATGCGTGTATTTGCATAATGTCGCAAAAAATCTGGCCTCCATGAAGGTATCGAAGGGAAGGTTCGAGTTAAATGTAAATCCAGCTAGATTTGGCGAGCACATTGTGTGGCAGGACTTACATAAAAAAGAGAGAATGCGTGTTAGAGAATCGATTTGAGCCTAAAACTGATAAAGACCGCAGCCATCCGAGGCAAAAATGGAGCGAACGATAAACGAAAACGTCGCCGCTCGCAAAACACGGCCTGCCTCGTTGCAATGTGGTCGGTGTTTGTGTGTCCACAACGGTGTGCCTGAGTCATACGCGAATTTTATGATACCACGAAACTGTGGCACGATCTCGCTGCGATTATGGAAATTCGCCGCGATTCGCCTCGTGCACCGTAACGCTATACTTCTGGCGGAACGCGTTGCATTGTAATAGCATGGCGCGGGATTGGCTCGTTGACAATGACGTTAGCCAAAACAGGTTTCACTGAGGTTATATTGTCACTGTGACCTATTACGGGCGGATATTATTGCGACCTCTGAAGCACATCCACTTTGCGCATTAGAGGCTGGACACCACAGCCATGAAGGAATTTTGTTGTTGACTACCTGTTCACTTCAAATCAAACTGATCTTGCGCTCCATCGCCAGGAATATATGCCCCTTACATCTGAACAAATTACACTACAACACATAAATGCGCAAAATTCTGCCACAATAAGCCAGTAATTCAACGGAGCGATTGTCATGGCGCGGAAGGTGAAATGAGTTTGGCGATTGCAAGGAAGTGCCTGCAAAATTGCTTGATGGCTTGAAGTCAACTTTAGCCTTTCCATTTGATAATACTGTCTAGGAATTTTCGACACCTAAAATTGAAATTGCAAAACGCTACAGAAAAGACCATCGATTATGCTACTTGTTGGTCTCTTCAAGTTTCTGGATTGTCAACAAACATGTCGGCGAAGTTTATCAACGTAGATCATCAGAAGCGAAGTGCAATAACAATGACAGCCTAACACGGCAAAGCGACCTGATTAGATTCCATGTTGAAGATGGGAACGAAATGAGCCAAGCTTGGCAGCTTTGCAGGTAATGTTGTTCAAAGCTGGAAACGGAGGTAAAGGCTTGCAGAAATTGGAATGGTGTGTGCTGAGTGTCGCTGAGGACGGAGACACCGCTGGGAGGCCCTGAACGGCCATCAAAAGCATCGCTGCTTTCACACCAAATTTCCTCCAATTGGAAGGAAAGAACGCCTGACATGTCTAAAGTAACTGCATTTCACATTGACTCACGCTTAGGACAACATGAAATATTTCATTGTGCAGCTGTTCAAATAAACAATTTTTTCGCGAACTTTTTCATTAACATGCTTATCACAACTTTTTTTGAGGACCACAATATTTATCATAGTTGAAGTAATAAAGAGCGCCTCCTAAAGGACTGCTATACTATCCAAAATTGAAACTCGCGACAATCAAATAACCCTCGAACTACTCAAATTATAAGTGAGCGATTCGCCATTCCCATGAGGACTGCAGTTTTTGGAGTACATAGCGCATAGGGCAAATCACCTTGTTAGGGAGCTTCGAAGATACATAGAAAACTTTGTAAAAGCATGATGGTGTTTTCCCTGAAGACATGATAATGAGATCATCCTAGCATGAGAAGCTGTTTCGTTATTTACACTGTAGATTAAATATCGAAACATTGTCGCGAGCTGCAACCGATCGCAGTGAATGCAGAAAATCAGCTTGCATAGAAAAATGTTTAACTAAAGCTTCATATTTTTGACGATTGATAAAGGAAGCTGAGGTTTATGTAGGCAAATTGTGTACCCATATGACTTTGGCATTTCATAGAATCTATTCTTTGCCGAACCGCTATTTAGATATTCGCCTGCCATTTTAGTTTCTCCTTTTTGGCTCCAAGTTCTATGTCATTAGCCGCAGTAACGCTTGCATGTTTTCAAGGACTTTTTTATCCTGGCAGGCATGGCTTCCGAATTCCATAGCAATGAGAAGATATTTACTGACGTACAATAGCAAATGGTCATTCATATAAGCATATGACAGGCGGGCAGATGTCTGTCTTCTGGAATTGAATACCACAATAACATGAGTGTTTTTGTTGAACAAGCTATGAATAATTGGATAAAATATGATACACAATAAACAGATAAACATGTGTAGAATCTAGACTTGTTCGAAAGCAAAAAGCAATCTGCAGACCATCCAAGTCCGATAAGGAAATTCTAGAGCCATACGTGCGTGAGAGATTGTCATTATAAAGCACTTTCGCCGACAGATAATCAAGGAAATTTTCCTGGATCTCAATAGCCGCCTAATGCGGCAGAAAATGAAGCAATTGAAAATGCTTCAAGCAATCTTTTTTGTTGGCCCAGGAATTTGCACTATCTAATGGGTTGAGAAATCGTTAAAGCAGTGGAAAAATGATTTGAACCTCAATGCGTTTCGAAAAAAAAATTCAAATAGCTCTTTTCACCGACTGCTAGTTTGTGCGAAGTGCTTGTCAATCCACTAGTGTGTATACGTTGACGAGATTGGAGGCAATGAGCCGTCGAGCTTTTCATAGTGCTTTTCTCTGTAAAGGCGAAAAAACAGATGAGAGTGGAGAAGAAAGTTGGAGGAAGTGCATGCGTGCATGTTTTTGAAAGAATCTTTGGGACGAAAAGAACGTGGTCATAAATAGCAGCAACAACGAAAATGGAACAGAATTTTTGGATTTAGGATATGAGAGGTGAAAAACGCCCTTCACTCCGAAATCGAGATGATATTCTGCGCTTCCAAAGGGGACAACTCTCAAAGTGAGAACGGATTTCCGTGTTTGGTATGGCGCGCCACCGGTGTTATGACGCCCCATACCTGGGTGCATGGGGTATACTGAAATATGAGACGGCAGCATTCAGATTTTATGCATTGTAGCACAAAGCCTGATAGAAAAACACTGCCATTAGTCAGTGCAGAATAATAAGAGGGACAATAGCAGTGCATTTACCCGATAAACATTTCCTTCTTGGGGGTCGGCATTCCGAAGCCAGATGCATTCAAGGCCTTCAGGGGCGATCCGCGCAGTGCCACAGGAGCTACCTTCAGCCACCTACTGAATTTCCGCTTCGAAAATGGGCGTACTGCAGCGTCAGGTCTAGTGCAATTACGTCACTTTATACTGCATAACCCATCTCACATTTCACTGAACGAAATTTTCATAAGGTGTTTACCTAAGTTGAAGAGTGCAATTTAAGAAGCTTTGCAATAACCTTATATACCTTATATACCTTATAAGACGCAATATATTTGTAGACGATGTTGGGGCTGCTTCGCTTCTAAGTACAGGGCGTTTGAAAATTTGTGGATTCAGGTAATTCATCAGCGAATCCTTACTCATTTTTTGCTATATGTGTTCGATAGACCTAGAAACCACTGGACCACAAAGAAAAAATTTTTTGCCTCAGGATACCTCAAAAAATTTGGAAGCAAACAAATTTTTCAGCTTCCTTGAAGAAGCGGAAGAGTGCGTTATCTGACTTGTTCTACTTTTTTCAACGCGGGAAAACGGGGACTTAGGAATATTTGTAGTAAAAAATCTTTTCGTTTTTTACTATAAATATTCCTAAGTCTACACTTTCTTTATATAACAAAAGTTCCTCAGCAGATTGCGAACGAAATTTTTTTCATGTGCTAAGTTACAGCAGACAATCGCGTCACAAATTTGCGTTGAAATTTTTTCGATTTAAAAAATTTTGAAAGTCTAATTTCAATATATTTGTAGCGCAGTTCTCTGATCTTCATTGTTTTAATTTTCAAGAATTTTGCATGCTTGTGAAGGTTCTAAAGACAAAATATAAAAATATCAGTGCCGGATTTGTTGACGAAAATTCCTGAAACTGGATCTTTTGTATTTCAAGGCATGGTATTTCAAAACGAACTGACTTCTACGAAAATAACAGCACAAGTAAGAAACCTTAAAGAAAGTTTTCTGCGAATTATGTTTCCTTCTTTGTAACAAGCGCTTCAAGGAAAGTGGTTTGGAAAGCCATATTGATGTGTTTCAATCTAATTCAAAATAAAAAAACCATAACAAAACCTGGTTTCAGTGAGTGGTATCTAGGACTGATGAGCACGATAAAACAAAACCGCGTCAAAATTCGAATTGGAAGTACTTTAGGCCTTACTTTCCAAACACCCTGTAAGTGGAGAGACGAGTAAATTTGTTTAACAATCCTTCATTCCCATTCGAGGGCACATCAGATCATGGCACGACATCCATCACAGTACGTATGCCATACGCTAAATTTCTGGAGTAATTCAATAGTGCATATAATGAGCCAAGATGTTTTGGCGGGAAAGAGCTAGCAATCTTTAAAAATATTCGAGCCGCAAAAAGATGCCGCATGATTTTCGACTAGTGCTTGCATATTCCTTTCAGTAACGAATGCAGGCCATACGTCAGAAGAGGTTAACTCTTTCGACTCGGATAGTTCCATTACTCCTACTCTTCATGAATAATTCTTGAACATCTCGTCGGCGCAGACAATTTCCTCGAGCCCTGCTGCTCCTTACTATACTACTGCGTGAATCGGTAGCTGAATTGGGGCATGATTGTTGATAGATTGAGTAATCCACAACTGATCAGCACGCATAATAAAAATTGGACATTAAAATATCAGTTTTTAGGTATTTCCATTCGTTTGCAATAGAATAACGGTTAAAGCCCTAGCGTGTATTCTCTCTTACTTTTTCGAATAGTTCCTAAATGTGGATTTCTGAATTCATTCCGCAGTCGCGACATTCTCAACTATAGAGAGTGTACTACGAATTAACACCAACCTTCAGCTGTTCAAACATTCCATGTGCATTATTTTGTTTTTGTTACTCGCACAAGAAATTTGAGAGCATTGATGGACTGAAAAAATGACATTTCCCATGCTTCACGCACAGCCCGCCCAAAATGTCTGCGCCAAAAATGTACGTCTTCAAGGTTGCTGGATTGGAAGTTGATTTGATAGAAAGACTCAGAGAAGTAGATTTTGTTTTACGATGTAAAAAATTACTCATTCGTCCATTATCCTGACTTTCACGCAGTAATACACTAATTTAAAAAAAACACGGCATTGCCAAAAGTTGTCCTTCTGCGGTCTGTAGCACCTGAAACTGCTTCGAACTACTATTGAGCAAGGTTTGTGGTGTTCAAATAGAAGCGGAGCCGTTCAACAGTACAAACTCTAAGAGTAGGTGATAAATATGTATTCGCAACGTTTTATATTATCCACCGCCAAACGCAAGATGATAAAGCGAGAGTGAAAACTCCTTTGTGTACTTCTGCCTTAGTGATTTTTGATTTCAAAAACTACATGAGCTCCTTTTTGACAGAATCAATGGATTGTAAATCCATTGAATTAGCAACAATTAGCGAATTTCCAAGAATGGAGCTATAAAGCTTACGGTTATACCTGACAGAATATATTGTGGCAACGTTCATACAGCTCTTCCACACTCTGGAGAACTATAGGTTCTTCTATTTCACTAGAACAGCTTTCGGATAATCTGACAACGAAAACAAGAGAATGTAGTTGTGGCATTGTGGCAGACAAAACACACGAACGCTTTATTTGCGAAATATTGGCTCATATATCATATCCTGAATACATAAATACGAGTGATTTCGAATGAAGCAGTCAAATCAGCTAAACGAAAGAACAATATTTCGAAAGTAGATTACACTTATACAAATCTAAATTACGGCTCGTGCACATTACGTTGGTCGTGGTATTTTTCGAGCGCGTAGTCCTGATTGGTGGCACTGCATGATCTGATCCCACTTTGCCAGACAAACTACCAAATCTTTCCTCAAAGACTTCACTCCCCAGAAGCGACGTGGGCTCGCCTGAAGAGTAGCTTTGTTCAACATTAATAATGACATCTACTGGCTTTTAGCCCTATATGGAGGCCTACAGAGATGTAAAATACATCTTATATTTTTTAAAAACGACGCGAAGTCGCCCGATTCACGTGACATTACCGTAGCGTGGCCATATCTCGCTTTAGTGTGGACGAATTCTTAATCCAAGAGCACCATTCGTTCGGCGCGGCGCATCTCTGATATATAAAAGTGCCCGCTTGGACACAGTAGGAGGCCACATTCTACGGAACGTCCCAGATTTCTGCTCACGGTGGGTTAATCAGTGTGTCTATTCGTTGGACAACCTACCATGAGCAAAAACCTGGAAGGATTCGCGGAATCTGGCCTCCCACTGGTCCAAACAAACATCCCATATACCAAAAGATGCACCGCGCCGAGCTGAGTCGAATGGTGCTCTTGGATTAAGAACTCCTCCACTCTAAAGCGAGATATGACCACGCTACGGTGATGTCACATGAATCGGCCGAGTGTGCGTCGTCTTTCAAAAAATACGAGCGGTATTGTACCTAGGAGCAGATTAACGTTTGTTCGGTTACATCAACAGCTGTCTTGTCATCTACCTAACGCAAAAGAAATGGATGGCTCCCTTAACAGAAGTCAGTCATGTACTGCTGCTTCTTCAGTAGGTAGGAGTCAGTACAAATTTCAGGCTTCACAAAAGAGACTCATAGCCTGATACTTAATTTTGAGTTAACTATGTGGCTCAGATAAGAATCTTGAAGATATCATATTCCCACAGCATTTTAGCTAACCGCTATCCCCCGTCTCCTGCATTCCTCACCATCCCAATTCCACGTTAATTGCTAAAAGCGAACAGCAGAACTTCTCTCCATGTACTTTCCTGATTGAAAGCCAAAATTTTAAAACTTACCTGCGGCTGACACATCTGTAAACATTGCTCTCCGATTTGAGCGATTCCATTGGCACGACAGCATTCGGTGTTGTCATGAGTCTGAGCAGCACAGTGTACGACGGCAGGAAGGTACTTGTATAAGCGACATCGGGACGGTTGGATGGTATGCATCAACTAAAAATCAGGAGTTTGTGGTTGGGAATAATTCGTTGTTGTTGTAGCCAGCGGTGCCTATAATTTGTGATGCTTCAGCTTTCAGTTTACGCTGAAACGATACATGGTCCATGATCTACACTAAGAAGCGTTAATATGCGTGGACAACGATACCGGTCAATTTACAACAGATATACCTCAGGCTCACTAGGAGGGCAAGAGGGAAGGAAACTTCAAATTTTTCCTCGAACTAGTGGACCAGTAATCTCAATGTTAGGTTGCAGGTGCACTCGCTTCGGGACCCGCTCGGTTTCCCGCTATTTGATGATTTTTGAATGCATCTTTCGATTCTTTATATGTTAGATAGATTCTGAAACAAAAAAACGGGAACAGCTGACTGCACAGGGGGTCGCTTTCACTACTTCTGCAATTTCCTTGCATCCGTTAGTGATGTGAGAGTTTTTGAAATTCTTCTGCTTCGTCATGATGAAGAGAGACTGATGTCGACATTCAGACTGACTTCAGCTATTGAATCAAAACAGTCTATCTTGCCTGAAGTTGATGGTATGTAAAAACAGGAACAATAGTAGGAAATTTGAAGGTATGCTTTTCTATGAAAAATTGCTTTGCAAGAAATTCACTTGTACGAACAGCTCTGATTCGATGCAAACCGGTAGACGGAGCCCTTTGTAAAAGAATAACCCATTCAGATGAGTTGCATGGATGCTCGATTGACCATAAGCAGTCAGTGTGTAATCATTTGTTTGGGTAATACTAAACAAAACTGAAAGAGGAATTGATCGTGGCAAGTGAAACTTTTGAAGCACTTCAGCTACGATTTTCAAAAAGAATTTAGGCTACTTGTGTAAAATATACAGGCGAGAAATGGAACCAATGTAAGATTCGACGGTGTGATTTTAAATGTAGGCGTAGGACGAAGGAAATTTTGTTCAACGATTCTTGTAAAAATTAAAAGAAATTTGAGAGATTTCTGGCAAAAACTCGTGCCTAACGAAAAGACTGAAGAAGGGAAAGACTGAGCAACTTGGCTAGGAGGACGTTGGGGATAAGAAAGGTGGATTAGCACGAACGAAGTATCTGGGAACTGAAGGATAGTCAGTGAGGTCATTGAGTCTCGGAAAATAGGGAGGGGACACAAAGAAAATCTGAAATATGTTCACGGAGGTATTTCAGACGGAAGCAAGAATTCGTAACGGCGGTTAAGTTTTCGTGGAGGTAAAGGAAACGAAGTTCTGAATAGGAACTGCGGAAAAGAGGCATGGAGCTAAAAAACGGAATAGTAGAGTGCATTCTCAGGCTTACCCAGCTACCACTAGGGTTCCGCAGTTTATTGCGTATGAAACCAATTTGCTCAATTTGCTGGAAAAAAGATAAAGATGAAGATGATCGACAGTTTACTAGGGTTTTTCATATTGCAAACAATAAGAGTGCGGAGAATAGCTGAAGCACGAGATTCTGATTTTGTAGACCTACTTTTATGAAGAGGAGCTACCAGTGGCGTACCGAGGAGGGGGGCGGGGGGGGGGGGGCGCGCCCCCCCCCCCTCCCCGAGAATGGGTCGCGAAATTTTTTAAAGTTACTTAAATGTGTTATAAAAATGTGCAGAGGACTTGTTTTTACTTGTAAATAATTAAAATAATTTTTAAAAATTTTTAAAAATTCAAGTTAGCCTCGTAAAAAACATTTTTCCGGGGGCGTGGCTGCCGCCACGTCCCCTTTTTCTGAAATTTTGGGGTCAGGGGTCCGGAAAAATTCAGGGAAACATCCCAAAAAATTTTTCGGAGTGCGTGGCTGACGCCACGCACCTTCATTAGAAAAAATTTTTTGTCGCGCCCCCCCCCCCCGAGCCGAAATCCTGGGTACGCCACTGGGAGCTACAGTTACCAGGTACGTTTGATAACATCACTTACCACAACTCTGGCTTCAATGGCATTTGTCTCGTAGATGCAAAGTCCTCGACACTCGGGAGGAACGAATCGTTCGCAACATGATCCGAAAACTTGGTCAGCCACTTTCCTTTCTATACAAGGCTTCCAGTTAGACGCAGCATTGCCACAGTTCTAAACATATACACTGAGAAAGAGAATAAATAAATAACAAGAGCAGATGAACTGCTGATTTAAAAGAAACTTTGTCACAAGTATGTTAAGATCTATTTACTGTCTAACGAGTTTGCGCCTGGAGTATCTACCTCATTTGTTATTTTCATTGAATTTTCTGATGTATGAAATCGATAAAGATCGTGGTTCTATTGCCCAGTATCTTCAAAATTTATATATGTTGATTTACAAATGCTTTAATGAAACAGCCTGTAAGATGGATTTTATTGGAGCAGTGATGGTTCGTATTTGAAAAGACAAATGTTAACACGAACATGGTGAGAGCTAAAGAAGCAAAAGAACTCAAATTTTTTGGAATTGTTCCAGTTTCCCTAAGCACTGGCCCTGTATTTCTTCCGCTTATTCTTTCCAAAGACCATTTTCTCAAACTGCTCCCCTTGGAAGTGGCAGCGCAGTAAAAAGAACATTAGTAAGAAAGAGTACGTAGAAAATTTGGTGAGACAAGATTCCAGTCACCTTAGTCAAACGTTTCGCTGATATGTGGTCAATATTTCTCTTCTCACGATTCAGACACTATTGCAAACTGTGTTACAACGGCAAACGTTTTTTGATGCGCCGTTTTAAAGCCAGTCGATCGATATATCGATTACTCAACCGACCATTGTCGGTAGCATGAGTGGTAACGCATGTGTTTGCGGGAATAAAACCTTACGCTTATATTATCTTCCAAAATATTTTGCTATTTTCCTTGATTGGAGTATGAGAACTAGAAAAATGCACGAAATAGGTCTATCAAATTTGCACAGCTCCGGACCAAGTGTTTTTTAATTCTCTCTGTAGTTCTGTATTAATGCACCAGCGCTACTCAAATGGAAAGGTCTAGAAAACATTAAGACAGAACGTGTCAAGAAAAGTACTCGAAAAGACAAGGTTATCTGAGCATTAGTCAATCTGAATCGAATCACGAATCTCTGTGGTAAGTCTGGGGAGGGCTGCGTGGCGCTTTAGAATGATATGGTGCTACTTAATGTTTCGGTGATTATTCTTCTTTTCCGTTAGTCTCTTATCAAGTTCAGCGATTTTCGATGCAACGGGTCTTCTCTTTCTTTGCAAGAGTATAAGAGATAGATGTATGACACTTAGCGCAGGTTCCTCTTTGCAAGTATAGAACTATTAATGTGATTGATCGCATTAGAATGGGGTTCACAAAAGATGCTAGAGATAACTAATAAGCGAGCACTAACTGAGTAGAAAAAGAGAATTGTTGATAGAACTCACGCCAGGATTGTCGAAGTCGATCTCATTCTGAGCATACGATGAGATTAACAAAGCAGATAAAATGAATAATATCATATCTGGAAATCATCGCAGTAAAAAAATCGAAACGAGGACAAGGTCGAGCGAAATCAATCTATGGACACTCTCATAGGGATGAAATGGAGGTTCCTTGGAAGCACTCAAGCGTAGGTGAGATCGAATGAAGATGGTTGAAAGATAAGGGAAGATGGTAGCGAATGTGGAGAGACGCAGCGAAGGAAGATGGCGAAACCGGAATATTCCGTCCACACCTGCACAACATGCCCTACAATACTGGTATGCACTGAGAACATAAGACGGCCGTGTAACTGGGCACAGCGACGGATCTCGCCGTGCTGTGACGGATCGAACCCGTTGTCGTGCGGTTAGCCCCCAGCAAATCATCTACGCTGCGAGCTGCATGGCTAACAAACTAGCAATTTCTCCTATACGCTATCTTTATTCAAGATTGTAAGCCAGATCCGGACCTGCTACCCACACGTGTCCTTGTTAAACTCAGCGTACTGTACATCTTTAGAAAAAGTAACCCAAACCACAAATTGTTGATCACATCGTTTAAACGTGCAATCGACTTTCGTTCGCAGAAGAAAGGGTTTCGGAGTGCATCGCAATCTTGGTTCAGCCAGTATGCGTCCTAATGGACCACCCCTTCTTGAAAATCCCAGTGCTAAACGGGCTTTGCTATCAGACGGCAATGCTGAGATCCTTCATGTATGTGCATGCCAACGAAAAGAAAGCAAATGTGAAATACAATGAGTATGCAGCACAACTTATCAAGACAGCTCAAGCAGCAAGAAGGCAAGAGCGATGGTAGGACAAAGTTGGGGTAGAGTTGGCCCTCTTGCTGACTTAACAAGATGGCATACCATAATTAGAAAACGGGTTGGTATCTTCTCAAAACACCTCAAGCATTTGAAAAACCATGAAGATCTCTCTTTCAGAAAAGTTAGTTCATGGGGTTAACGGAATTCAATATTTACCAACTTCTGCATTACCAGACAAATGTAATGACGATTTGTGTAGACAAAAGAAATCTATCACTGCTCCGCACCATCTAAGCCTCAATTCTGATCGGTAGATGACACACAATAAAACTAAAGTGGAAACTTCGTAATTCCAATCAACTTCAAAGTTCAGTTTAGTGACCTTTTGAATAGATGTAGATCAGTTGCTGAGAGGACAAGTCTTCATCAAGGAAACACAGTGAGATTATTGGCCAATTCTTGAACCTCTAGCATATACGAAACAATTTCTGAAACAGTTTCATTCGGTTACTGTACAAACACTGAGATAGCATAGATTGCGCACATTTTGCAGGGTTGTCTTAAAGAAAAATCTGTGTACTTTGAAGCTCGCAGCTTTGCTCTATTTCTGTATTCCCAGTGAACACTTCGCATACAAAATTTTCAAAGTATGATCGAGAGAAGTGGACAATACGTATAGCAATGTCTTCGCTCGACACATAAATGAAGTACGAGAGTCCCATACAGAATCCGAGAAAAGCTTAGAGACCAGTTGCTCAATAAATTCAAAAAGAGAAGCAAAAATTCAAAAATCACTAATTCTATAAGTAGATTGAAGAGCGACTAAAACAGCAGAAAGCAAGTATCATGAATGGAAATCGTTATCGGTGTGTCTTGAAAATAAACGAGGTTTCACGTTCGTTAAGATTGATAGAAGAAGGGCGCAACGCTCGTTAGGAAATGCTGCGCAATGTGGTTGACGACCGGTTCACCTTATCCTTTCGCCTAATTGCTGTTTCGGTTTGCGTTCCATTCAAGTTTCTAACGAATCACTGCCATTGATTTAACATTACCAGTACTTAGCATTGTTGCAGAGAATTTAGCACTTTCCAATGACTGAATCCTTTCTTGATCTATTTGGTTTTTGTAGCTAGGTAAGCTAGAGCGAACCTCAACCAAGTTTTACCGACTTATGAGTGCCAACCTGCTCTTCATGCTGAGCGGCAGTAATTGCCTTGAGAATCAGGTTACAGGAGATTCGGATAAAATATGAAACAATAAATTACGGCCGGAATTGAGTTTGGAATAGAGGTGCGCGGTAGCGATCCCGCAGTTGAATTGGTTGCGCAGGGCGTGAGAAAGAACCGATGGTATAGCGCCATCTGCGACAATCGTTGGAAAAATTTACGTACAGCTTAGAAATCTGTTCCCTATTTTCGTTTCCAGTTACCTGGATCCAGTTTGCATTCCGTTTTGTCTACCTGTCCAAATGGCATTTTCCCTGGAGAAAGCTTGGCCGAGTAACAAAGCAAATTTTGCAAACAAAAAAATTGCCGAGCATTTTATATGTACTTGCCACTATATTTTGGCATTTTCTTGGTAATCACTATGAGCTCAGATTACTACCTCATATTTAACAGATCGAGAAATATAGCAGTGGTTAGCCAGCATCAAATCTCGGAGAGCAAAGCAGTGAACTTTCGGACCTAGATGGACATCCAGAAGAAGAATAAATCATAAGGAGTGTTTTTTTTTATCGGAGACAACTGTGCTTTGGAGACAAGAATAAGCATCCTAACTTTTCCATTATTTATTATATTTCGTTACATGAGCATGACCTTTACATATTCGACACACAAGCTCTTAACTGGTGACTTGCTACCAACTGTTATGACCATAGTTTATTGCTATCTGAAGATTATAGGTGCAAAAGGGACATTCCATCATTTAGCATTTAAAGATTACAGGATGATACTAGCAAGCAAACTAGTAGATATCTTTAAGCCATTCATTTTTCCTTTCAAAATCTTCCCATGTAATTTCTCTAGGAAATTGGAGAGTCGAAGAATTTCGAAATTCCATTGCTGTTCAATTGCCATGTAATAGGTGGCAAATAAACGATTTCTATTAGATTTTCTCTTGTTAGTTTGAGTATATCACTTCCCCTGTATAATTTTAACGGTAAGCTCTGAATATAACAGGTGCTATTCCCACAGCTATCTATTGAAACTTGGGAAAAATTCATGTTATAGTAAGTTCGCGAACTCATTCTCATTTAGAAACCTTTTATGTTCGAATGTTTTTGCTCTTTGCCTCTTGTAAGCGAGCTTGGCTACCGGTTTCGCAATTCTCGTAAGTGCGAACACTTCTAAACTCAATAAATTTCTTTTATAGCACCCTTTTAACTTACGAGGTAGTTCTCAAGTCGAGCATATCTTCTACACTCACATAATCAAATTCTAGAAGCACGAGGCCTGCTAGATAGTGAAACCAGAATGCGACTTCTCTTGCTTCGAGCTGATGTAAGAATTGAATGCTTTCGCCTTGTCAGTTATCACCTTAATTATCCGTTTCGGGATATCCATGTCGGAATATCCGTTGGATCTTCTATAGTAAGAGCCCAAACGTGCTTCCTAGCTCGTAAAAAAGTTCAAATTATACTTCTGGGACGTCCGCAATGACTGAGTAGAAACGTCGAAGCCAAAAGGCGATTTCCTCTCAGATGTGTCTGACCATCATCAGCTTTGTGGCAACTAGGGTCTACATCGACAGGAGATGTTTAGCCAATGCAGTCGTTGATGGGGGCGGTGTGGAAGAAGCACCAGAACTATGAATGTAGGCTTGCTGACCTGTGTGACATGCTCAAGGTGAGGCGATAGCATGCAAAACATTATTTTGCTCAGTCCTATTTCCTAAAGTGTCGGTAAGTTCTTTGTAAACTGAACGTAATTGAACGCAGTCAATGGAACGACGAATGTATAGTTCCTTTATAAAATCGTGACGACGGATTTTACTGCGGACTTTGTGCCTATAGGAGCATAAAACGCTCACACAAGAAGGCATCACCCCAACGTTCAGCTCAGTCACTTCCAGTATCTAAATATTATCATACGTAAGCAAAAAAGCATTCGACTAGAGGTGAAAACCAAGAAAATGCAATTTCCTGAAGTGGCGTGCGTGTCGCGCGGTCGCGCCATCGTCACGATTTTTCAAATGCCCTATAAATGATATGGATGTGATTCACCGAAACATGTGGGAGATGCGAGACGTCTCCTTACTGTAAACAAAACTTTTGAAGAGAGAGAGAGATGGAGAAACTACTCATCATGACCAAAAGCCTTCTTATCATTTACAGTGTTTGATGCAGTGTTTGAAATAAACTTTCGCATTTCGCACTTCTCTAATGTAAATTATAATTTTAAGTGGCTGCCATAGATAGGTGATTGGTACACGCTCATAATTGATGTCAAAACTGGTCTCATACTGGCACAAGTAGCTAGGGAAGGGAAGAAGAGCAGCCTTGACGAAAAACTTAACAACAGCTATTACATGAGCAGACGTGTATGGTCGAATGGGTCAGCTGGAACGGTTAACTTTTGGCGTTAATCTTAAGGCGGCGTCGGATTCAGCTTAAGATGATGTGGCAAAAGTGGTGAAATGCTAAGATTTACATAAAAATTTTGTTCACTCCTGAGCTGTCAGATGTTATTTGTGGAGGCGAAGATTGCCTTTGAAAAAAAATTTCGCATTTGAAACGATATTTCATGGGGATTTGCAGCTAATAAATCAAGTGTACGTGGCTTGGCTTAACACAAAGAGACATTTTAGAATCTGATATAAATTTGAAGATTTGGTCTGAAAAAAATGCTTGCTCATTTCACTTTCGAGCAAAGTACAAAGATTTTTGATCGTAGATACACAAGTCGCAGGATGAGCATGGGATGGTCTCGCACTTGTGCGATAACACTGATCCACACCTCATATCCAGTGCTTTCATGACATCGTTGATTTGTCCACATAAATTTCTAGGGGACTGATGTCATCTCTTGGCTTGCGTTCAAAGCAATGTGTTGAATCTCTGATGAATGCAGTGCTAGAGTTATGTTAGTAATTGTTCGAGAGGGTGTAAACGAACCTTTTCCTTTCAATAACCTCACTCCTGTCGCTTTCCATCACTTTGCTAATGTTATTTTCTTGAAAGAAAGCGAGGCTATTTGATATTGCCCCATTTTCTTTCTGGTTTCTTGTTCGTTAGCTTTATTAGGAAAATCGAACACTTACGATAATTCCCCGTCCAATAATCGGCTTAAAAGACTCGATGGCTTCATCACGAATTTTCTAGAACGATTCCCATCGAAGGAGGGTTTATCACTTTGACCTCGTGATAAGAGATAAACCTTGCTATGATGGGATCATTGGATGGGAAGGGTTGCTTGACCTACATCACAGCAAATTTGGGCTAGTTCTGTTTACTTCAGTTCTTCTTCTTATCTAAGAATTTTGCGTATTGTAAACAATTATCGTGCTCAAGCAAACAACTTCCTCTTTACGCGCAAATCGACAATATTGTGAAAGCCTTGCTTTCTTACGCTCTCACGCATTTTTCTTTATCATCTTCACAGCTAAAAAATCATGGCTTTCTGGGACTCAATTGGAAATTGAAAGATAGATCTGCCGATTTATTAACAGCTTCTAAAAGTTTTGAATTTTGATATTGCATCTATAGGCTTTTGTCCATTTTGCATTAGTGTGTACACTCGCGATTTGGTTTAGCTGCATCTGAAGAGGAATTCATCAGCTCCTCCTTTGAATCTATCCCTGCTAGTCCATCTTTTTCCTCATATTGAGGCTTCACCTCGTAGTCAAATTCGACGGGGGTAAGTCTGCTGAACGAGAACCTCCGCTGGTTTTGTTCATCATACATATTTCGACATTAACAATTACGAAGACAGTTTTTTTCCTAAATTGTCCTTAAAAAAGCGTTTAAAGGCAGAAGATTGCATCTAATTGCGCAGCGACCATTTAGGTGCATACAAAACATAGCATTTCATCTTGATGCGCTTGCCGACGATGATTCAGCAAAAGCAAGACTTGATTGGCAGTGATTAACGCAGCTAGGAGTGTCTTTTTCGTGTCAGCGGGGATCCTGCCTTTGCAGCTTGTCTTTGTGCTGTGTTTTAATATTTGCCTTATCTTTGCTGTTTTCATCACGATCAACAAAGGTGTTTTTTCCTGCCGCAAGATCACAGTAGATATCCGCGCTATTCTCAAAAGATGCTTATCGCTTGGAACCTCCTATAAACCCGCTACTTGACGCTAAGGGACGTGAGAGAAAACGATAACCATGACAACTAATCGTGCGCGTGAATACCACATTCTAGTGTACCGCTGCTTTTTCAAAAAACAATCACAGTTCTCAATTTCAGTGCGTCTAGCCGAAAGTGTGTCCACTTAGGGAGAGTCCTAGGATGTCCTTATGCAAATAATTGTTTGGTCTATCCAGTTTTGGTGTTGTTTATTGCCGCTCGCTCCATCCATCCGTCTTTTTGAAATCTGAAGAATGCAGCGAACGCCGTTTCTCGCTACCCGTGAGAATCTCTGCATGTTATACCTAAGAACGGCTTCATACTTGGAATTTTTTGTCTTCTGCTAGCGCATCTCCTTTTTTCGCTTCAATTTCAATATCTTTTTGTACTCAATATCCCCATAGACTTATTTTTATTCAGCAGTTGGTCTTCGGACCCAAAATAATTTTTCATATATGAAATACCTATTGTTTCACGTCCACACTTTCACTATATTTTCTTAATGGCCTTTGTTGTTTAGGCAACATTTGCTCTTGCTCACTTCCTGCTCACCATCACCTTCTGCAAGAGAGGAGCTGTGTCATTTTTTCATCGTCTATTTCCTTTCCATTATCGCATTCGAAAGATGACGTGTAAAGTGCATACATTTTATCCACTCGTTGTTGTAAGCAGTCAATCCACATCTCACACTGACTAAAGACATCGTAGTATTTTTCGATTCAAATACCAATAGAAGATCCGAATTTGGCTAGCAAGTTTTCTCACAAATTTAGTTGAGCTATAGGCGAAATAGCTTTGTTTACCACTCTTCAAACGGTGTTCGCTTATTCAGAATCGTAAAACTCCAAACCCGGCGTGAGAGTCTAGTTTATAGTTAGAATGAACTCTACAGCTTTCGGTACCTTATTCTGAGATGTATCTATATATAGAGCGCGAAGTAAGTCCAAAACAAACATATTCATGTCTGTCGCGGGGCAAAAAAGGCACTTTACACCAACGATCTGATCCAGAAATACTTCCGGTAGATCTCGAACGCTTTTCTTGTAGAACACATCGCCAGTGGCCAAACAAAAGAGGAATCTGCTCGCAGTGAAGTTGGCCGAGTCGGAGGAGGTGGCGGTGCGCAGCCACACACACACACGATTCCGTTCAGCGTTTTCCCGCCTCCCCTACTCGCACCCATCAAATCATTTACGGACAGATCAGCGCGCTATGTTTGTTTCCACCCCGTTTACAGGCGTACAACAGTGTCGTTGCTCAACCGCAATGCGCAGATTCACTCGATTTCGTTGTCCCCATCTCTGACGTCTTTTCCCGTTCAGAATTCGAATTTGCAGCGTAACATGCCCACGTGAAATGCTAGTCGTCGTCATATTTTTCGCGTTCGGATCAGCAATGGAATTTGTGCCGTTTCGCCCCAGCGAGCAGTACAGATGTGGATTATTTCTGCAGAAGAGTATCGACGACAAAACTCTCAACTATCTTTATTCTGGAATCAATCACCTATTGTCGCTGTTCTCGAACAAATTTCCTCATAAAGGTCAGTTGCTTCTTTTTTGGGTGCTATCGCGACAAATGCAATCCTGTCGAGAGCTGCTTGTCTTGAGAGGAAAAAACATCATGCCTTCACTTAGGATTCTGCATTCCTAGCAACTCTTATGTAGCGAAGTATTATAGAGAAAAAAATATATATATGCTAAATTGATTTCATCTGGACCTGAGCGCCACCTACTTTTGACCTTGCCTTTTCTTTATTTGATTGGTGTCGAGGCATAATTGTTCAGCCTAGCAGTCATAAATTGCTCATTTTCCTCCATAATTTCCTCACTTCCTGTTCTTCAGTTATGCACCATCGCAAATGAATAGATAGAGAATTTTACTGCGTGACTCATCAATTTAGCCTTGTCGCTGGAACCCGTTCATCAAGTTCAACTTTGTTAAGACTCATTTTTTGCTCTGCATCGCCCATTTGGTTGAGTGAGCTTTTTGCCTGAATCGAGTGTTGCGTTGGCTGTTTTAAAAGATGCGAGTGCCTCATGTTTTGACTTGCTAGATAGCCCAAAAACTGTTGTTGCGAGTTGGTTCATTATTCTCTATGTATAGAATAGAACATTACAGGAGCGAAAAACTATCACCACAGTTTGAAACTTCAAAAACTCTTCTTTACATAGCTATGATTCTATTTGAGCACAGGCGCACTCCCATTGAAATTGAGGCCACTACACGATCTAGGCTAATGTTCGGTCTGTCCGCGATCAGTGCGCAATTGCAAATCCAAGTCATGCATGACAAATTTGAGAACTCCATCAAAATATAGTTCATTTTCCAACTAGCTCAAATATCACTTGGTGAGGAACTTTTATCAAGCTTAAAAAAGCACTGACGTAAGAGTTATTTGTGTTTTTTTCCTGTAACTGGTCTCACATCGCAGCCTTATCGGTAGATTTATAGCTATCTCAACAAAACTTTCTCAATATATAATTTAAGATGTAGAGGCATGGCTGCAGAAGTGCGATTTTGCATCATAGCAATGTCAAAGTTTTTGATTCATTTGACTGCAACTTATGATCGTCGAAACAAGTTTGTGCGGAAGGAACACCGACTTTGGCGTAGTAGGCTAGGATTGTTGATCAATTCTCAGCGTATTTGCGACAATAAACCATTTGATCACGTCAGAAAAGGATCAAATAAGTTTTATACGTCAGGATCAATATTTTTGAGTAGTCTGTTTTCGAGTGAGTAGAATATACCATAAATTTCGTTCGAAACCCGTTTGCAGTATGACCACCGTCTATTTCTTAATGGCAATAGCAAGGGGAAGTATCATTTATTTTTGATGTTATAATAAGCCTTAACATAGGTTCGACTACCACCGTTATATAGATGCGAACATACAAATTTATTTAGCTAATTCAAAATCTCCCTGAATCTGCCTCTTTGTGTTGAATTTCTCTTTATAATTTTGGGGTTAGAATTTCAAAGAGAATTCTAAAATACTAGAATATCTCGTGTTAACTATGACCGTCTAATTTTGATGTGTATTATTGAGTTCTTAACCGTTGCAGTAGACTGACTAGTCAAAGAATGGTATTCAGAAAATTGACTTGGCAGATTCGTTTGCAAACCTTGAACAATTCTTCTATGCCGTACAGGTTTTTATTGGTGAAGATGGCCTCTGAAGACGGTGTTTAACCGAAACTTAAGGCAGTAATAAAGTGTGTCACCAATAAAAACCTGTACGGCATGGAAGAATTGTTCAAGTTATAAACTAAATGCCCAGGTTACAAGAAAAGAGGACTTATAGTATATTTTGCGAATCTGTTTTTCACAGTTAACTTCTTGCAGCGCATTTTCATCTTGCAAAAATTGAATAAATTGGTTAGCTTTCTGGCTCAAACTGCCAGTAAAATCTAGGCAATTTTTTTTCAAAATTTATGAAAGACAAACAAAATGCAAGACGATCTGAGTGCTCGTATATCACCACGTTCATACATCAGAAAAGCGTTCCGCGGAAAGGCATGACAGACTGGCTTGGCATTTATTGACGTAGCAATACATTCAATTTCGAATAGCCACTTCAACTGAAGGGGCTTTGCTTTTAGGAGTTTGTCAAGTCAGGAAATTTCTTGCCTAAGTCAGAAATTTTGTCATATGGGTTATTTGTGAAATTTGCTCGATTACTAGGAAAATAAACTGTCAGTGAAGAGATTTTCTGCACAGCGAGGAAACGTGGGTCACTCGTTGTCGTTCGAATCAAAGCAAGCAAATCGTAGCGCTTGATCGAGTGGCTCTGCGCCAGCTCATCCGCGCAAGAGGCTCGGCGCCGAAGCGTGCGCAGCTACGCGCTTTGCAATTGAGAAGTGTTTTAGACGTGGCCTCGAAAGGTCACTCTAAGGCATTGTTAAACTCACTCTCGCACTTCCCACCTCATATGATGGATCGCGCAACTCACTCTTGAGGAATAAAGTCTTTCGCGAAATTTGGACGTAACTTCCTTGGAAGCGGGGTCTTGGCAAAACTGCATCTGATTTTTGGTTATAAATATCCAAATTCTGCGCAGAAAAATTTCAAAGCAGGTGTATCGCTCTCAAATTTGCAGTTCATAGGGATATGTTCCTAACCAATAATTTGCGTTTGTTTTTGCCTTCTTTTCTTGATAAATTAGAAAAAGAAGCACTAACTTCAATAACTACATACTTAGCTATTACACAGAATTCTGGCGTTTACTTATAGATTTTTTGTTCGCTTTTACTATCGTATAGGTGAGCAGGCTTTCTTAAGTTGTTTTGCTCGTATGAGATGCTCAAAACTGGATTCTGCCAGAAGCTTAATAGAATTTGTGAAGGAGGACACAAAATTTCGTCCTTCGCGTTCGGGATGATTGAGCCGCGAGCTGTAAACAACAAATAAGAGCGAGTCTCTCAGAGCCTAGGTTTTTTCTCCAATACATACAGCTGAAGCTTTTTTATCTTACTGGAGGTGAGAAAATATTACGAGAAAATTCCCTGCTGAAACAGCTTTATTTTTGAAAATAGAAAAATTCTCTTTCGGCAAAGACTTACTCCCCAAGTATGTATCTTCTCCACCGAAAGGTGTACCAAGGAAATATAATAATTTTAGTACTAGAGAGGGAATCTACTTCTAGCTAAGAAAGGTAAATTATTAGGAGAAAAGATTTTGGAAGGCAGTCCAAAATATCCTTTCCCATAAAGAGGAAGAGATTCAGGGATTCAGATTCCAAAATATGCAAGTGTTCCCGTACAATTACTGATCGTGGTACTAACCCCTGAATGTGCAGATACGGTTCTATCGACCGATTTTCTTCCAGATCTTCTGAATCGGCAAGCTCTGCTAGGAGACCTCAAGGAAATCCAAGTGTCCATCGAGACGAAGTACACAGATGTAAGTTTCTTTTGACGAAACTACGTTGCGCGCAGCTCAGCTAACAATACGAATCAATACCTTACGTGAGCTGACCCGTGACCAGTTCGTGTGGGCAACGGATTTCACTTCCCGATCGTCTTCTTCGCGAGAACATCGATACTGTTCTCGATGTACGGCTCGAGGTCAGACCACTTGCTGATCTGCATTGGGACTGATAAAGCATTAGAGGAAAAATAGCAAAAACTATTGAGAATTCTGGTTTGTTGACAGCAGCGCTTTCAAAGCGGCTGTGTTGCGGATTCTCTTTCTCTAAGCAGGCTTGTAGAAGATAATTAGTTGATTTTCTGTTAGCCATGTTTCGCCTAGTTTGAGCCAGCGCATTAGCCATCTCACAGTCTCTTAATGCGAATCAGCAAGGAACTTGATATGGCTACAAACATGAGGAGAAGTAGACGGACACTAGCTCGTAACCAGTGTGCGTGGTGAAGTGAAGTGGAGCGTAAAGCGGCAAGCTATTGAGCCGAAATACTTTGTATTTGTTGCGTAAAAGTATGAGAAAAACAGACAATTCTAAAGCAATCCAATTTTTTGTCTGAAAGTGAAATTTTTGATATCAATTTACTAGGTTTTGGTACTGTGTTAGTTACCATTTGTTGTTCAAAAAGCTTAACGTGTGGTTGTGGCCTATCAGCAATTTATTAGGCTGACAAGCACAAAAACTCTAAAAAATCAGGGAATGCTTAGAAATTTGTTTCAATCTGTGTAACTTTTTGTATAAATTTTGTATCTCACTAGTAGAAAGTTCTTCTATGGAAAAGTCGAGTTAACACAAACTTTATGAACGAATGGGAGACCAAAAGTAAAATTTTCTAGCGACCGAAGTTGAAAGAAATACAATTTTTTGTTTGTTTTTACCATACTGAATCGCCGCGATATTCTTTAATTTTGCTTTGAGCACTGCTAAAAATTGCACGGTATCTTTTTACTAAATTTGTCATGTCCTTGAAGGTTTCTAAAACTTTCCATGCAAAACCTGTGTTTTGATTCAATATAATTTTGAAAAAATCAGGCTGATATCAAAATAGCATCAGCTTAACTCAAACCTATTCCATTTCTCTTCCTGAGTGTGCCTTTTGCAAGTTTTTTTCTGCATAATAATGAGTAGTATAACCTCAGTTACGCTCTCGCTTCTTGCGAACATCAAAAACAAATTCTCGTAACTAATTCAGCCTATTACAGTGGTGGATATGGCAAAGAACCTGGATTGTTTTCGCTGGTATCCTGCTCGTAATTGGAGCGCTCGTGCCAATTATCTATCTACTATACAGGTCCGTATCCTCTTAGAACCAAAATTTATCGAATGAGGGCCATTTGGAGGTGTTAAGCATTTGATAGTTAGCATGAAGAAGGTTATAAAGAAAAGTTGGTAATTGTAGGTTTTTTATGAAATTATGAAGCTCAAGTGAAATAGCGAACAGGTCGCTAACAAAAGGAGTATTGTTACGACAAAAAAGACTGAAGGTCCTAACTCTAATGAATCATGACATTTTCTAGGTTTTGTGTATGCTGTTGTTTTTCTCGAAAACAAGCAAAGCAAACCACCGATTCGCGGTACGATGGGTGTAAGCGAAATTTACTCAATGCAATTATGACGGTTCTGGTATTCTTAGATGTGTAAGTCACGCTTTTTTACCTTTATTATAATCTTTTACGAGGAATAGTTGTTTATACAGGGTGTTCCAAAAAATGTGAACACTGTTTGATCGTTAATAACTCCCTTGCTTTCATGGCTTTCGCCGAGCTTGAGACACCATTCTGTAGAGCGAGGTTCAACTTAGATTTATAGTATGGAGCAATTCATCGATCGCTTTTTATTACCGTAGGATTAAGGTAGGAATTTGACAAGGATTTTAGGCCATTAGAGGCCATATTCTGCCTCGGAACAAAGCCAAACAAGCCAAAAGCTCTTATACTGTGGTAATGGAAGCCGCTGATTTCGAATATGAAAATTCCACTGTACTGTGACGCTTCTTTCCGAAGTTATCCCAGGTAAACCGTAATAACAGAATTCCCAGCATTTGTCAAAAATGTGATTACACCCTCAAAAAAGCTAAAAACTCTCGTAAAAAGTTGTGCAATGGACTCAGCGTGCGCGAAAACCCTAGTACACGATTTTTCAGATTTTTTGGAAAAAATTTTATTAAATGGCATATTTCACAATGGATTCGCACGCTGGAAGTTCCTACCGTAATACAACAGTAGCGAAGGGAGATCGGAGTTTTGCTTCATACTGTAAATCTAAGTTGGACCTCGGTCTACGAAATGGTGCCTAAAGCTCGGCGAAAGACATAAAAGCAACGGAGTTATTAACGATCAAACAGTGTTCACATTTTTTTGGGACACCCTGTATAGTGGGGAGGGGGCACAGTAGCAAAAGCTCAAGGCTCGTTTAAAATGGAAACGCCCTGCCATTTCAGATTCGCTGCAGCTACACTTCTGATCACAGAACAGCATGCCGAGTACGGGTTGGAACAGCTTCCTAGTCGTTTGAATTACTGTATTGATGATCTGAATCTGTACAAAAGAAATACAGACACGGTATGTTCTCCCTGACGGTTTTGATTTTTTTTCTCAGCGGGGGGGGGGGGGAGGGGTGGAAAGAAGGCCAGCTGATCTAGAGGCTGTCAAACGTAGAAGTGCCCCCGTGAGGGAGAAAGAAAGGCATATTTTCTGCGTAATAAAAGCTCTCTAATGTACATAGAGGTGGAATTCATTGCAAAATATGTTATTTCACGTTCTAAAGACATCGTCCACCCAGATTCTCGACTTTTATGTTTTGGTCGTCTCAGGGCCTTTTCATGTCACTGATTCCGAATATGAAGTCGATATTGGAAAACTCTAGCAATCACCGTTTCGGAGAACCCGCGCGCAGGGATGGGAGGGCATTACTGGAAGGGGCGGTGCCGACTTGGGCTCTACATGTCTCTTCGTTATTCCGAAGCGATTTTCTCGCTTCCGAAGCGACATGCGCCGCGACTTGGATATTGGTTCCTATTATATAAGCTGTCAAAAGCTCAAAACCCTTGACTAAGGTGGACGGTGTCTTTAATTCCTTCTATGGATAGCAGACATCTCAAAGAATGCATTAGCAGCTTCATGTAAATAACACATTGATCACAAATTCTTTTCTGAATAGATCCCTATTTCTCATCTGCTATTATTCATAGTCTTGATAATTAAGATTGGTATGGAACTGCGAAAGAAGCTCAATTTGAAACTTCAATTAGGTATAAAAAACTGCACAATATCCTTGCAATTTTTAGAGAATACGAAAACTGCTGATTGACGACTATCAGATGTTGAATCGTACGATAGCTGGACAGATGTCGAATGCTGGACGTAAGATGATACAGACAGTGAAAAAGCTCACCGGAGCTCAAAGCGTGGATGCGTTGATGAATATAAGCGACAGTATGGGACTTCGCTTTGCAACAATTTGAGAAAAAAATTATTATTATTTCAGATGCTGCGGAAATTCATCAGAGCTTGCTTGAGACAAATAAACAGCTGAAGTTACTCCTTGCAGATTATTCACATTTTGAGGTCTGTTCTCTACAGCTGCAATAAGGAAGTGTTGTAAAGGGGTCTCAAGTGGTTTTAGGTGGAATACGGTCGCATGCGACAAACACTGGGAGGAGAACTGCGTCAGTGTATAAATGACGAAATTGACTCTGTAAAAACATTGTGTCATAAAGCTGAGAAACTTTTAGGGGATTTGGCACCGGTTCCATTCAAATTGGCTACGGTATGTCTAATCCTTATTCTAACTTCGAACCCTACCGCATTATAACATGTAGAAAGGCTTTGCGGAGGACGTGGACCTTGCCTTGGATCTGATCGAATCCGCGGGTATACCGCAGCTGCTCGGCGATACTGTGAAACGTTTCAATACAATGGAGAATAAGCTGCAAACGGAAGTGGACAAAAAAGTGCACTGTGAGACAAATAATATGTTCTAAAATAATAGAAAATCATGTTAATCTATCTAGCATCACAAACTGTTCTGAAACAAATTGCTGACAATCTATTCGTTATTGCCGAAAAGATTTCTACCCAAATTCGACAAGTGAGTGAAATAGTTCCTTCACTACTGGCTTATGAATGACTAAAACATGGGTTCAGATAAACTTCGATAGTCTGTACGATATCGTGACCTTTGCCTCTGATTCGAAGGACAATCCCGCTACCACCTACATACATTATAGGTGTGCCCTCATTTCGCAAAAATTGTAACTCAAATTTGTACTCATTTATAGCAAAATACTGAGAAATGTCATCTAGGGAGTGTAAGCATTAACTCAAAAGTGTCCTTAAAACACTACTACATACTAACACCGTAATCACTCAGAGCCATGCCGATTTTTTCAGTAGATGGGTGTCGCTTGCTCTCATTTCGGTGTTCATGCTCATCGCATTTTGTTTTCTGCTTGGTCTGTTCTACGGTATCTGCGGACGAAGACCGACTTTCTACAATGACGACTGTTGTGTGCGCTCAACCGGAGGAAAATTCTATTCATGGTGGGTGTTGGTCATCTTTTATGAGAAAATCTTTGCATCCCACTTTTACCACATCCTGGGCCTAAAGCACTTGGTCCAGCAAGGGTGGACTAAACCAGAAAGTCCAAAATTTTTTATCTTGCTTACCTGTACAAAACAAAAAACCTTAAGCAGCCTTTAGAGGCATCCACGGCTCCATCACTCAGAACAGCTTATTCTTTCCGCTTTTGCACATCTTCACAAAAAAATTGCACTTCAAGTGCGCTACCATGGCTACCGAATCTTATACGCCACTAGCTGGCTTACCCGGCTCCGCCGTATCCGGACCAAACTTGGCACACATACACTTCGGTCCCCGGCGGGTGTCACAGTCCACTTTTCGTTATCGATCGATGTCGATTTTACCGATTTTTATCGATTTTTTGGCAGAGTTCACCTTCAGGGCTAAGAGTTGGCACAGGGGGGAAGTGAGCATGGGGATTCCGAATACAATATTAGTTTTCAGAATTATCGATTGCTTTTATTGATTTTATCGATTTTTTGGCAGAGTTCACCCACAGGGCTAGGAGTTGGCACAGGGGGGAAGTGAGCATGGGGATTCCGAATACAATATTAGTTTTCAGGATCGTCCATTACTTTTATCGATTTTATCGATCTTTTTGCAAAGTTTGACCTGCGGGGCTGGGAGTTTGCACAGAGGGTAATCGAGCATGCAGATTACGAATACAATATTAGTTTTCAAGATCGTCCATTACTTTTATCGATTTTATCGATTTTTTGAAAATTTGAGCTAGGGGGCTGGAATTTGGCACAGGGGTGTTCGAGCATGCTGATCACCCCCCTTGGGGATGATCAGCATGCTCGATTACCCCCCTGTGCCAACTCCCAGCCCCCTAGCTCAAACTTTGCAAAAAAATCGATAAAATCGATAAAAGTAATCGATAATCCTGAAAACCAATATTGTATTCGGAATCCCCATGCTCGATTACCCCCCTGTGCGAACTCCCAGCCCCCTAGCTCAAACTTTGCAAAAAAATCGATAAAATCGATAAAAGTAATCGATAATCCTGAAAACCAATATTGTATTCGGAATCCCCATGCTCGATTACCCCCCTGTGCCAACTCCCAGCCCCGTAGCTCAAACTTTGCAAAAAAATCGATAAAATCGATAAAAGTAATCGATAATCCTGAAAACCAATATTGTATTCGGAATCCCCATGCTCGATTACCCCCCTGTGCCAACTCCCAGCCCCGTAGGTGAACTCAGCAAAAAAATCGATAAAAATCGATAAAATCGATATCGATCGATGACGAAAAGTAGCCTATGACACCCGCCGGGGCCCGTAGTGTATGTGTGCCAAGTTTGGTCCGGATCGGTTCAGAAATGGAATTTTCTATTCGGAACATACGTACACACAGACAGACAGACAGACATACAGACATACAGACAGACAAACAGACATTCAGCTTTATATATAAGATATAGTCCTGAAATAAGATTATAGGCTGCTTATGGTCTAATCAGCAGAACCAATTTCGAAAATTATTGAATCCTGCCGTTTGCCTGTACTATACCGGTTTTATGAAGTTGCAAGAAACATAAGGGTTTTGGGTTTTATAACTGCTGAAAACTGGAAGAATTCAAAATCAACAATTTTGTGAATAACTCTCACGGCTTTTTTTCGAGATTTCTGCAGACTAATCTGCCAATGAGTAGCAGATCTATGTTGCAGCGGTATATGGATGACTGTCCTTACCTTTACACTGTTATCGGCAGTCACCGCGGTACTATTTTTTGTGGTTGGGAACACTTCCGACATTCTTTGCGGAACACTTCGTGATCCTCTTTCTCGACCGGATATTATCGAGGTTAGTAAGAAGCGGATGTCGTAGTTGCCGAGCAGGCAAGAAAATTGTAAAGGCGATGATTCAGCTAGGAGAGCGATACATGGACATAATACGCAGCAAGAGGAAATCAGTTGATGACATCTTGAATCTTGTTGGAGACGTGCAACTTGTGGACCTGATCCGAGCTTGTCAACGAAATGAAACACTTTACGAAGTGTTCGAGCTTGACAAGCTTTACCACTTGAAACGATTGAAGGTATTGCAAAGGCGTAGTTGGGCCTAGACAATGCGATGTGGAGGTATTTCCAGGTTTTCGAGAAGGATGAGTACGAACAGCTAGAAGGGCTGCTCCAGATTACGTTCGCCGACTTGCCGAGCTTCGAGTCTTTCAACAACACAATCTCTACGAACTCATTCGGTCGTTTAGAGCAACTTGCTGCAGTTGAAATCCCAGAGATAAATAGGGCTATAATCACCGACGTAAGTAAATGTAAAATCTACTTCAATAAAGTAACGCAGCTCAATATGCTGTGTCTTCCAGATCGAAGCTACTATATTAGCTCTGGAGCTATCTGCAAAGGCCAAGTCATTCGAAAGTGGTATTGATACGAATTCGGACAGACCAAAAGTTGTGGCATCCGTGAGTTCACGCTTCTTTCTGATCTTTTTTTAATAACTCAAGATGGTGACCATTTAGGTGATAGAGCAAATCCAGGCAATTGACTCGCATCTTGCACGTCCTCTTCGTTCGAAGCTTAGTACATTAGCAAAGAATTTGACGCAAATCAATGAAAAGTGAGTATAGTTTATGCTGAATGCACCAGCAAGTGGACTTCTTTTTCATGTAAGGAAGAATGTTTTAGAATTGCTCGAATGAAGATTCCCGTAGCATCCCTGCTGGGTAAGCTGCAACATTCTCAGGCGCTGCTTTCGGAAGATCTTCGGGAGAGCTTACACAAAGCAGCCCGGCTACAGCTTCAAGAGATTGTGACGAACGTCGACGCCTATGTCGATCATGTTAAGCATGAGGTAAATAACAGGTCTTAACTTTTCCTAAAGACAGTGGCTCAAAAAAAACTGCAACTATGAGCTTCCACACCTACATGACTTCCTGGATCAGTAGAGTCCAGGAGTGTGCTTAAAACCAAAAAAAGTGCGCTTTTCGGCACTTTCCGGCCTTAGAGATCGCTGAGGGGGCTAGAGAAAAAATTCCCGCGGAAAACAGCGACTGACCGCAGGACACTGTAAGCTCTACCTATCTTGGCTGCAATTGGTTGATCGGCAGTTGGCAGCCAATCGCAACTCAAATGGCGGGAATCGCTCCTCCAACCTCCTCAGCAATATCCAAGGCCGGAATACACCAAAAAAGCACTTTTCTGACTTTTCAAGCGCATCCAGAAGGCCAAGGAGGAATGGAAAGCTCGCAATTGCAATTTTCTCGAGCTACTGTCTTCAATGCATAAAAAATTTTTCAAATTTAACTCGTTTTGGTCAGTCGTACTATCACTGGTTTTTTTAGATGCAGCGCGAGGTATCATCATGTACTCCCATAAAGGAAATCCTCTCATCATCAACGGCTGCAGTCTGTGATCATGCTATTGATCCCATGGTGAGATTTATTTTCTCCAAACCCTTCACCCTTGAACCCACACGTTCCAGAACGGGGTTTGGATGGCAATGCTTATCAGTCTGCTGTGTCTGATACCAGTTGTTGTGATCTCGACCTCTCTTGTAAACCTATACGACAAAATGCATTCCTATCCAAAATAGTAAGCTCACTTTCTAAGTTATACCTTACTTGATAGCGTAAATGTGTCCTCACATGTGATTCTTTCGGCATGGTTCCCATTAATTCCTACAGTTATTCCAGCGTTGTTGAAACTCCGCAGGACAATCCTCACATGTCTTCTTTTATTACGGATATCTATGAAACAAGGCAGAAACCGTAAGTGTGGACCTCTTCTGACCATGGCAACTTAGTCAAACAATTTTTGGTACCAATTTTCCTTTATTGCAGTACCTACTCTCACTACGCCTACGGAACCAACTACCCTCGCAACTTCCGGTAGTACAAATGTTATGTACCTCATTGCTCACCTGCAGAATTGCGTGTTCCAAGATGATGCGCTTTCTGACCATAAGTTCTCAAGGACCCGGGATCGCTCTATTTATCGCTGTCGTGTTCTGATTTGCAAATGTAGCTTTTAGCAGTTTTACCGCCATGATTTCCAAGCGACAATGATATACTCTGTGAAATACGGGACGAATCGTTACGATATTCCCGATAGTCTGCATCATATTATTCCTACCTGTGTCATTTCGTTGTATTGTCGATTACACTATCAGATTTTTGTCTTTCATTATGTGCCTTATAGATTGTAATCTACCAAGAAAAAATTTTCTTTTACCTTGAAATTGTTATAAATGATGAATAAGTGCCTCGACTTAAGATGTCAGGAATACCTAGCATGCATTGGTTCAAAATTAAGTGCAATCCTAAATTGGGGTTTACTACCATTCTTGTACGTGAGGTAACAAGTCCGAGAACTGTGCCTCGTGCAAAATGTTACAAAGCCGCTGCCCTTCTCTAACAAGAAGAAGCAAGAAGCACATGGAGCGGAGTGGGCGTGACACGTACCATCGACCAATCACCGCGCAGATGGGTGGAGACACTGCCCACGCATCCGATAGGCGATTGGCTATTGGACGCCCGCTCCATGCTCATTCGTCCGTTGGTACTGTAAGCAGGACGGTTTTTCTAGATGTGCAGAAAAGAATCGAGAAGCGCTCATTCTGCAAAAACAATATGAAGCATAGTTCTAATGATGATTTTACTCCCAGAATTTCATGTTTTGGTACCGATCACATATAGGGTATGATCTACGTTTCGAAGATGAAAGAAACCTTCAAAACTTTGGCGGCATGACACAAGATTTTTAATGTTTGCAGCCATCTTGCTGTCTCATCATGAACCTTCTTATCGTCGCTTTCCATAGGTGCTTTTGCATACAAGGAAACTTGCCAAAACTTGTGATTATCATCAACATGTTTATAGCTGCTGAGACAAAATGAGTGCCAAACACTAAATAGTACATTTTAGATCAAATGAGGATAAATGTGCAAAATTCTATTGACTAATAGACAAAAAACAAAGAGTAAGTTGAGCAGAGCAGTACTTCGTCATTGGCTTCTTAGAAAAATTCCGTAGAATCTAGAGCACGAGAGGACTTTCTGAATCTCGTTCTTACATAAGGGTCGACGTTCTAAACAGGAAATCTCACTTTCCAAAGTTATCGAGTGCAAGTCAGCTGCAGGCACAGCGATTACGTTCTCAACTAAATTCAACTCACCTCCATGCTGTCATACTTTCTTGCGCGGCGAAGGCGAAGGGGTTTATGTTTGATCGTCTGTAAGCGTTTTTTGTATTTGAGAAATTCACTAGCTTCGTAATGATGTCCTCACCTTTTTTGCTGATTTCACCTTTTTACGCATATTCACATGATCTTTCTTAGGCCACCGCCGTACCCTGTGCTGAAACAAAATATCCGAAATGCCAAATAGGCTAGCCGAAATGCCAAATAGGCTAGCAATACGTCGATCGAGCAGAAGCACTTTGTATCAAAACACTATCTGTTTATTATCGAGATATGAACTTAATTTACTATAGTAACAGAAGTTTACGACCGGACAAAGTGCCAGTCGCCTCTGCCGGCATAGTCCAGTTTAGATTTCAAAATAATCCCTTAAAGGTAAAGGGGGATGAGTAAAATAGCAAACGGTGGCTGTAGAATTTTCTGCAGGAGAAGAATGCCGAAGGATCTTGTGTCATGCACATACAGACATCAAAGTTTGAGTATTGTGGAAAGATCTTTTCGTTTTGCTAGTAGGTTGAGGGTTGGTATGATGAAGAGAAGCGTCGCTTTCGGAAGCCTGTACGAGAATTTCTTACGAGTTCCCAAAGAAACCAAAAAATTGTTGCTTCTATGCTTGTGGTTTCAATGTTCTGCTTATTTTTGCTATTTTTATTCTACCGTCTCAAATCTGCACTAAGCGCACGAAATTTTCATCACGTTCCATGAAATTCAAGTGCGTACTCTCTCCCACCCCAATCTGCTTGGTTCCAGAATGTGGTACGTGATTTGTTCTGAAACGTATACTACCAGCACGTCTTTACCTGTTGGTCAAGCTCGTCTCTATCTGTTCTTATATCGAGTGGGTTCTTTTCTGCGTCTTCTTTGTCAATCTGATCAAGTTCGATCGTCCTACGCAGTCTCTGCAGCAGTATTTGCAAATTATAATTGATCTCATTTTATTATAAGTGCATCCCAAACAGTAAGCACAATGACGAAATTAATCCCCACTTATACATATATAGTAAAGCTTTTATGTGAAAAGCCCTTTGCTCCATCAGATACGGAAACTTCGAGGAAATTCGCAAACCGTACCTGATAACTTGATTGAGATGGTTTATTCACGACGGGCTTCACTTGTCCGCCGTTAAGCTCTTCTGCCTTTTTGAGTTCACTGACAGGGAGGGTCCTACGCATTCTCTGAAGTTACAGAATTCTGCTTGGTAACTTCCTCTAAATTCGTTGGCTGTTTTGAGGACTTAGCTATCTCAGCCAAACAACTCCTATCTATTAGTGCTTCAGTGGTAAGAAAGTGTGGCCATCGTCCCCGCTCTGTGCCATTTTCAAAACCTCCACTGAGTTTCTCAAGACCTTGACTCCTTAGAATATCAGACTACCTTAGTTATTACCATCCAAAAGTGATACTGGATAATGCCCGGACAAAAAGGCAGAAGTGATTGCAACGAAGAGACAAATCACATTTTTTATAGACCCAGCAAGTGTCATACGTGCGACTACCAAGACCAGAAAAGAACCCATGTTAGATCCAAGAATGTGCCAGTTTACAATATTGCGATCAGCTCACTAGGTTAGTTCTTGTGCTACCTCTAAATGACTGAGCTCACTATGGCACTTCATTAGCTTTCTTATTCCTCTCATACAAAATCACACTGGAGTGACTGAGCGTGCACAGATGCCGGCACAGATGCACGGCACATGTTTTCAACTTTGATAGATTTGTCCATCAGTTATCTAAGGGTTTCACACAAGAAAGAAGTCTGAGAAACTGACACTATCAGCAAGATGAGGGTGTATTTACTCTGGTAGAGCATGAGCACATTCTTGCAAAAAAAAATCTGCTTGTAGAAAAAACGCTGCTTTCTGTGTATAAACGTGCGCTGAGTGCTATTTTCAGTCCAGATCTGACATAGTGGCTTAGACTGATCCTAGACATGTGACTAAGTAAGCATTTGGTCCAGGATCATTACATGTACATGACACAAGGTAAAAAATGTGTGTAGTAATCAAATAATTAACTTTGGATTTTGCCACTTGTTCTCTGATTGCATGAAGAGTGTTGTATCTTCTTCAGGCATTTTAGCATTCCGAGCGAACATTTTGCCTTTGGGTTATTCCATGTAACAGTGATCTATGCACTTGACAAAGACCAACTCAGTCGTGAATTCCTAACAAAAGAGTTCTCTGTCTTTTCCCTTTGAAATGCTTGATATCAAGTGCACTGCTTCTGAATTGTTGAGCAAAGCACATTTTACCCAATCTGAGCAAAGGACATTCTCAACTACATCGATATGCAGTGCTTTTGCGGATGTCGCAAATATAAACTTCAAGGCGAGGACATGATCTCATAACGGCAAAGCTTCTGAAGAGCTGGGAGAGCTAGTAGAGCATTATGAATTTCCTTCGAAGAGATCTGACCTTACTGGTAAGTGGTGGAGAAGCTGCAGCCGTTTTTTTTTGAGATAAAATTTTCGGCAGCGAATGTACGCGCTGCCGCAACCGCAGTGACTCAACAAATTTCATCCAATTAGTTTTCACATAATTGCGAGGAACTCGGGTACCCATATTTGTGTTCTCTGCCTCTAAACATTGCAGCTGTGGAAAGTGAAGAACAGTTTAACAGTATGCTGGCGCAGATCATGCATATCTTGTGAGAAAACTCATTTAAGAAGTTTGAGGACCTGGCGGGAGGAATAGGTACAAAAAATCAAGGTTCAGTTGTGTAGCAGATATGTATGAGAGCGATTCAATGTGGTTAGTAAATCTTTCACCTGTTTACTGTTTGAGTAGATAATTCTGTTATTAAGAGGGCGCTGTTCACCGTCATTGAGTTCTCTGGCTCTTGTTAGTTGGAAAGTTCTTCGCAATCTCTGCAAATACGTTTATTATGGCGATGTGCCCGCTCTTCGAAAACCCGAAGTTTAGTTTGAATAAGGCAGTGCTCAATGTCTCCAAATCAAAATCTATTCTCCACAGATACAATGAAATTTTTCAGTAAAATATATGCTGAGATCAAAAACATGACCTTCGGTATTTCGATCTCTGCACCTGCAGTTGAATTCTTCTCCTTGTCCTTGTCCTTGTCATCCTTTTCTTCACTACTTTCTTCCTCCTTTTCCCTTTCTTTTTTCTCCATCAAACGTTCTTTCACTTAAATAAATAAGCAAATCACAATATGAGCAGTAAATGTACTGAAAATTACGGTGCAATCCCATACTGTCCATACCTTTTTCCTGTTTTTCCTTTCTCCGGTCATCCTGCTCTTGCTCTCCAAAGAAACTGCCAGATCTGCCATGTCCTAGGAAATTCATTCATTTAGTTCAAGCAACCAGATACTTTTCAAATTGGGGAAGCAAAGTAGCATGATTCAGTAACAAAAAATTTAGGGTTTCTTTTTTGTCTTCGCTTTCTAAATTAAGACCTTCTTCAGTGTCTTCAGCAGTATTTTCGCTGTCGCGGTGGCGATTTTTGCTCTTCTTTCGATCTCGTGCTCCATCGATACCGATGACCAGTAATACAGATACTGCTATCAGCAGACAGGTTCTCAAACGCATACCTGTAATCAATGTAGTAGCATATAGACAAAAAAATTCTACCACTGAGATAGCAAAGTCTCCGACATATCACTTTGGGCTCATGTGATATCACAGAACTGTTTGGAGACATTGATTACCTAGAAATGCACGAAAAAACATCGTGGGCAAAGAAAGGAATTTTTGAAAACTCGGGAACGTAACGAAACCGCTTTGGAGCGAACGATTGTTATCAGTGACTTTATCTTTCTGTCTTCCTGTCGAATAAACATGTTGCCACACATTGATAGTCGCTTTTCAAACAAAATAGTCGGTTTACAAGGGCCAGAGTCTATAAAAACGTTCATGGCAAATTTTGAGAGCTACCAGTGACATATATAACACCAATGAATATCAAATGATCGCAAACTTTGACAGTCAACTTTGAGATTGCCGCATACAAGCAAAAAACTGATCGCGCGTACATATGGAGGTAGTGACTAATACTGCTGTCTCAGATCGTGGGCAGGGAAGTAGATTTGAGAACAAGTAGTAGGCATGAAGCAATATCGCAGTAATTTCTGGAATATGTTTGTTACAACAGCAGGGAAGTGACAGAGCTTATTTACAAAATGTCAATTTAATGCATGCGTATAAAACGACTAAGTCACAGAAGAAAAACTTGAGCGGCCATTTTTACCACTATGAATGAATCATCATATGGGTGTGTCTACTCGAGCTGGATGTGTATTAATAATCGCAGTGGTCTTGCACAATCATCGTTTCAATTTATATACAAGATGAGTCACCTTCATGTGGGTAAAAGCCATTGTGAGCCATTTGTCTTTAATACCCTTTCCTTCTAAACCTAGAAGGCGTGGAAAACCCAGGAGGCTAACAAAAACGTCCTATCGCAAGGTATGAATCTCCATACTCAATCGAGGATTTGATCTAGAGCAACGATACTGTTTCAAATTTGCGAAATTTTAAGACCCACATCTAAATAACGTAAAACTTCCGCATGATCGCACGTAACTTTAGAAAAATATCCTCTGCCAGAGTATTGCTCCCTAGTATTCGAAGAAGCCCATAATGCGGTTCTATTCCTCTTATCTACAATCCGTTTATTCCATTCAAGAAGTCGAATCGGGCGCAAAAAATTTCATTCTAGTAGACACGATACCCGTTGTCAAGACAACCGATATGTAATTTGTATGCAGATAAATAAGATGGTCACCAGCAAATAAAAAAAATTATTAGCTAGCATCAGTTAATTTAGAGGCAGAATCGAGAATGCTAGTGAATTTTATCAACAGAAATCTCAATAATTCATTGTTATTCAAATAAAACAGTGCCCTGGAAGATACGATATTTTGCATATCCTTAGCTATCAATTTCAAGTCTCGAACAAGTACATAACTTTCCGAAACGCTATGGCTATCCAAAAATCTGAAAGAAAGCAGCATGGAAGAAGCTCGCATTCTTGCCGTTTGCGACTACTTTGCGAGTATTAATCAGTTTTTCGCATCGAGTAAACCAGTTTGCCAAGGGGTTCACAGCACTTATAGACCTGATATTGACTCATAGATTACAAAACTTCCTTGGTATCCAAAACAGTGCAGACTCGAACTTGTGAAACTATAGTATTTGCCTTCTTTACCCCTCTTCCCCCTCCCCTCTTCAAACATGCATGCAGGTAAAAGAAATGGTTTTCTGAGTCATTATGTTAAGTATGCATCTTTTTTCTGTGGTGCCGTAGAAGGCTGTTGTGGTCGCTAAGTTTCACGTATCTATCTAATTTATGTATTTAATACGCACAAGGTGTGTGACATCTATAAAACAAACAAAAAAAAACATCCGATAAGCAGCTCAAGTCCAGTCACCAAGTACCCTAATTTCACGCGTACAAGACACACCTTTTTCAATTTTAAACAAGCCGCTCAACCGCTTCAACCTGTTTCGGAAAGCGAACCTTAAACCGTTCAATTCTCTCAGGCAATACGGAGCCCGTATAGGGTTCTTTGGTCGCGAAGTGTTGTGGCGTGTTTGGGCTGGCGGATTTTAGAAAAGATCCCCCGCGCCTTGTACGCGTGAAATTAGGGCAGTTTTTCAAAGAAGAGCGAGAGATCAAGCTTGTGTAGACTATGTATGAAATCATCTACTTGGTGTAATAGGCGTAGAGGCTCAATGGAGTCTGCCCCAGCCCTCTGCTTGCCAGCAAAAGCGATATGACCAATGAGATGATTAGTCTCGAGTCTTGTATATACTTAAAGGCAGTGGGTCGGCAGAATGAGACCCGTGACAAGACAAGGTCACAGGGTAGGAGCCCCATGGAACCTATGGGCCAAAGTTTGATCTTTCTCTGCCACTTCTAACCCCCGAAATTTCAAAGCGAAAGCAGCGCTCATCTCCTGTCCTCTCCTCATCTCATCTCCTCTCTTCTCACCCGCCCACCCCATGGACGAGTGAACGCGAAGCCCGCCATGGCGAAGACGCAGAGTCGTTGCGGGACCTCATGCTTATAGCAATGCGGCTGGCGCTCTGACCTGGAAGTCACTCGTCCATGGGGTGGGCGGGTTCGGAGAGGACAGGAGGTGAGCGCTGCTTTCGCTTTGAAATTTCGGGGGTTAGAAGTGGCAGAGAAAGATTGAACTTTGACCCATAGGTTCCATTATGGGGGCTTTTACCCTGTGACCTTGTTTTGCCACGGTCTCATTCTGCCGATCTGCTACCTTTAACTATGGCTACTTCTTGAATCTGCGCAGTTACCCGTTATAATATCGAACTCTTATACATGATATACTCAACCGGATATGGAGACTACATACTGATGTGGGTTGTTAGATGTTCCTAATGTTTTCGACGACGGAAACATCCTATGACTTCTTTCAGAGTGTGTCCGAGCGTCTAAACTGACCTTGTTATCAGGTAATCATGTGGGACAGCTTAGAAGGGAAAATTTTTGAGTTGCAGCGGTAACGGGAGTAAACGTTAATTAGTCTCAGCCACGAGGGATTCATAATTGTCTTTCTTCTTCATGAACGCTTCCGAATTAAAGGAGCGTTCTATTTTAGACCAGCCAGGCACACAATTGATGGCGTAGCTGCACGTGTAATCGGCAATGAATTTGATGGCTGTGGGGTACAGTATTCTAGTGTGAGGTTTTCCTCCTGATTAACATATACGAAACAGCCTTTCTGAAAAGCTCCGCAGAGATTATGACTATGGGGAATCAGATGTTACATGTTTCAAAGCACCAATGATTGGTGCGCGGTTGCACGTATGCAGCACAGTTCCGGTACAGTTCAAGAACTGTGCTGGAACTGTGGAACTTCCGTCAGTATGAACACAAACACAGCCTTAGCTGAGGGAGTGGCCAGAGTCGTTGTCTTATGCCGCGAGGTTTCTGCCGCGTAAGATGAAATTCACGAAAAAAGGAGTACTGCGTGTTTATGTTTCCCTCTAGGTAATATCAGGTTTTTCCGGCTATTAACACACCCACGGGCCAAGTTCGAGCGAAGTCCGTTATTGTTGCGTTTTCGGTCCGGATAGCTATTAAGCGCCTTCCATGGACAGCATCTTACAGTTTTCAGTGGCCAAAAATATTTTTGACTTTTTTGTAGCGAAGAAACCTGGAAGTATGCACGATTTATTAATTCCTTGTTTCTTTAGGCATATGACATGGATCCACTTGTAAAGTCTATGAGAGAATTTCTCATAAACTTCACGTTTGCACACTTTGCAGTGCTACAACAACCTTGTGCAGTCAAGCTGTCCTTTTTTGGCTGTACTGTTTGCTCGCTGAGTGAACAGTGTCCATTGCATGATTTCGAGAAATGATCAACCTGTTCATCCTTGCCTGAACCCCACACGTTCTGAAAGTAAATGAAAACCAAAGCGATCCTCCGCTTTCCGATAAAGCGAGTACACGTGACTGACCCAGGAGAATCAATTCGTAGTGCTACAGTCTTCAAAAGCGTTTTCGGCATTATCAGTTGGCTCTTTTCTCACTCATTTTTTCTTGCAAATGCATTCTTTTGCTCGTTTTTATCCCATAACGGACGTGCAAAGTTGTATAATGCGAATTAGTCACCAGGGCCACAAAAAAACTGGGCTCATTGCTTTGAAATCAATAAACTCATTTCAATCAGCTATAGCATTGCAGACGTTCTATAGAATAATGACTGTCATGCAGCGTCGATTACCTTTATAAAAAAAGCAGTTTTTTATTGAGAGACACCCTGCTGTTAATGATAAGCTGCTCCAATGGCAATGCAAACTTCGGCGATAGCGGCACGTTCGTAGTGGTTCATCTCAGAGCAGGGCTGACGTGGCTTGGAACACCACAAGGCTGAGGAGTGTCGATGCGTAGTATTTGTAGTTTTGGTATGACATATTTACATGCTCATCTTGCTCCATTTTGTCATCTTTATGGGAAATCGTTACTTTTGCTGAATTGCACGACGTGCTTCCTTTCCTGAGTATAGTAGTTCCACTCCATCAAATTTTATACGCTCACTTTTAGCCTTGGGTTAGCGACCATGAACATCTTCCGACTATCAGCAGACTTGGCCCATCTAGTCGCTATCATAATCTTGCTCCACAAAATATGGAGGTCCAGGAGTTGCGAAGGTGATTTTTTGTTTACATCTTTTTCGCTGGTTTAACAGTTTATCCGTATAATTAGGTCTATCTGGTCGATCTCAAGTTCTCTTTGCTATCGTTTTCATATCTCGATATCTGGATTTGTTTACAAACTTCATCTCCGTCTACAATTCTGTTATGAAGGTAATTTGGCTCTCTTTGTTTACTTTGAATATTTATTAGCAATGCATTGTCTGAGCTTCGTCTGAGCATCACTTGTTTAAAGGTTTTCTTCCTTGCTTCATCAATCGGAACCGTCTACCTGATGTGGGTCAAATTCAAAGCTACTTATGACCGGTCAGTTCGTTTGATATTCTGTCTTTTTTCTTGCTAATATTGGAAAATTGTCCATACTCGGTAGTAAATTTTATATATATATATGTGTATATATACATATATATATATACTTTTTTCAATCTATTTTACGAAGTCTAGCACGTTTGACAAAGTCTTTTTTGTGTTTTACAAAGGATCGCTCTGAAATGACAGAGTATTAATTGTTTTATAGATGAGATCTTAAGTTGATAATCAGTGCATTCTATGATAGTGTATCGCTGAGCTAGGTGGTTTAGGTTTGAGAAGTGCCATCGTATCCTTCTCTTTTCTCATTTGTTTCTTTCAAAATTTTGACAGTTTTCAGCAACAACGACTCCTTACGCATCGAGTTCTTGCTCATTCCAGCAGCTATTCTCGCTCTTCTTATCAACCATGAATTTACTGTAATGGAGGTTAGTGTAACTTTTTGGTTTGTCATACAATCTCAGTAAAGTCGTTATCACTCTTTCACTTCTCATTTTTCATGCTAAACTTGCTTAACCATAATCGTTCACAGGTGATGTGGACATTTTCCATCTACCTCGAATCGGTCGCTATAATGCCACAGCTGTTCATGTTGTCTCGTACTGGTAACGCGGAAACTATCACTGCCCATTATCTATTCGCTCTCGGATCTTATCGAGCCCTCTACATTGTCAACTGGATTTATAGGTACTCTTTCCTCAAAATGGATTTGGTTTAGAGAAGCTAGCCGAAATGGAGGCTGAATTTTGTTTGAAACCTCACTGATTAGCGAGCTTCCAAGTTCGGGCTTTGCTTAGTTGAAGTGATTAGGTGGAAAGTTTGCGTCATAGTTCCTGTGCAGAACGGAATGGGTACATTTGTTGTTCATTGTAAGGTAGCACAGCGCTTTCTTACTTTGCCATACAATGTAGTCTCGAGTGAAGATTGTGCTTTTCACGATTTGGCTAGCGTCACACCGTTTTTTCTGTGCATTTTATGTTTGAATGCTTGTTTGAGTGGATATTATGCGAAGAGTATAAGCTGACCATCGTACGCAACTGAGGGGGGGGGGGGTAGTATTTGGAAGGTCGATCCATTCTCATTGGCAGCATCTGTGTGATTTGGTGCAAGCTGTGAAGTTTGTGCCATCTTTTACATTTGTTATCCGATATTGTGGTCGGAATAGTAGATTCGCTGTGCAGTTTTTTTTCCTTAGATGCTAATTTAGCTTGGTCGTTCAGGTACTACACTGAGAACTTTTTCGACCCAATTGCCGTTGTTGCTGGAATCGTGCAGACTGTCCTATACGCGGACTTCTTCTATCTCTACGTGACCAGAGGTATTGTCCTTTGAGCAATTTTGAACACAGTCTATGCTATTGTTTGTTTCGCGCACCTGGTATCCTCCACTATCTTTATCTTTGTCAATGGAACATGTTAATCTCTCATCGGCCTTGCGAAAGTGGCCCCTGAACGCTGAGCTTCTTTTTTTGTGCATTTAGCATACATCAACAAGAAGGAAAATGCCAAACTTTTCACGTTTCTTATAAGGAAAGCTACCTAACTTAGCTCGGCCTTTTGGTAAAAGGTATATATATATTCTGAATCAGCTCTAAACGCTGTTTCTAAATATGCTATTCCTAGCTGCCGCGCACTATTCCGAAGCGAGTTATGGGTCGTACGAAAAATTGGCATACTACTGAACATGAGAAGACTGCCTGTAGATAAAATTTTGCAAGAAAAAGATGCTGAGGTATCGAAATATTACAAATCCAATCTTTGCTCACTAAAAAAAGCTTAGCGCAGGTGTATCAGCACTTAAATGATGATGACGTGATGCTCGTGCGATGAGCATGCCAAATTTGCGCAGGAAAAAGCCCATAACTCGCTTCAGAATGGGACGTGGCAGCTAGAAATAGCGTATTTGGAATTAGCGTTTGAAGCTAATTCAGACTGTATACATATGTCCCTTGCAAGAAGGGCGAGCTAAGTTAGGTACCTTTCCTTTTGAGCTTCAAATGGCACACATAAGCTTCACGTAACTTAGCTCGCACAGCCACTCTTGTTTCTCAACATCTTGTTAGAAAGATTCCATACCTTGCAATTTTCAGTTCTTCAATCGAATCGTCAATTTGAAATGCCTGCTTGAGGGGCGGACAGTTTGCTTTGTTAGACCGAGCAGATGAGAGTGAAATCCACAAAAGTAAAGCTCTTTGGCACTCGGCTTCATCTATGAGTTGAGCGGTAAAATGCGTGTTGCTCTGAACGAGTGCTTTGTTCTCGATCGCCTTTGTTTTTTATTTCTAGTGTATCTATTTGTTGTTTGCTCTATTAGTCGTATGATTTAATTGTTGTGTACAACAACCATATGGTGTTTGGGTCAATGAAACATAATTTATTCATACCAATACAGTAATTACATGAATGAACTGATTGTTATGCCACATTTTCTCACATTTTGGCAAGATTCTAGATGCCCGTTTCTGGACTTTATATTTGTTTAAGTTGATACATTATTCTGTTACTGATTCGTCTCTTCTTATCGGTTTTAGAACATTCACGGCGAATTGTCCAGCGCGGTTGTTATTGCCAGCTGGGCGGTAAAACGCTACAATCACTTGGTCGCCTGGTGTGGCCAATTTGCCACTGCTGAAATACAGTTGTTGCATGTGCTACTAAGACATAGTACGACCAGTATCAAACAGGCAAGTCTTTTTAAGAGTCACGCGCTTGCTCTAAAACAGAAATGTAGCAGGCATGGTTTTATGGTAGAAGCATCGAACGTTAAAAAATTTGCTACTTCGTAAAAGACTTCTTTTGAAGCGTCGCTACTGCCAGCTCCTTCGGAATTTTTGGCATTCCTTCCCTTTAAAAGTACTTTGTTTGATCGTTTCTAGAGTCCAAATTAAGCTGTCTCCTTACATAAATACTAGATAACCCGGTTTACAATCATTTACTGAAGGATTGAAGATTAGCAAAAGCTGACCTCCTTGGTGTCTTGCTATTGTAATTCTCGATGTCTGGCTCAACAAACGCTCGTCCTATACCGACCTGGAACAGATAAATGACGCTTATTTGTCGATTATGCACGAAAAGAATGCCTCTTCCGTTTCCCTCCAAATGATTTGTGTGAAGTAATTTGTTCCGCACTGCCAGCCAGGAGTATCATACTCATATTTCTCGTGTTCTTCATACCAGTGTTCGACTACTAAAATCAAACATGTCGATGATTACAAAAATACAATAGACTTGATACTAGGTTTGTTTGGCTGAAGTTTGGTTTCCGCAGCATCTTCGCAAGCGTTGCCGCTTGGAGGTTGTATGAGCCGTCCGCGTTTTGCGCGGAATGCACGTGCTCCCATTGAAAATAGTTCATGAATGAGCGAAAAGCAGAAGAAAAGACGGCGAGAGTGCACGAAGGAAGAGGAGTGACGCGCAGTACATACATAATTCCCGCTTGCATGGACGGCCTATACACCTGTTAAACCATCTATTTTATTCCTAAATTTCGCGCTGAAAAAATTTGCTTCTTTTATAGCTTAGGCTTAGAGTATCGCAAAATCTCTGAAGGAATGATCTGAGGCTATTGTAAGGAGGATTCTCAACAATGTTAGAAAAGCATGGGCACAAACTTGCTTCAGGGTCCAAATCTCGTGGGAAGAAGGTGATGTTTTCGCCGATTCCGCTCAACTCCTTATAAGAGATGTGAGCTTGCTTGGCCACTCTCTCAGCCCAGGCTTGTGCTTGTGCGGCGAGCTGGTCATTCCATCGCAAATCAGGAACACCATGCTGAAAATGTCTTTTTTCTAGAGTTCGTGTTTCGCGCTTTTTTCCCCATCAAAAGTCCCTCGTAAATCGCTGGTTGATTTTCGCTGGCGAAATACATTAGCTTTGTTTTGAGTGCTGCACATTTGCGAGAGAACGTAAGAGTGTATAGAAAACTACATGATAAAATACAGAAGTATTTTGCAAACCCACGGATATCAGGATAGAAGCACCATTGTCATGCACATAATCACATCAGTTGGCTGGCATTGCTGTTACATTTTGCTCCTCTTTTCCAAAACGAGCGGCCTAGGGTGGCGATATCCCACTGGATGGTTATTATTTAGTTTGTTATGTACGACAGCCGACAGCTGAGCTGACAAGAGCCCAATGCCCGAAAGTTCGTCAAATGATAGTGCTACCTATCAGAGCTATTTCAAGGCAGTCCAAAGCTGATGATTTTGTGTAATTATTACCTCTAAATAACACATTCAGCCTTGCTTGGTCCATCAAAGATAGCAGCCCGCGAGCGCGTCTAGGGCGTTGGCTCACGAGCTGTACTTTAGCATCGGAGCGCTTAAATCGCTCCAGCTTGTCGTCTTTCTATCCCAGGGGAGCCTTGCAATGCTAAGTACAGCTCGATGGGAAGGTAGGGGCGCATTAGCAGTGCTTGTTAGGTCCCATGATTAAGGGGAGAAGGTACTGTGTTCAGATGCAGAAATGACATCTCCACGAAAACTTTTGGAACTATAACTAGCTAGGAATTCTTTAAATCTGGAAGCAGACAATCGTCAGTTGTATGCGTGGAAGCTGAGCTACCAGAGAGCACTTTTGTTGATCGAGGAAAAGTTACTTCAAGCGCTACAATTTTCGTCTCTTAAGACTGTTTGTAAGTTAATATTCGAAATATTCGAGAGAATTTCTCATAGAGGACGGTCAGGTGCAATCTTGCGCTCTCAACTTATGGGTTTGAAATGATGATTTCATATGTGAAATCTCTCAAGTGTTTGCCACCTGAGATTTTCTGGCATTTGTACAACAACGCAATACTTCAGAGACTACAACTTGCTGTTTGCACAGAGTAGATATGACAATAAGCGCATCCAAAACTCGCTCTAGGGACACACCTCTAAATCTTCTTGTCGCTTTAATCGCTGCTTGAGCATGGCTTGGTAGTCAAAGTAAACGACTTGTCTTTCTTTATCCCTAACCAGACTAGAACTCAGTACTTTTGATCAGATTAAAACTGAGTTCAGCTGCCCTATTCTATGCATTCCAAATGCTCAAGAATTCGCAATTTTCTTTAGTCTGGCGATTCCTACGCGGAGGGTCGAGCAAGAAGATGTTGTTGGATTTAACGAGCTCCTTCAGTGCGTAGTGTCCTAGTGGAAATCTAATTTCTCCCGATTGCAAGAAGATTTCGCTCGCATTGAAGAGGCTCAATCCAGCATTTATTTCACAAGAATTTCCAGGAATTTGCCAACTAGGTTTGAGTAGATCTTATTAAATATACTGGGAACCATGTTTTCCATCTCCACTGATTGAGTGTGTTCGCAAACACGCAGCAAAATATGTTGATTCGATTGTTTGACTGAATTCAAACAACCCACATTGCCTAATGGACGCCTATTCACTTTGAGCATTGCATTCAGCAAGGAAAGAGGCTATTCAACTCACTGCACGCCGTCTTGCATTGTGCGCCAGCATAATCTGTTTTATGAAGTTCTCGTTCATCACAGCGGCAAAGAAGAAAACAACGACTCAAATCTGCAATTGTGCTCTTTGAACGCATGAATAGGAGGCATTGGAAAAACGAAAAGCCAAAGTAATGTTGTAGAGATAGAAAGGAGGAAGGACCCTGTGATACATGCAATGCGTTCGCTCAATTCAGATGTCTACAAGCTCCGCCCCACCGATGTTGCGATCAGATATGGAAGAAGCAACAGAGTCCTATAGAATATCAAAATAAATCAATGTACTTTAAGCCCAAATCGGAACATTAGATGAAGATTTCATTAGATGAATAGTAGGCATGAAGAATTCACCCCTTGATCAGATAAGAAATGAAATTCATTTGGAATTCTCATAGAACTGAGTTAGCTTGTACAAATAGTTGTGCATTAAAAATGCAACGCCCACATGGTATATAGTCTGAAGGAAAGTCAAGCTTCTTTTCTAACAGCAACGTATTTGCAACTTTTCAGAAGGTGTGGCTGATGAGATAGCTCGTCATTTTTTGAAAAAAAAAACTTCTGGGACAGGTGTAGCGAAGCCCTGCTCAAATTATCCAAATAAGTCGTATAATGTTTAATCAGACAAAACTCAGAGAAGGATAACAGTTTTGCGAACGTGCAAATGTTGCCTTTGAAGCAACGTCCCCGAAATAGAAGCCGTAGCCATTGATTGGTACATAATATTATTCTAAACTTTTATTGAGAACTATGAAGTAAAGAGCACTCGCCACTTGTTTGGGCAATTTTTTCAAAGTATTCGAGTGAGTATACCAATTTCTAATATTTTGAGTTGAACGTGGCTCTACAGAAGAAATCTCTGATAAACGAGTAATAAAAATCAAGTGTTTAACAAAATCACGGCAAAAAACCATAGACCACGTAACCCCCAGATATTAGAACGGTGCTAGAAAATAGTTCTTCTTGCCGTGATTACATCTTATAAGGAATTCTCTGAAGAATTATAAAATTCTTGTATAACAATGTGTGAGTCAAGTCATCCAGAAAAACGGGGATAATTTTCAAGGAATTAAATGACAGCAAAAAACAAGAGTCATAATAGCAGCTCCAACATGATCAGTTATTTGTAGTACAGATACCTCACGGAGACTTATGCCACTTTATTAAGCGTTTCACGTCATGTGCCAGATTTTCGAGAGATAAACTGCTTCGAAAGTTGTAAGGCAGTGAGATATATTAACAGTGTCGAGATTACCACGGTATCCTCTGCATAGACGAGAAAGTTGATGCAATTACTTCTGGCACACTAATCAGACAACAGTTGCTATACAAGGCAAAAGCCCAATATTCAACTTGTCTCTTATCTATTTTTGAGGATATAGGCAATAAAACGTTCGCAAATCATCTATCGACTTCCAGAGTTGAACTACTTGCGAAATTTGGGACATATTCCCGTTTCATTTATGAGTCGCGCTGGCAATGCCGCAACTGACCATCATGCAGTTTTGCGCAAATAGAATGACGACACCCTTCAAGAATTAACTTTTTGCTGGCGTTATGACGTCAGTGAATGATGTTGGCGATAAGCACCGCATGGACACAGCGGAACAGAGGTAAATCGAACAACCGGCGATGCTTGAGTGATGGAAGGAGGCGTGCGTTCTAGAAATGCCCACGTCTCCACCTTGCCTCTTGTCACGTTTATTAATTAAGCTTCTTCTAGCAAAAAAGCACTGCTTGCAAAGAGTCATATTCGAAACAGACTTCAATCGAAGACTCTTGTCCTATATAAGGAAGAGGTGGGCGGGCGGCAGGGCGGGACGGGGGGGGGGGGGGGAGAACAATGTATGCTTTACGGAAATGGCTGAGAAAGCAGCATCTCCAAGATATTATAGATTACAAAAAAAAGCAGACAGAAAGCTTCAACATCAGTAATCAACAGCATCATCTCAAGTCAAGATTTTTCTAAATAAACAAGCAGTCAGAAATGGCGTTAATTTTTTGAAGTTAGCAACCATGAATGACAGCCTCGCCCTCCGCAACCTCTATATCAAAGCCGTAGCGAACAGGGGCTACTAATAATCCTTTTCCTAGAGTTTTGGAAAAGTCACTTTCGAAAAGCAGTATACATCGTACTCAAAGCAAAGCTCAACAAAAGAATAGGGCTTTTGCCGATAACCCCATCTCTGAAGAATTTTTGCAATCGCCTCTGTATTAGTAACGCCGGTAAACCAGTGCCGCACTAATGGTGTAATATGTGCGACTACGACAGATATCACGCAGCGAACATGACGCGGAAGAATGGATGTCTTTTTTGTTGTTTTTCTCATATAAACTTCTTGTTTCCTCTGCTGCACAAACGCCCATAATCCAGGATTGCGAGAGCGGCTGGCACGCAGCTGCCTAGGTGGTTTGACTGAATCATAGATAGTCCACCACACACTTCTACGTTACCGTATAATTAGGCGTAAGCTCATGTGTGCAAAAACATGCAACTTCACGCTTGTCAAACCTCGAATTATATACGAAAATTACATCGCTTCATAATTTTGTATTGGCAATTAGTAGCAGTATAACTGCTTTGAAGCGCTAAATAATTGATCTACGACATCGTTTTCGTGCAGTACATAGTGTGCGTCAGGACAGAAGATTTGTGATGTTAGTAAGTCCCCTTTTTTTGTGCTCCTTGAGGACTTCTTTACCTTTTCTCCTTGACCAGGCTCAAAATGATATTGGGCAACGTTTCATCTCTCTTGTCACACTGTTTCCCTTACGCTAGCATTAAGAGCATTTTTCATTACTTGCGCTTACATGCTTTTGAGTGGTTTGGCGCGAATCGGTATATTTTTGATGACCACCGATCCTGATTTATCTGAAAGGAAAAACGTCAGAATGTGGTAAGGAAAACCCCTGAATTCAATAGTCGGCTTCAAAAAAATTGCATCAATTCTGTTCTGCAGTGTTCTTCTCTGCACGTCACATGATGTTACCAAATCTGAGTTTCTTGTAGTTCTTTCAGCTTGTCAAGCCTTATTATGTAGAGATATTGTCTTTCGCGTTGTGGCCGGGTTTCTTATAAATTTGTTATCATGATAACTTTGTTCTGAGCTACGAGGTTCAAGTTAATTACGTTGCCGGTGTGAGAGAGGAAAACGAATCAATCCTACGTTTCGTTCTTAGTAAACTTTGAACTGACCACGTTAGAGTTTGAATTTTGGCAAGGACTGAGACTCGGGATAGACTGAAGCTAAAAGCCGAAGAAAGTTCCTGTTACTCCCTCCCATTACAAATTGATGAAGCGATGTATTGTCTTAGGCCTCGGCAGAGTTCACGCGATTTCATAGTCGCGATTTATCGCGACAAGACAAGTGTTACGAGTTCATTGCATACCGATCTTCTTGTATCTCGGTTGTGATAGTTAGTCACGATTAGTCGTGTTGGAAAACTATCACAACCGAAATGCAAGAAGATTGCATTGCAATGACATGCAGTGATATTGTCACAGTTGTCTTGTCGCGATCAATCGCGACGATGAAATCGCGTGAACTCCGTCCGAGGCTTATACCGCGGCGCGTTTCGGACGTAAAGGTATTGTGTGAGCTACAGTAACGCCCAATTTTGTACGGTAGGAGCTGACAAGAGTTGCATTCTATGCCCGGACAACTCTAGAAGCAGGAGGATTTTGTGATTCCCTGTTTCCTTTTAGGAGTTGGATATTTGCGAAGGCGTGATAAGATTAGTGCAGTAGGGGTTTCGTACCTTTTCCAGCTGTCCTTACGAGGATGTCGCACAGTTCATCCAGCGGCCTAGTTATTCTGGCCAATTTTCGTGTCTGGTTTTTGGCTCTTTTGCCCTCTGCGTATGGTTTATGACTTGGTTCGCTCTAACGCTGAGGTATTCAAGGTTTCGCAGCATTCGAGAGGCGGATACACTACTACGGAGGGCATGCAACGATATTAATGTCTCCAACCTTGAACCCAATTATGGAACCATTTCAGGAATGACTTGAGCTGCTTGGTTGTCAGAAAATAGGTCTGAAAAGATAACTACCCTCTGTCCAACTTGGACTGAGCCCGATTGAATGGTTCGCGTCCCATTCGGCCACCGTTTGAGCTTGCACCGCGTTCGCGAACTTGTCCCTGATCATTTCACACCTGACTGAAGATAGGGGATCGACTCAGAGCCCGTTCACATTTTCAGACAACTTCGCGAACGCGGTGCAGATTCAAGTGAGGCGACTGCTCGGTGACCCAAGCCGTTCGAGTCGGGACTACTCCAAGTGAGACAGGATAGTTGTGCCAGCTCTAAACCGATCTGCCAGCCAGGTAATTTAAGTCATTACTGAAGTGGTTCAATGATTTGAAGGCATTGGTGCGAGAAGGGTCGCGAAATTTTTGAAGTTACTTGAATGTGTTATGAAAATGTGCAAGCTACTTCTTTTTACTTGTGAATAATCGAAATAATTTTTGAAAGTTCTGTAAAATTGTAGCCTTGCATTGCCGCCATGCACCTTCATCCAAAAGAAATTTTTTGTCGTCCCACCCCCCCCCCCCCCCTCTCCGGAACGGAAATCCTGTACGCCAGTAGTATAGAGTGTACAGATATCATGCATATGTGCTCTGTGAATGTTTTGAAGACATCTGTAGCACTTTCAAATAGTTTAGCAAGTCTGGAATCTTGAGCGCACCTGTTGCATTATCACGGTGTGTCTAATATGGGACAAGTGTTGTAAACTGTATTAGTGTCAGAGGCTTCTGGTCATACTTCAAGCGATTTCGCGACGCATTTGACAGTACTTCATTTGCCTATACCTTACCGCAAACTTAGTTTGTACAGAAAGCAAAACACTTCAATTCACAACCTCTGGCATTTGTGATCTGCGAGTGTTATGTCTGAGGAGATCTGGCAAATGAAATAGCTTCGAGACTGAAATGAGGTATGCCGCAAGCCCAGTAATCCAGGATTTCCTTTCGGGGTAGGGGGGGAGGGGTGGGTGAGGGTGCGTGGCGTCAGCCGTGCACTTCGAAACTTTTGTGAGGTGCTTCCCAAAATTTCTGCGGGCCATAACTCCGAATTAGAAAAAGGAGGCGCGGCTGCAGACTCTCGAAGAAGAAAGTTTTCACACGTCTTATTGGAAGTTTCAGAATTACCATAGGGTGGCGGAGCAGAGGCAGAGAGAGTAATGTACACTTTAGCAGATTTTCCCGTAATATAGTGCGCTTGCGCTGGCGAGACTTTGCGGCGAAGTTTGCGCGTCAATGAATAGATACGCCTGTGACGCTGGCCACTTGCGCGCGTCATATACCGGCATTCGTGTGCATAATTCACCGCAAAGTCTCGCATCGCTAGTACGCTATATTGAGCTGAAAATATATCTGCGGTGTATATACCGCAAATAACGTCAATTACATCACGAACCAGCTATTGTACAAGCAACATGAAACATGGTAGTAAATAAGCGCAATATTTCAATCAAGCGTAATTTGCAAAATTCTCACCATCTATAGACTGCTACTGATTATTCCTGTCTTTTTTTACAGGGAGCATCGTCATGTTGAAAAGGCAGATTTGAGGAAAGAAGTCGTGAAAATTTTAGATTGTTGCTTCTTCTTCAACGGTTTCTCATGAGGATTAGTGTTTTTCTGATAACCAAAAAATTGCAAAATCCACAGATAGTAGATCATCAGGAGAATTTGATTCTTAAAGAAGTTATAATATTTTGAGTTTGAAAATTGCAAGTCAGACAGAACTTATGCGGTAACTTGATAATTTCTAGTCTATGACTGCTAAACGCAAAGAGCTAGTACTCGTTTCTCAGCCCTGCGTAAGGATCAATCGATTTCCAAACCTTGTTGCCCTTCGAGCCTTGTCCGGTAGATTTTTGCAAATTGTTTGTTTTTGATTGTCCGATACTCCACACAAAAGATTTGAATGGTAACGTGAATCACGATTCAAAATATTGGTAAACTGTGGGATTGCTCCAATAGTGGCTTCGCCGATGCCCGCAGCATAGTACACAAATATCTTTTTATACAAGAAATGTCACATCTCCATTTCAGAAAGTGACACAATTCTAAATTCAAAGATTCTCGTGTTTTGGCGTAAGAGCTGCGTGATTCACGGTTCGATCTTAATTTAACACGTTGATGACCGTGTGCGTATGCGTGTATGCACGCCCTAACTCCTGTTTAGCATTTTCGTGCATACGCACGTAGGCACCCTAGTTTATTAGATGTAGACGAAAATTTCTGAATTTTGAGACAGAGCATCGCGGCAGTTGTTCAGTAGTTTGAATCGTAAATTTGAGTTTTTCTCGAAAACTCTATGTAGCTGTTCTGAGAGCGGACAAGGATATTTCAGACAAAAAACACCTACTACTATAACGTTTTTCGGGGGGAGATTCCCCAGATATAGCCACTGCATGATTTACTGGAGTGGAAAGCGATTCAAAAATCTTGATATATGTAATTCATGGTAAGACTCTGTGATATACATGTGATTCTGGAAAAAACTTCCATAAATGAGCGTCAAAAAGACTCCTCACATAATGATTTTTTACATAGCGTATGCATGAGCCAAATGCTCGAGGAACGTCAATGGGAGTTGGCTAAATGGCTCGGTCGTGGACGTGTTAAATGAGTAGAATAAGTGTGAAAGGAAAGCGAATTAATGTTCCTGAAATTTTGACAGACTCCCTAGAGTAATTTTTTTTTACGCTGGTGTTGTATTCAAGTGACGCACTTTATATCCAAAGGGAACTTCAATGATCCAAAACCAAAAGGTTCTAAAATCTCTTTCAAGCTTCGTTCCAGCTTTTCCAAAATCGATGATTTTTGTTGGGAAAATAGAAGAAACAACAACATTCATTCGGCTGGTCACATGCAGCTGTCAGAATTCAGTGCAAATTTTCGACAGCCAGCTGGATCAAGCAATCTTTGGAGTGCCTCTGTAGTCATGAATAGCACTCACTGTCATAGCATTCAACTATCGTAACCACGGTGAAAAAATTTGCTGCAGGGTGCCTTCAACGGATGTAAAGCTGTAAGATCATACTCCAAAGAACAATGTTTCCGGGCAATCACAATTATTTTGAATATGTGATCAGCCTAGTGAAAAGTTCAGTAAAATCGAGTGGAAAATGTGGCACAATTTTTGAATTTTATAACATTTTGTGACAAATTAACTATCCAAAATCCGTTGCAAAATGTTACACTCGAATTTATGCCCTCTCGAGCGTGGTTCGCAGAACTCATGTGTCATGATTGAAACATAGCATATCACTACATAGAATTACTGGTAAGATGTTTTATTTTATAAACCCAAATCTGCGAGAGAACTTTTATGAAAGCTGGGCTTTCGAGCTTAAAGACTGAAATAAAAGTTTTCTTTTTAGAGAGCTGTGAGATAGTTGCTCATACAGTCGAGTCCCTTCGTATGATCACATGTGTCAGTGCACACAATGTGCACTTTGCCGTCCCCCCCCCTCCCTGGAATTCTGGTTGCAAAAACGAAAGAGACCGACCGATTTACATCTCACATCAAGAAGAGATTCGTACCTGTAAAACAAAGAAATAAAGAAACGTCGGAAACACTCAACGCGGGATGTTTGCTTAGAGACAGCATGAAGACGGTAAAGACGGACAATATGTGTGATATAATGATTATACAATCGAGTAGGTTTCCCGTTTGATATCGTTGCTTGCACTGTAGGTACAATGCGGTAAAATTTGCACGTGAATAACGTCTGTAGTGCCGGCATTTTGCGCGTGCAAATGGCCGGGTTACAAGCGTAGCTAATTGTTCACGCGCAAATTTTACCGCATTTTACCTGCAGTGCAGGCACACTATATTGAGCGGAAATCCAGTGTATGCCATGTAACTTACAGTTGGACGTTAATGCATGATACTTTCAAAAACTGAGTTGTTAGCCGGAAATCGATAGCTATTGGAGCTCTGTTGGAAGTTCCAAAATCACATGTATTGTTCAATGCATGTGCTGTGAAAAGGGGCATGAGCGCAGTGCAGCCCTGTTCTAATGTGAATGCAAGACGTGAAAAATCATGGTGACACAGCAACCACCTAATCAAACTGTAAGTGAGCTCGTTTCCTTTCGAAATTTAGCTTACTTCATACTGCAGCACCGACATTAGCTGCAACAGTGCAATGCTTTCGGTGGAATACTGCTGCGAATTTGTCTGCTCTTGTCAGAACAACATTCAGACGATATCGAAAACGTAAAATACAGTCGAAGCATTTCATATGATCATGCGGCACGCACTGTCCACCTCCAGCGACCTAATATTGGATTTTTGGAGCAAACACCCCTTTAGGTGAGTGTTCCTGGTGTATGTGCTTTCTTTCCCTTCTAGGCACTAATCTCCCAAAAGTTATGTGACCTAACAATCGGTAAGAGTTTTGCGTTTTTGCAACTGCAAATCCAGGATGAGGACGCCAAGATGGACGGTGTTTGCGATGCACACATGATCACATGGCAGGCGCCATACTGGATCCGCCTGATCCACTTGATCCGCTTCCTCCACTTTGCTCTTGGTCAAATCAGCAAACTGACCAATAGTGAAGTGGATGAAGTGGTTTAAACGGATCGGATCAAGCGGATCAAGTATGTGCGTGCCTATGAAACGATCCTACTGTAAATGAGCATATTTTCTACTTCAACACTACTGCAGCTGTGGCGGTCTGTCCAACTAGTACGTTCAGGATTGTAACATGAAACATGTTTTACCAATGTTAAGATGTTATATCACATTGGCGATTTTCAGCGAGATAAATTGGATTCATGCCGTCCGTTTTGCACTACTACGAGATCTTTGCCTACTGGGTGCACCACCTTCGATGTGAGGGCCTTAGTAATTATCTATCGCATCACTGCTTACGCTTAAGCAGCACAGACGGAAATCCCGCTGATGAGACTGACCGAAGCGCTGTCTGAAACAGCTGGTTTGGGCCTCATTTAAGTACGGAGGGGGCGCGCGAGGGTGCGGGTGTGGCTGCTTCGGGCCGGATAGCCGGCCACGATATCGATCGTTGCCGCCGCCGCGTTGCAGACGAGTCGTTGAGCGACTATTGCACAGCGACCACTGCGACATTCGCCACACTGCGCACCAATGGGTACGTTCTTATAATGTTCCTCAAGAGTAGAGAAATCAACTGTTTATGTGCTGGTCTTGCCCGGTTGTGTTCACCATGCAGGTTGTACCTCTTAAAAAGAAATGGCAGTTATATCTGTGTATGAATCCGCAAGAAGTTCACTCAACTCGCATAATAGCTCATTATTCTTTTGTGTGCGTAAATGTGGAATCTCTAGTGTTTATGCACAATCACAAATTCCATTAACATTTTTGCCGGCAAAGTTATGGATATCTGGACTTTCAATGTAGAAGGCGGTAGCAGCTGAGCTGAGATTTTGCTTCGACTTTCGAAATATCCTAAGGTGATTGTCAGGGCATTGCAAGTGTTTATTTTGTACAAATTGCTTTCGATACGTTCTTGGTTGATTGCTGTACTTCTAGATCGTATTTGCCATGCAGCTTGATGACTTGATAGGAAGTTTTCAGTCAGTTTCGATAATGATTCCTATATGTGATATTTTTTGGGCTCTCTCTTGATGCATTTCGACATGGATGGTTCTGGCTTGTCGAAATGCGTCTCATAGTTTGGCGGGGCCTTTGAATTATGCCTATCGGAGCAGGCTTTATGCGCACATGGCTGAGACGTTCTTGCTTTACTTACAGTCGCCCTTGTTGGCCGTACCACTCACGATTAGAACCGTAGCGAAGCATGATCGCTGTAGTGCAGCCAAATTTTGTTTCAAAAAAATTTACCACAATCTATCGTACATCATATCGGTTTTGTTTCTGAAAATTAATTACTAGCAAGTACAGCTGGCAGGCTGTTCTCGTACAGTTCGTAACAGTTCATCATTAACATGCCTGAAATCTATGAGTTGAAAAGAGTTTTGTATCGAATATCGATCTTCCTTCTTTCTCATTTATATATATTGAAGGCAAGAAGTGCGAAGTCTGCAAGAAGAAATGTTCTGGCGACGTATTGAAAGCTAACGATAAATACTTTCATATCCAGTGCTTTCAGTGCAAACGTGAGTTTTTCAATCGCACATTCGCGAGCTATGGTTATTCACTTCTAATTATATCGTAATGCGATAGCTAATCATGAATTATCAGTCGACTTGTTCGCTTGAGTAGACTCTAAGTATATTGAGTTTTTTTCGTGCTGCTGTTTATAAGAGCATTGCCTCTCCAAGTCGTTGCAGCGGTAACTTGTTCTAGACTGTTCTGTTAGTCTCAAATTTCATTGAGTGGTGTCAGCGCACTATGAGTTGTCAGGTTTAACGTGCATATTTAGAATGCTCCAGACCCTTGGGTGAGTCGGGGTTCTACTTGACATCTGATGGCACATATCTTTGCCCGGAGGATTATCGAGCCATTGGTAGAAGTGCCTCATTACCGCGCCCAACGGTAACTGAAACACCAGCTGCCGCTCCGAGACCTGCCGCCGTCAATGGCGAACAGAACATCAACAATGTGGGCGAGAAAGAGACTGAACAGCTTTCACCCTTAGGATCGCCATCTGGTACGCAAATTTCTTTCGTTTCTTCCAGTCATATGTGCCCATTGGTCAGTTAACGAACAAGTGTACCAAAAATAGCTCTGGATGATTGCCTCAGAGAACGTGATGAGGTCCAAGAGAGCTGGCTTGAATTTTGTGATTGTACATAATGAAATTTTCATTGTTTTTTAGATAAGTGGATTTTTTGTTAAATAAGTCGTTTTCTCGCTGCCGTATCTCTATCTCAAGATTAAATTATTTTGCAATATACCTATGCCTCGTCTCATTTTGTGTTTTCTCAGGCTCAACATCCTTGCACTCTGGTTACGACCTAATCTTTTTTATTATGCTTCTAATCAAAATGATTATTGCCTCATTTTGCGCTGGATACGCCGCGAAGGATCGAATTTTTCATGCTAATAGAATTCCTACAACTGTAGAGCGGTCGAGAATCAATAATAGACAATAATAATGTTCACAGATTTGTTGGTCCTCTATTTCAAGCTTCGCATTCCGAATCGTTACACTATCATCCGCCATATAAACTGCCACGTCTCCATCCTATATATCTAGAGACATACAATCAGATTCAGCATTAATATCATCATAACCATTCTGGCTAGCATTACGATAATTGTGTTTCATATACAATGTCTCTGGCTAGATTACGGTAATTCGCGATAATTGCTGAGTAATCTCATTAATCGAGAAAGGCTGCTGCTTTGGTCCGTAAAATGCATTTATCATTCGCAAAATAGTTTTTATTTGGAAGAGGACAGCTCTTTATAGCACAATAGTCTAAGGGACTCAGCTGTCAGTTATTGACTTGTCTTTGTCATGGTGGCGCTTCGATTGCATGTCGGGCTTCTTAGCATGAAAGGAAGCCGCTGGTGCTAGACGCTCTTGGTCATTCATGACTTTCAGGTTTTGGTTGAGTGAAATTTACAAATTTTGCAACTACTTTTCTTTGGGAGTTGGAGGCTAAATGCTGTTTGGGTTCTGGGTCATAGCGCCTTTGCAATCCACTTACATTTGATTACACTTTCATCTATAGCTAAGTACATTATTGATCAGCCCTATAACTAACTACCCATAAGGCGCAGTTATAGTAGGTATTGTTCGGATACAACCAGGTTCTCTTGCTGCGCTCACACGGCCGCCGCCAGCACGAAAGATGACGTGACTAAGGGCCGCATGCACTAACATCCTCGCGGGGAGGGGATCACAGGTTAAAAGAAAGCTTTATATTTCGAAACTCCAGATTCCTGGATTTCACATTGCGTGCATCTCCGTAAGTATTCCTACTACCCTTCACTATGAACATATTGAACAGAGCGAGAAGCTGTACGAACCGCATTTTCCAGCTTTTGTATGATCCCTGATGATCCCTAGCACTTTTCTTTAGAGTCATTTTTCTCTCTCCGAAGTTAACGAAAACCTTCCAAAGTTGTACTGAACATCTAACACAACAGTGCTAAGCATGTTGCTGATGAGAACAAATGAATTTTTAAAAAATCGAGTTTTTCGGTAAACCTCAAATTTCGACCTGTGGATCATCGGAAATTTCATGACTTCAAAACATCATTTGTTCTTATCAGCAACATGCTTAGCACTATGTGTTAGATGTTCAGTACAACTTTGGAAGGTTTTCGTTAACTTCGGAGAGAGAAAAATGACTCTAAAGAAAAGTGCTGGGGATCATCAGGGATCATACAAAAGCTGGAAAATGCGGTTCGTACAGCTTCTCGCTCCTGTTCAACATGTTCATAGTGAAGGGTAGTAGGAATACTTACGGATAGGTACACAACATGAAATCCAGGTATTTGGAGTTTCAAAATATAAAGCTTTCTTTTAAGCTGCGATCCCCTCCCCGCAGGGATGTTAGTGCATGCGGCCCTAAGCATTGCCGCATGCTGCCCTCGATCGTCTTTGGATCCCTGGCATGGGCCATCACACCACCTCATGACAGAAGGCTCGATCATGGTGTCCGTCTCGTCATAGTTCTGTCTCCAGTGCTTCGCATATCAATGCCGGAGTCGAGCTCAATCTTCACGGACCTGATTTTTTTTTGAGATAGAAACCTCCCAAATTTCATTGCATAAAGAGGCAGCCTAACGAGGTCTGAGATTCTTTGACTGTAAATCCTAATGACTTTGTCACCTGAGTTCGTTTTAGTATCTGACTTGCGTATAGAAAGCAGCTATTTTTTGTAGCTGACCTTCAGATTTTTGACATGAAAATATTCCAAGTCTTCGACTACGGTTAAACACTAAATGTCGGTATTTTTATATTGAACCATATACACTCCGTTTTGCGAAATTTATCATTTTTTGATGAGTCATCTAAATCATGTAATTGTTGTTAAGGCTACCACAATTTTGTGCTATACCTACAAGGGCTGCTGCGGTTGTTGTGAAGGGGAATTTCGCAGATTTTTGTCTTGAGCGTCTACTATGACTAGACTAGGAAAACCGGTTTAATGTAGAACCAATCTTAACATTTTAGACAAGTAGAAACCTCACAACATTTTTATCATTTCCAATGTTCTCCTTTTTTGTACCTTGGCATAATTGGTGGGTATTGCTCGGCTTTTTTTGTGCCACGACAGATTTTTATAGTAACAATTTATTGTGTTTTACATTCGGGCGGAAACACGTTCCTCACGAGGCCTAATGGTGAGTCAATCACCTCCATCAAACTTTATGCCATCAAACGCCTCGTCCAGGTCGTTTATTTGACTCGTCCGCTGCAATCGTAGTTTAGCTTTCAAATTGACTTAACTTACTTCTAGGATCACAGGAGAAGCTCTCTAAATCGCCTACAGTGTACGGTAACAATAGACAGTCCGACTGGTTTGGACGTATTTGAGGGGTGCATGTCAAAAGGCGCGATTTTTATTGCCAGATAACCGATTAGCGCATTTTTAGTATTTTATGAAGGTCTAGGGGCAATCTGAATTTTCAAAACAAGATATGTGTGATCGTCCCGTGGGTTGCTCTATCATATCAATCTGAAATAAATTCAGAACATGAATGCTGGAGGTCACAAACTCGCGAAAATGCAACTAATCGCAGTTTCGCAAGTATTTCAATTGATTTTTCACCAACACCTTCAAACTTCGTATGTAGTAGCTTTGAATACTAAGTTAGAGCACTTTGTCTGATATCCTTGAAAGACTCTCTTAGCTCTAGATTGGGCTGTTAAACTGGTGACTGAAGAAATCGCGCCTCGTAACCGTTTCCCGTATTTGAGTAGCTATAGGTTATCTGAAAATCACAAGAACGTCATGAGATCGTGTGTTGCAGCAGCTGGTCATTCTTGCTATTCATTTTTGGATTACGAGCAAGAATGAACGCGGCTTCCAATACGTTTTGGCTGAGATATAATCCTCGACTGGCAAATGCAACTTATTTCAAAGGTTTTGCCGCTATCTTTCCTTCTGTGCCTTTCCAATGGGCTCACAAGGCTTTGTCTTCTCTTGGTGGCCATATTTTCATTTACACGTATAAAAACGGTCAGCCGGTTTCACCGATGTAATTGGCCCGGCATGTTCGACATTCCAGCCGGTAAACTACATCACTGTTTGTTTTCTCAGCAATCCCCTTACCTCCTGATTGTGCACACATATCGTATAATCGATTTTGAACCAGTTGTGTCCTAATGTTGTCTCATTGTGTGCTGAGAAAGCTGAGTAATTTTCATCAATTCTTCCTTCTCCCCTCCAGGAGTTGCTTCATAGATTACACGCATGTGAGAATCAAAGATGGATTCACGTTTCGTTGTCGCAGTCTCATCCTCATATTGTATCGAAAAGATAGGACACAAGATCGATGTCATTCCGTAAAGCTTTTTCAGACCAAAACGGCCTTTTACCTTTTTCTAGCACAGAGTCGCGCCTCATCAAGCACCATATCTACTTGCGCAGGTCTCAGCTCTTTGACAGCCAATCGGCGAGAAGCGTAGACATAGCGCAGACCCAGACGTCAAGCGAGCCCAGTTGAGCCGGATGCGCGGGGTCGGCGGAATAGGATTGCTCAAGTGAGAGCAGCTCGCTCTCTTCGTACGTGACATCGCTGCGCTCCCCGTTGAGTCAGCGGGTGCCTGTGTAATCGCAGCCAAATTCATTCCCGGAAGTTGCTTGAATGTTTTTGAAAGTGTCTTTTTTGTGTGGTTCTGAGTTTTTTGACTTGAAACATAGAAATCGAACCAGCGGCAGACAACAGCAACTAGTGAAAAACCAAAAGTATACCAGTAGTTACAAAGAATAATTTGGCATTCACAGGCGTTCATGCTTATCATAGGTTGGGACGCGGCATTTTGTAAGTTTATGCAATCTGATGCAAATTTACCCTCTCTCACAAGTGCATGATGTCTTTGAAGTTTTTGCTAATGCAATATGAGCCGTCAAATCTGCGATTAATATGCGTTTAGCAGGTGGAATTCGAGCGAAATTCATTTTAGAGCCTTTTCGTTGATGTAGCACAGGTTCATGTGAAAGTGATGAGACAGAACAGAGCAGCTTTGGTTTTACTCATATTGCTAAAAAGCAGCATGGAGGCTAATAAACTTCACATTTTTGTTGGGTAAGATTGATCAAACATTCTTCAGTCGGTTTAGCAAATGCAATCTTTTGTTTTCTGCGCGAAGGGGTAATATCATTTTTCTGTTTTTCTTATACTGAGCGTACGCTTGTGTAATGGGGTTTAGAGCAAATAGTCTTACAATTAGAGAGGTTTTGGTTACACAGAATAATAATAAAAAAAGCCCAGTGTATATTAGTTTCATCTTCTTCGCTGTATTTTTACATTAGTTTTTCTCATTCGAGTTTTGATGCAGCTTCAGTGCAAAATTTGTTCAATTTCAAAATCCGAAATAACTATGTACATTACGCTTTTCAGCTCTTGAATTTTGACCTCAGCAATAAATCAAGAGTATGTGCTTTTTATCTATACATATCACTGCTCGTTACATTCAAAGCAGTTCTTCCGATTATAAAACATATGTTATCTACATAGCATGCGGTTGAAGCGCAGTCTTTGAAACTTTCTCAGCCATAAACTAAAATAAGTAACGAAGCTACTGCATCCATATTCATGGCACCCACACTTGCGTGGCTATCAAAACAACGCTAGAGCACTCTAAGCAGAAGTACCACTTCATCCTCAGTTATCCTTCGCAGTTTATTCACATATCTTGCAACTAGCCTTCGAGTTTCATTGTAGTTTCTCAGTTCAGTTGTTTCTCAAATCAGTGTGTTCTACGTAGAACATTATACAATTTATTCCAGCTGACTGCGCAGCCTGTGACCAGCCCCTTCATTCTGGCCAAGTCCTTTTGGCTCTAGGACTATCCTGGCATGTCTATTGTTTCAAATGCAGGTGTGTTGCCGTTTGTTTTGGAATGTTTCTGAGCCACGAAATTGTGTTCGTCCACAGCTGGCTCGTGCGCGGGCGTACGAGCTCCATTGACGAAAGTTGCTTAAACACGCCAATCTCAGCCGCGTCGGACAAAAAAGCGACCGCCTTTGTCGTGAAAGAACTTTCATGGAAATTGCGTAAGGGTGCTAGTTACTCGTGCCGAACTCAAACCGAATCAGGGTGTGCGAAAGTCGAACGTTCTTGCATTTTTGTGTGGGAAAGTCGAACGTTTTCGCACGCCTTCAAAAACCTGAGGTTTTGATCAGGTTTCTGCACAGGTCATTAGTGCGTACAAGCTAGGGCCGTTGCCGAAGAAATCGCGCAGTCACGCACTTACACATTAAGAGATTCGTCAGTCTTGCACCTTTACATATGCCATCTCGATAAACATTGAATGTCGAGCACGCTCAAGAGTACTTTACTCCTAGTATTCGCTGTCAAAACGACTGGTTGAATCGCAAAGGTAACAAAAAAACTCAGGCGAGGTCTCAAAAAAGCATGAAGATAAGCGACTGAAGAGGAATGAGAAGAAAAAAAAAGCTCTTTTTGGAGGTGAAGCGGCAGGAACTGCACCATGCTTAAATGTCGAAGGCAGTATACTACTTGGTCCCTTCAAGCTCCACTCCGGTCGGTGTCGGCCCGGCATGCAGGAGGCCAAAAAGTACTCAAATACGTATACGAGTCCTCGCCGTAATCTACACAAAATTCCCTTCTCGGTTCCTTTCTTTCTCTACTCAGTCTTCTTTTGATACTGCAAGAGGTTTTCTCCAGTTCACATGAATATGCGAAGACGCGGGCGACTGTTATAGCGTCGCGGTAGAAGTGTCTGATTGTGAGCGGTGGCCTATCCTTCGAGTGTGGAACAGTGTCGCAGTTTGGTCATGTTTGCACCCTCGACTGTTTCTCTAAAGAGATTACCTAGAATAGAAAATGCATGTAAGGGTCACTACTTTAGTGAATGTGGTGCGGTGCTTCATGGTGAGTACATGTCGCATGATGGAAAGCCACTCTGTATACGGGACTACAACGAAAAGCATGGTGTTAAATGTTATGAATGCCATAAGTTCATCGCCGGGAAAGTTTTGCAGGTACTTTTATTCTGATGTCTGTGTTCTTTCTCCCATGCGCAGCTTTTTCACTGTTTTGGCCATTATTATGTGGTATAAGCTTTACCACATCTCTGTCTTCAGCTTCGCAAACGCATAGAGTAGTTGGCCTTACTTCAGTTTCCATTGATTGTTTCCAGGCAGGCGGGTACAAATTTCATCCAACTTGTGCGAGGTGTTCTCGATGTGGTTTACATTTTGGTGATGGTGAGGAAATGTACATGCAAGGAGACGAAATATGGCATCCATCCTGTGAACATTCTCGCACTACTGAAAACATAGCGGTATCTGCTTTCATTTTTTTAATCATCTGTTAATGAGGTTTGCCGCCGTGAATTCGTTTCATCATTACTCCCGCTTTGCAAAAAAGGCTGTAACCCTTTCAGCCATCAGCGAAAAGCACAACGTTGTCATCCCGAAATGAGCCGAAGTATCAGTCAGCTTTTGGCCAGCATCTCACTTATATGTATCTATTACCCGAAGCTGAGCAAACTTATCTTCGTCACCCCATCACAAATCCGAAAGAGCCCAATGCTCCGCAGTTTCATGTACCGCAAGGTAATGCTCCATCGATTTGTTGTTGAATCACGTAAGATCATTTGCAGGACCTATCAAAATTAGAAAGTCTCGTCTTTCTATGCTCAAAACAGGAATGCAGCGACTTAGTACGTTTTTTTTTGGTTTTTACGAGATAAATTGTGAGAAAGGATCATTTTGCTATCAGGAGCCTGCATATAAGTTTGTCATGTTTAGCGGAGGATCTCGAGAAGAATGTTCCTCGCCCGAAATCACCTCACATGGATAATGAGGAACCGATCGAAATGGCGCATTACCCTGCCGGTCATGCGCCTGATCCTGATAAGGTATTAGCGTTGACGAATGTGTGGGTTTACCGATCTTTATATTTATAGCTTCCTGCAATAGAGCGAGACGATTTTCCTGCCCCACCGTATCCTTATGCTGTCGAAGGTGATATTTACGTACCCTTACTTATCGAAGTATCAGGTGTTGGCAGCAAACTTTGCATTTTCTTGACTCTTGACTTCGCTTACTGTAGTTGGTCGTTACGCTTATCCCGAAATCCACCGCGGTAAGCACGAAATGTCGAAAGCATGCGTCGTTCAAAACCTTCATTTTAAAGATGGACGGTTAGAGAGCGTAGCTGTTGCAGAACTCTTGTGATTATCACATTGCAGCTAGGAGCTGCATATGACACTGCAGGGTCACCCGCGCCCCCTATTGGGTGGTTACGATCATAACGCTATCACGCCGACTTAACCAATTTGAGTCCCTCATAGTTTTGGAAGCTTCATATTAACTCAAAACTTGCTGTTGCTGTTGTTGGAGAGGTGGTATGATTCCTGAGGCAAATGGTTCGGTTTGGAAGTGGAGAGGAGATCTAGCTACCTCGGAATGTTTTTTTCTTTAACTTTGATTGTTTTGCTTTGAATTTATATTCACCCGATGGCTTAGTTGATGGAGTGCGAGAAATTCTTTGAACTTTCAGAACCCTAATCTTGACCCCCACATTGCCCTCAGAACTACTAAGCAGAGAGGAATGATTACCCGAGCGTTGCAAAGTTAGCGCCATCTTTCTAGAGAAGTTGTTTTGAAATCATATGCGCGTTAGTCGCATGATGTCTTCCATCATACAAGACATTTATGCAAGGTTTTACAACATGTGTATGTGTATGCCGACAGATTGGATAATGTCTTTTAAATTATCTCTGAATTCAAATCAATCGAACTCGCCTTCTCTATTGAGTCTTGACAGCTGTAGTACCTGTTGGAATTCTTTCAGTTGAAGCATATCTTTACAGAATTAAAACGGCGTTTGTCGACGTCTTCCATCGAGAATGAAATTTCTGATGATGAATTATCTGAAAGCGAGCGGATTGATGAAGACAAGCTCAAGAAGGTACTGCAATTCAGCAAGCTTTCCTAGGCTCCATCTGAACCATTATTTTGCTTTTATGACTTTTGTACACTCTTTCTTTAATTTAGACTGTGGAACAATTAGAGAAGTTTGACGATTCGTCCATTGCACATGTCATCAAGCAAAATATAGAGGAGAGCCACAAGAAGCAAAGGTAACGCATAACTTGAGTGGTCGTTCCACTTTTGCTCCGAATAAGGGACGCATTTAGGTTACCTCTTCACTGGGATCCTCGCAATGCAAGTCGTACTCCATCAGCGAAAAAGATGCCACATTTACGCTTTCGCTACGACGTTCCTATCAATGCATGTAAGTACTCTCATTCAGAGAGTGGAACATCACCCACTATAATGATCATACTTATTTAGCGCCTTCTCGTCACCTCAATCGTCCCCGACCCTGGGTGGCCTGGCAAGGTGGAGAGCGATCGCAGGGTAATACCTTGCCTTGCTTCCACATCCCTGAAAGCAGAGGTTTGAATGTTGGAATCTCGCATGTGACTGCTGTGTCTTCATATATAAGTTCTAGGGAGTACGATGCGTGCAGCTACTATGCCAACAAGTTATAATTATGGAACTCTCTCTATGGAAAATCTGGACACCACGATTAGTAGCAATTTTTCCGACCGTATGCTTTTTTTTCTGCTGAATCGGCTTCGGTTACTGACCAAAATGTATAGAGTAGACCGTAGCGATTTCGTTCAGATTCATTGGCGGGCACTCTGGGTACTGGTATGAGAACAGTTGGCGAAATGCGTTCTACACTGCGATCATCACTTCCTGATATGAGTAAACCTGCAAAAATATACGACCTTGCCGTACTGCAAACAACTAACAAAAAATTGCCCGAAGATGCTGATAGGTAAGATCTTTTGACATAGATGGATATCCATTTTAATCTTATTTTTGGTATGTAAAGTTATGTTGTCTCTGAAAATCTTTTCTTGCCCAATCTCTGGAGTTATGACTCTAATATTACATGCCGGAGCTCATACATATGAAATAAACGCAGAAGATAGTGCAGAATTTATCAGTATACTCAGTTCTGTAGCGAGGTTGACTGAGCAGAACACTACATAGATATCAAGGCTCTATCTATTACAGGCAACATCTCGAGCGTCATTTAGCCCGAGAAGAATTCGAGAAGCTATTTGGAATGAGCCCTATAGAATTTTACAAGTTGCCCGAATGGAAGCGTATCAATTTGAAAAGAAAATACAAATTGTTCTAGCCATTTGCATGCTGTTGTTTTTGCCTTTGGAAAGTTCATGCTATTTGCAACGTCACATTTGATGGATATATGAGTCGACATTGCTGAAATAGGCGTCATTATTGTGAGGCATCTGTGTGCGAAACGCTGTCGCTGTTCTTTGTTGATGTGAAGTGGAAGGATTATGTGCTTCACTACATGCTTTATCTAGCTTTCCTATTATTATTGTGCCAAACGGAAATTGCGTGATCATAGAATTAGAGAGTTCCCGAGTTCCTGTTGTTGAGATGTCTAATTATTATCGCTGTTCGTTTGGGTAGTCATCATCTGTCACCAAATCGATACTGTCAATAGAATTCTAGTAATGTGTCATTGTGAGTTATCCCACAGTTTTTTGATCTATTCCAAAACTTTAATTGCTCTGATTATATAGAAGTAGCATAATGATTAATTAACTAGTTGCATGTTCATCCCGTTGTTTATCTAATCGCAGCCGTTGAGCCAAAAAATGTTTTTTTTTCCTGAAACGCGGCTTTGCGTTTTGATCTAAGTTGTCTGTTTAGGAAATGGTTATCTAGTTCCAATTTTTTTCCTTCGTTTTTGCACGACTCTGCCTTAAACGCTTGTGAGCTGCGTAATTCTTACGTTATTTTTTAAATCCATGAAATGTTTGTGGGCTTATTTACAAATGAGCGTTAACGTTCTTTTGCTACCCTTGGTAAAAGTAAACGTATATTTCATGTGCAAGGTTTATGTTCACTCTCATTCAGAGACGCTTTCAAGAACAAATGGCTTTGCTTGATTTCTGCTTACTTGGTTCCAAGTATGCTTATGAATAAATCATGATCATAGTAGTTTATATGTAATCTAGTATATGTAATGCAGTGTGAATTATCGCAGTGACAGATTATGAGGTGCGGTACAAACGCATTTCCCATGTCATTAGAAGTCGGTAGATTTTAGGCATCTGATGATGTTAGGGTTTCCCTTTATTTTGTCCCTCTTTCAAGGACTTGTTGGAAAAGAAGGATTAACACTATGTTCACAGGCTCTTGCTGCAATTACTTCTGACACTATTAGTTTTGTTCATTTATAAAATAGCTTCCTATAGTTTCTTATATACCGTTAAATTTTTGATAACGTAGTCGAAAAAATCTTCAGAATGTGTCAACGATGTGCTCCCTTTCCGATCAGCTCAAGCGTAACGTTAGGGTTGAGCCATACTTCGTGGGGAAGCGGCGTACGCGGCGTACGCAGCGTACGCTCGGTATATTTCATCATAGGAGCATACGCGGCGTACGCCGCGCAGTCTGGCGCAACCCTTAGAGCTCCGCACCGTGGGCGTATCACTCCAGCGTCCAAATCTGCCACATCGACCGCACATCGCTGCGCAATGCTCATGCCCTGCAAATACGTTTCTATCACTGAAAAGGAAGCACGTGGTTGACACCGAATGCGAGCGTATTTCAGAAACTGTTGAGAATCGAGGTTTTACGGTTTCAAGCAAAAATCAAGCCGCACACAACCGTAGCTGCCATCAAGACAGAAATGTAGGCAACGTGTTGCCAGGGATTGACTTACCAAACTCAATAAAAAAGAAGAGTTTGATGACAAAAGATCTGGCACCTTACAGAAGTCAAAGATGTTGCGTAAAATTTGGAGTGGCATCCGTGAGTAATCAAACTGTGGAACTTCGGAATCTGTTAAGACTTTGTACAGTAAGTAATTCGACATACCAAACACCAACATGGTTCAAATGCGCACTTATTCTTCTGCGTAGGAAATTTATTCTTCTCAATGTCACCAATCCCAAATGGAAAGTCTTTAGGAATGAGTAGTTGCTTACCGAGCGTGCATTAGCCTATGGCGTACAGCATAAACTTCCATTTGATCAAAGTCGATGTTCGGTTCGCCGTTCCAGAGGAATTCGAAGACGTCTGATACGTTGTCCCGCGATCACGTACGTTCGCGCCCACGCGCGCGGGAATTGAATCTTCAAACTCAGGATAATTCCGTATCATCATCTCTGCTATTTGTTTCACCAAGAACCCTTTATCTATTTACTGCTCTTATTATCAAGAGAGAGGTGTAACCGGTGTTGTCATTTTTTTGGTATACGGTATCTCTGATTTTCCTGACTAGGCTAGATCCGCTTCACTGAGTTTCTTAGGTAAGCCGTCAGGCAATGTTGTTTTGTGTTTTGTCCTTTTCTTGTTACGTTGTCGTTTTCTTGTTATCTTAGATCTTCTTTTGCATCTCATTGTCTATGCGCGGTATCTATGTTAAGGGTTCTTGTATTCACTTATTGAAGATCAATGGTGTTGCGAAAGCGCGCCAAAATTTTTGACCACGAGTTGTCTCCGCCGGTTAAGGCAGTGTTGCAATCAGTCGTTGTTTTGTTCTTGTTCGTGTTCACATTGAGCTCTTTCCTTTTCGTCGCTCATTTCTTTTTGTTGTCTTAATCTTACCGATAAACGGTTCTTTCTCTTGAGTGTTCTAGTGAGTCGAACGCGGTACTACCGCGACGTTTCTATTCCTAGGCTATCCTTGTAGCCACTGAGGCTAGAAGTTGGTGCAAGTTTGGAGTCGTATTTGCGTCTTTGATTTTGTTTCTACTCTTTTAATCCGTTGTCTTGTGTCATTTGGATCGCTGACACTTTTTGTTTACCGCGAGAAAGTGTGACGTTGTAGCACCCTTGTTATGACGCCAGACTTGAGATCACAGCGGGTAGTCTTTCCTTTTCAATGGCCATCGACAAAGTGCCAGCTGCGGAAACTATTTATAGCAGCGGATCGTGAGATATCTGGAGGGCAAGCAGGGACAGCAAAGATTGCCTAAGGCTTTTTCCCGCATCTAATCACGCATCGCACGTTCGAATCTATACATTCAAGTGTAGTTCCAACAATGAACGATACAAGCAAGACCTTCATCAGCAGAATTTTTAATTGGATATTTCATATATGTGTCATCGACTCAATTGTGAGATTGCGCAGATTTGATTTCCATCAATACGGTTGTAGTCCACTGAAGAATCGGTTGTGGTGCAATTTTTTGCAGAACTGAAGATTCTGCAGCAGTAAACTGGAACTCTCAGGCGGAGGGCTGTTTATTTGAACAAAAAGAGATACATGAAAATCTGTTGAATGTTCTGGCGTATGACTTGATATTCGTTGCTGCTAAGGACATCATCTACTGGTATTAATTCTTGGAAATCGTAAAGGAAAGAACACCTCCGAATAGCCTCATTTGGACCCTTCTTTGCAGTCCCTTTGATGTTTAATGAAGCTACTTTTTAATTAATCGAGCCTACCTCGCAACCTACGAGACGAAAAAGTGCAGAACCTTTGGGCGTAGATCATATCAATTCATTAGAACTCTGCGAAGAGAGTGGTTAGCAAAAGCGAAAAGCTGCTTCCTGTTTTCCTGCTGCCGGGATATCTACCGTAGCTAGTGTTTCAGGATGACAAGATGATGGCAAAAAAAAGGCGTATGGCCGATGTAAAGGAAAAAGACGGTCACATTTCTGCATTTGCTATAAGTTATGTAACTTTGGCAGCGCCAAGTTGTAAAGGATAGGCCCGACCATACTTCGCTCAAAAGCGCCCAAATTTCCTAAACTCTTTTCATTTCACTCATCTCTCCTCACATGGAAAAGTGAAGAGACATTGGAGGACTTCGGACTTTTTTGGGCGCTTTTGAGCGAAGTTAGGCCGGGGCCATAATGAATTCTATCGCGTCAGCTCACCAGAGCTTTGCATAAAGTGGATCTGAGCGTAAGGAGTTAAAACACTTTGTATAATCCAGGTAGATCTGAACAACAGGCAACTCGATTTTGCGATAAGTCTGACTATATCAAGTTTACTTTCACTTCTTTTCATGTTTTCATATCGTTCTTCAATCAGGTTTCTCGCATGTTGCATTATAATTCTTCACTTCCATCGCTCGTACTTGTTTTTATTTTTTAGCAGTTTTGCAATGTTCTTGTTTCAGTATGGAAGGCGACCATCCATCCCCACGACCACGAAAGGTGCTCGGCGGTTCTCTTAGCAATATACCTCGACCTAAAGGTACATTGCAGAAGAATTTCTGTCTTTTTTGTGTCGTCCACACAAATTTATTCCATGTTTTAGTTTCCACTACTGTACAAGCTGCTCGCAGTCTCAAGCGTAGAAGTATTCACTCAATAATCACAATAATCAACTGAGGGGTGCACTTCCATCAAAACGGTGCTACTAGTGCAACTACTTCCAGACACATTCAGGTCCTTTATCCTTGTTGTTAGATTATCAAGACAAAATTCACGTTTGGAATATTGCAGTAACCGCTCCTCTCCCGGATCATATGAGAACGGACAGAGCATTGGCGAGCACTAACTTGCAGCGTTCTACCGCCACCACTCCCGGTAATGTCCCGCGGTATCTACACACAACAAGTTCAGTGGCGAGACGAAATAATGTGTCGCTGACAGAAGCAAGAACTCAGGATGCGCGCCCACCAAGTAGCACAGGTGAGATCATTGATAATCTCGAAGCTGGTTGAGAACTTCTGCAACGATGGCTATTTCAGCACATCGGTCTACGTTAGTTACCTGCGAAGATGCACGTACAGAAGAATTGCGAACGAAATTTCAGACTATGGAAGCTGAAGTCAATAAGCTGACTGCCGAAAACGATCTCATGAAGGTACTCGTTTAAAAAACCTTATACATTTTTTGTATATATAAGATTGCAGAGCCAGATTACACTGAAGAACCAAAGCATAACTACTCTACAGGTAATTTAGAAGCTCGTCTTTATTTCTATCGATGACAAGAAATCGTTTTAGAGCTCCATAGAATGCATTCATTCGAGAAGAACTTGCGTTGAAAGAGACTCAGATTGGCACTATGCAAGTGACACTGGACGCGGAAAAATCGAAGTCCTCGGTTATGCAGACGAACAATGAGCTGCTTGAAAATGAGCTTAGGGAGTCGAATGATGACAGAGCTATCTAAGAAACGGACTGAACTCCTCGAGAAGGATGAGACAATAAGAACTCGAAACAGTTATGTGGTCGATCTAAAAGTGAGTTTCTTTTGCTTGAAAACTTAGTAATAATGGCGATATTCAGGGACAGATTCGAGTTGTAGCACGCGTCAGACCTCCACTTGGAAAAGAAAGGGATGTTCCTACTACTCACATCAGCTACCCCGCAATATCCTCAATCAAGCTGGATCAGGTATATCTCCATCTAACACTGACTGCTCTGGAATCGTATATATCTTAGGGGAAATTATCGCAAACCTACGACTTCCAAAGGGTTCTTGGTCCAAACATGACTCAGGCAAGATTGTTCGCCGACGTGGAGGAGTTGATTTTGGTACATATGCTACATTATTGGTTTTTATTGTAAATTACAAACTTCAGTCTTGCACGGATATAACGTTTCAATAATTGCTTATGGGCAAAGAGGAAGTGGGAAGACTTTCACTATGAGAGGAGGTATGGTTTGAGATGCTGTGTCAGTTGCGACACCTGCTTGCTTTCGTTTCTAATCAGTTCTATTCTGTCTTGAACATAAGGAACTTCGAAAAACATAATTCGAACAACACTTAGATGCCTAAGAAGGCCTTTCTACGCTGGATTTTTTTTGCAGGTGATGATGATTCTGCCGGAATAATTCCTCGCGCGGTCCGGTTCCTTTTTCGCTCAAGAGACAAGCTTTCAGATTTAAATTGGGATGTGAGTTTTTCATTGCTTTGATCCTATCTATAGGGCTTATTTAGTGCAGTATCGGGGTGACCAGCATCTGCTCCCGCGCGGTCGCCTTACCTGGACTCTGCACCTCTTTCGCGAACATGCTGTCTCACTTTCCCATGCGAGCATGGGAAAGACGGAGCCTCAATCGATTGGACATGATTAGATAGCATGTTTGCGGAAGAGGTGCAGAGTCTCGTGCGGGGTGGTGTTGCTGAGACACCCGACACTACGATTGATAAGCTTTGTAAATGTACTGTTGACATATCGCTTATTGTTTCAGTTTGACTTCGAAGCTTCATTCGTGGAAGTGTACAACGAAGAAGTCTACGATTTGCTCGCCAACAGAAACAAACTAGAGGTGAAGATTGGGTCTGGAGTTACGGGTTATCACCGGTCTGAAGCAGCGCAGAATTGTGGGTGAGGGGGATGTAAGCGAATAGCAGCCTAAATCAGTCCAAAAGGCTTATCTTTCAGATTGAAAGTATACTTGCCCTGGCGGATCGCACAAGGTCTACTGCTTCTACAAAGTGCAACGAGCAATCCTTTAGAAGTCATGCCGTTTTTGCTCTCGCCATTCACGGGAGCAATAGAACGACAGGTACTTCCATAATGCAAAGTAGGTTGCATACTATGAATAATTGCAGGAGTAGGCCGCAGCGCCACTCTACATCTCGTTGATCTTGCTGGATCGGAGCGCGTGAAAGAGTCTGGGGCTGAAGGCGACCGCTTTAAGGAAACGACATATATCAATTCCGCCTTGTCGAATCTTCAAAACTGTATTCGTAGTCAGCTGGATAAGGTATGCCATTTTCTTTCCATGGAAAATTTACCCGGCTGTGATCATGTTCGTCTTCTACTCTCTTGTCTTGTCATCCACTTTGAATTTTTAGAGTACCCACATCCCCTATCGGAATTCTAAATTAACAATGTTATTATGGGACTCGCTTGGAGCAGGCAATTCCAAAACATTAGTTATTGTAACTCTGAATCCAGCTATAACACAAGCTGAGGAAACCAAAAGTAGCTTGGACTTTGCTCAGCAGGTAAGAGTTTAGTTCTTTGCCAGTGTAATTGATTTTTGATTTGCATATCTATTTAGATGAGCGTCACAAAGATTGGATACGCCAAGAAACAAGAGCAATGATCTTTAATCTTTTTCTCTTTATTAATTGGATGTAGCACATTTTTTCTGGTTTGCATGCTCGGTCGCTAGGTAGACATAATACTCTCAATCATTTCAACGATCTCTCAAAAACGATCAAACTGTAAATATTCTGTGTGATATCTAATTATTGGCTAAATAGTTGATGTATTGAAAATTGGTGCTTAAATGCTCTTTGTGACATACGTTTATTATAAAAGGTTTTATTTGCTTGCTGTGTAGCATACACTCAAAGGGAGCAGCGTTGGATAAGCTTCGATTTTTTCAGTTATATTGAGATCTGAATAAAAGGTTGAAGGAAAGATATATAGCAACTCTACCAATACTGAATTGGTTCCGATTCGTCCTGATCCCCGATTGGGGCAGACTGTATACACACAAACAGACATTTAGTTTTATTTATACAGATAAACGCACGTTACGTATGTATCGAACCCTATGTATCGAACGTATAGTTCATTTATAAAATCTGACGACGACTTTTGCTGCGGACTTTGCGCCCACAGGAGCACAAAACGCTCATACAAGAAGGCATCACTTCAATGTTCAGCTCAGTCACTTCCAGTGTCTAAATATTATCATACGTAGGCAAAAAACTATTCGGCGAGAGACGAAAACCAAGAAAACGCGATTTTCGGAAGTGGCGTGCGTGTCGCGCGCGGTCGCGCCATCGTCACGATTTTTCAAATGCCCTATATGTCTTTTACTGTTGCTGCAGTTACCGCTTCACCGCTGTTATTAGTGTTACCGCTGTTTGCAACCGTCCTTACCATCGCTACCGGGGTTCCGCTTCAGATGATCTGCTCGCAGTATCACTATTCTGCCACGAATACATCAGTCGATGATAGAGTAAACAAAATGCAGCGTAATACACTTTTTAGCATCGATAGCTGACTTTTAAAGTTTTCTAAAATTATTTGCTACCAAATTTGATGTTTTTACTCGAAACTTCGTGAAGCATCAGACGGCAAAGAGCTAGGGTGTCATCTATGCACCTTTTTTCCTCTTTTTCGCATATTTGCTTTTCTGATTCGAGAAGACCTCCAAGAAAATATGTCATAATTAGAAAGGGACGATACGACCTTCTAAGATGCCATCAAGAACTCTGCGGAAGTCTGGAAACAAATAAAAAGCGATTGAAATGCTAAGGCGTTATCTGAAATTAGGCGTCTGCCTTGTGTGCAACCACGGCAGGCTGGGCTGGCTTCGTCCGGAATGTCATTTGTGTATTGACAAGCGGCGCAACGAAGTGAATAGACGGATGACGTCTTGTATACCTTAGCATGTTTGAAAAGTTTGCTCACTGTTTTTTCATCGAAGGTTTGCTATTACGAATTGATTTTCCACCACTCTCAAGTCATTTTTCACAGTTCTTTGTTCAATTGTAATGACTTCTGTTCCCAGCTTGTTGCTTGACTTATTTACTTCATTACTGAATGTGCTGAAATATCGTTTGCAGAATGTCGTCAGATTCGCAGAAATCGGCCGTAATGAAGTTAGTCACGAACGATGGAGAGAACTTTGATGTGCCACGAGATGTAATTCGGCTCTCCACGACCATCAACACCATGCTGCAGGACCTTGGCATAGACAACGAATCGAGTGATCCAATTCCCATTTGCAATGTTTCCGGTCCAATAATGAAGAAGGTACTACAGTGGTGTACGTTTCACAAAGACGACCCACCAACCACTGATGATTCTGACAATCGCGAGAAACGCACTGATGATATCCCAAGTTGGGATGTGGAGTTTCTCAAAGTCGATCAGGGAACTTTGTTTGAACTTATTCTCGCTGCGAACTATCTTGACATCAAAGGTCTGCTTGATGTGACTTGCAAGACTGTTGCAAACATGATCAAAGGAAAGACCCCAGAGGAGATTCGGCGAACTTTCAACATCAAAAACGATTTTACTCCAGAGGAGGAAGAACAAATACGTAAAGAGAATGCCTGGTGTGAAGACTAAGACGCTAATGAAGTATATTTTCTTGTCCTAAAATTTTTGCTACGTTCCTTTAAATTTGGATATACCTTCATGTGATTGTCGCGGTTCTATCTGATCCATTCTCTAACCAGTAATTTTACGTCTCACAGAATTGTATCCCATTTAGTATGCATATTTTTGTTTTTATTTTTTTTTCGCTGCAAATTCCGTCTGTATGTATATAGAATTTGCTCTCAATAAACCAAATTTTAGGCAAAGATTCTGTGTTGTGGAATTATCTCGATGCTTGGCACTACATCTCGTACGTCTCATAGAGTCTTCGGATTTTCTTTAGAGTATCTGCCATGGGAACGCTTTCAAACATATAGAAGTGGGTTAATCAGTGCTTTACTTTCTTGTTTTGGGTTCCCATCCTTTCATTCAGGTGAACACCTCTAACGTCAATAATTAAATGATCATTCATCAGTCTTCTTAATCGAGATTTGATCGGGGACGAATGCATTTCATGATCGCTCCATTGTTTGTGATCGCTGGAAGTTATACCCCATCCCACTCACGTAAGGATGATATAATGATTGTGTGTTTGCAGTCTGCATTATGATGTTATCCTTGTGAGCGTCATTTTTTCACATCCACCTGTCTACTCTACGCAGGGACAAGCTATTGTTCATGCGTCATCGTTATTAGTTTAGTTACAATCACTTGTTTGTACCACAAGTCAATGAATTATTTTTTGGATGATCTTCTGTTCTATATTCCTCTCCGTGTTAATGCCATGATACTGATTTTTGAAGAATATGGCTTATACCACTTTGTTTATCACAGATGTTTCGTTTGGAGTGAGCCCAATCAGAGATATACATTGTGGCGCATGGCACAACTTCGAAATATCGTCTAGTCATTGGCCGCTCTATGCTGTAAGTTGAGACAGCTGTAATTTTGTGCATCGTAATTTCATCAGCCCGATCACTGTTCTTCCGTTTGTATCAAACTGTGATCTGCTTTTGCAACTTTCTCGTATAACAGCCTTTTATAGTTGAGAAAGAGCAGTGTTCTGTAACTATTATTGTAAAATCTCCAAACAAAACAATGTTTGCACTTTTCTCACACGGAGGCGCTTGCTCCATGATTACTATCGGGATTAGTCAACTATTATCTTAAATCGCCCTTGAAGTTGCCGGGAAGATCCAAGCGATCAAAGAGCAGGTTTTGTTGCAATTACTGTAGCACTTCGCATTTGAAGGCAGCGTTCAGGCAAGTCTGGACAGATGCGGATCTCACGTGGAAGTAATTTTGGGGCCCTAAGTAAGCAACTGCCCAACCGGTAGCTCAGGTAGTGCTCTAACGGCTGAGATATATCCTTCGAAGCTGGGCCTCAGGATCGTATTTCGCATATGGCGCAACGCGTGGGTTCTCGCGCGAAAGTGCCACCATGCGAATACGATTACTAATCTGTAAAAAATTTGTGAAGTCAAATCGAGATCTGGCGTCGTCGAGATCTCGAATCTTTGGCTTCGACATCACTGCTGTGGAGCATCCATGAGTGACGTGACTGAGCAGTCGAAGGGATATGGCGCCTTTCAGCTTGGTTAATCACCCTACTGTTAATCTGCTTCTAACTGCACAAAAAGGCTTTACCATGCAGGATACGCATCATTTCAATTTAATGATCAGCGCGCCGAGTGTATAGGGCATTCAAAAAATCGTGACGATGGGGCGACCGCGCGCGATACGCACGCACTTCCGGCAAACGCTTTTCTCGCTTCTCAACTCGAACGGTTATTTGCTTACGTATGATGGTATTTGGATACTGGAAATGACTGAGCTGAGCGTTGAGGCGATAGTTTTTTGTATGAGTGTTTTAGGCTCTTGTGGGCACCAAGACAGCAGTCAAATCCTTGTCACGATTTTTAGAATGACGTGTATACCTGGGGCGCAATTTTTTGAGTGTACGTGGTATACACAATTTTTTCTCTTACGCGGAATGTGAGCTAGTGCGTCTACCCTGTTTCTGTTTTTCTTTTTTTTCCTTGATTACTGAAAGTAGAATGATTCGGTATATATAGCGGCGAGCAAGATAGTTGCAATTCTACTCAATTTGGAGCGCTGACTTCAAATTTTTTCCTCTCTTCGTGAAAATTACTCTGAAATCTTGAGGTGTTTTCTCACTGCGAGGTTGATTGCACACATTAAAATGTTTGAAGAGCACCTGAGCGAAACTCACAACACGTTAGAGCAGGGCTGTTACTCCCTTTGAAACTTTGCAAAGTGAGATGCAATATTTTATCTCGTTTCAGATGCAAGAGGGCTTTTCGAATCGCAAGTTTGCCTAAGTTCTCGTGCGGTCTAATCCAGGACGAGTGAGGTGAACTTTGGTGGCGCACTGTTTTAGTCTTAAGCTTGGTAACTTTTGCAGTTTTATATGCTTTAAAGAGTTCCGCAAAATTTTCCTACCCATATCTTATTAAACAAGTTCCATAGGTGTACATCGGTAGTGGTTCAACAAATGTCAGCGTTACGAAAGGGCGTCCAGCGACAGCTTTTCCAGACGGACGATGAACGTCTTATTGCCATCGTTCACGTTGTACGGGTTGACGGTCGCAAGAAAAAGCATCCTACTTTCTTCTGTCTGGCGGGTACGTGCTTATGTGATTTAGTTCTAGATGTTATGATGGTGCATGGTTTCAGTGACCATAGAACATCCCATCTCCGTGCGCCTTTACTTTGTGAAGGGAGAGAGGGATGACGCATTCAAGAAGCGTACTCGATTTTACTTACGAGACGTGAAAGAAGTGGATGGAATCAATCCGAAAAAGGTTCAGATAATTGATCCTACTTTCCCGCAACGGTGTTTCTATGTAGGCGTTGCCGGACTTCCACATCACTATCGGCGACCATCGTTATAGCATCACTGCTAGTACTCCAGAGGAAAAAGATGAATTTATCCGGGAACTGTATAAGGTACTTTTACATGTTTGCATGCAGCAGAAACGAGGCAATTTATTAGTTTTCATCATTATGCTCGTCAGTGACTGTTGCAGCTCTCCGCGCAATACTTACCTGTTCAAATGCCCGATTTTTGCAATGTTTCCATTCCTGTTGACAATCGCGAGATTTCAATACTTCCCATCGAAGCTACAGATGAGGACAACAATGACATAATTCATGATTACCAGGTGCATTTTTGTGGTTTTATGCCTTTTTCACTGCAAAGCTGTGCAGGTAAGCGTCGCATGTTACTGATTTTTTTTAAACAAAACTTCTCGTGAAACTATCGGCGATTCAAAACACGCAAAGACTGGGCGCCGTTGCGTCCGACCAAGATAGCTTCTGCTTGGGAGAGACAGCAGGTGATGACAGAAACGAAAGAGCGCTTGATAAAGGAGACGCCGATAGGTCTGCGGTCTTTGCGTGCAACGAGTTGCCTATACTAACTTTATGAGCATCTTGGTTTTATGCTATCCTCAACTCATCCTCTGAAATTTCTGCATCAGGTCAGTTCTCTAGTACTGGAACAAGTCTGGATGACTGTACGATTGCAACTGATTTGTCATAGCTATACAACACTTCTCTTTTACAGCCTGTAAGTGCCAAGGAAGAAGCGGATTTTCGTCGACTCCTCATGAAAGCGGAACTCACTATAGGAGAAGCTGATAAATTTTCAGAAGTTTGTTGTGGTGCACTCAAAAGCAGAAGAATCTCAATTTGAGAGTTGTAGGTTTTATCATCGCAACTGCAATCATTGGATGGAGCTAATATTCAGTCTATGATGGGTAGTGAAATGGCTGTGAATCAACTGTTGTCACTTCTGGATGGTGCACTCGATAAAGTGGCTTTGTTAGAGAAAGAGATTGATATCTGTGATGCTATCCTCGCGGTACGTATATCGATTTAACAGTCGCAAAGAGCTCCATGGACTCTTTTGGCGACTTTAAATAATTCTGCTTACAGCATGTGAGGAACAGTGTGGAACTAATTGAAGAGAAAGATAGCCTGTCAGCGGTTGAGAGAAAGAATAAAGATAGGCTTCAGCATGAATTGACCGAATTCGTAGCTGCTCTGGATAAAGTAACTGACAATCACATCAGAACACTCAAGGAGGCTAATTTGAATGATGCTGGAAGGTAACGAACACATCGTTTCTTTTCAATCTTAGCTGACTTCATAATATACTCTCTGCATATTTCTAGCATTGCTCGTTGCGCTGAAGCTGCGCGTGCCGTCTCCCACTTTTGGAATGGATGCATCCCGAAACCCATGTTGCAGATGAAGGCTTACGAGAAACGTAATCGAGATCTTGCCGTGATAGATCTCTTTGTGGATCGATTTATGTCGCATCTATCCGCAATATTTAATAACCTCGTAAGTGGAGTGTGGTTTATAAATGATTGTAGGTACGCACTTGTGAAATTCTTTTTGCTTTTATATTCATGGCTGGCTTATCTATAGCATTCGTGCTTCCAGACTTAGAGGCAGTGTACTGGTGGAATTTCGTTTTCCAGTTTCTCACCTATTCGGAACCTTCTCGCCATGATGAACTCATGGGCTTTTTAGCGTATGAAAATGGCGAAAATGAGCTTTATTTGAAGCTTTTCGTTCGCCGTTCAGTGGAAAATACGAGTAAGCGGGCGGAGTCCGAAATGAAGGAGGCGGGGCGCGGGAGACTTCCGGCTAATTTTCACTGAATGTGGACCTCAAAGCTTCGAAAAGGCTCATTTTCACCGTTTTTGCGCTGAAAAGCCCAGATGTGGGTTCCTCATGGCGAGAAGGCTCCGAATTGGCGGAAAACTGAACAGCAGAATTCTGCCGAGACGTTGCCTTTGAGGGCCAGACTTACATGGCGCAGTCCCATCGCTCGCGGCTTTATCGACAAGACAACTTTTACGAGTCCATTGCATGTCGGTTACTTTGCATTTGCTCAATAGTTTTACCGCGCGACATCGGGAATAACTGTAGTTAAGCAAGAAATGCAAGGTGATCGACATGCAATGAACTCGTAATAGTTGTCATCGGGAGAATTTGCGAGATAAAAACGGTGATGTGTATCTGGCCTTCACGATTGCTCTTGAGGAATTGCGTTTTGCTGTGTTCCAGCAGTGCTTTCTAGTATGAACATTATGATAATCTGCTGTCTTGCGAGCATACCTTTCCCTGTGCTCATAGTTGTGTTATTTGCCTTTTTTGTTATGTTTGGCATATCTTTATAATTTTGTGGAGGCGCCAGACTAACCGATCGTTCTCTTTAGCAGGATGCGGCGTAGTCACTGTTATTTGATGTGACGTTGAAGGAGAATCAAGTCCGTGTCCGCGATCCTTCTACGACAAACATTTTCTGGTAGTAAGGCCTTCTCTCACACTGCGAGGTTTTTTAACATCTCACCAAAACTAGGGTTGTTGCGAACAACGCAGACGCCACTACGACTTCCGTTTAACGTGACGCCAAATGACATCAGCTTACTATGCGCAGCGTTCTGCTGAAGCAGGCAATCGTAGGGATCGTTCAGACCGCGCACAAAGACGCACAAAGGCGCACGAAGGCGTGTGTGAGTGTGTGCGTATGTCGAGATAAACGAGACGAGACGAGGCACGCCTTCGTGCGCCTTTGTGCGCCTTCGTGCGTCTCCGTGCGCCTTTGTGCGCCTTTGTGCGCGGTCTGAACGATCCCTTGGTCTAGCTCCTTCCTATCTATGAACAGTTCTGATCCATCACAAAGTACTAGTGTCTACTCCAGAGCCAGCTCAGTTATGTGTAGTTGTACATCATACTATATATTTATTTATTTATTTATTTATTTATATCTATATTTATTTATTTATTTCTAACATTTTCCAGAACGACTTTTCACTTGGACAGGATTGGCACAGTCTTTCCATACCTAAGCAGTCTCAACGCTTCCATGCTCTGTCACCTTTGTCGGATCTTATCAGTTGGCTAAAAACTAATAGGTATGTCTATCAAAATTCCATCAAAAATTGACATTGTATTCTCTAGGCCGACACCTTACAATGCAGCAATTCAGCGATATGTGGAATCTACTCGGAACTTATACAAACGACATTTCGACACCTTCTTTGAAGCTGTCATTGGAGAGGTGCAAAAGCTTGGTTCTGCTGAAAAACGTTTGAGTTCGTTTTGCAAGTTATCGTCCATGGTCCACAAGTTATATGACGCTGTTTTCATTTAGATTCGTCAAATTTGTCCGCTAAAAGTTCTTCTGATAAGCAAAGCTTCTCTTTGAGCGATGTCTCGACAGAGTATGGTCAAGTATCAGCTGTAAGCACTGCAAAATTATGTTGTAAGCTGAATCATTTCCTAAATTTCAGCTGATTGAGACGGTGTTAGGCGAACTCGGGCCCATAATTGAGATGGAGCAAAAGTTCTGTATAAGGTTTTTCCATATAAATTCTGAGCTGATTTCTAACGCGGAAACTACATCGACCGACAGCGGAGAAAGTGCCACCATTGGTATGCTGTTAAGGTAAACCTAAACGGTTGCTCATGCAGCATAAATTCTTCTAGGTGGTCGGAATGCTGAACGTTATATGAATGAGCAAGTCAGAAATGTTATGGCAGCCTTGTTTGAATCTTTGAACGGACATCTTGACCGCTTCTGCAAGGCAATTTGCAAACAGAATCCATGGTTGGTGCACTGTTTATGTAATGTAGTCTTTTTTTTCGGTACTATTCCACATAAGTTGACCAAAAAATGAAAATCGTGAATCTCGCTAAAACTTCGTCTAGGGGGGTTATTTGGTACGCTGAACACGAATATGACGTTTATTTCGTGCGACGGCGCCATCCGGTGGAGTTACGGTAGGATTACGGTAGGGGGTCAAAATCACGGATTTGCCCGAAATTTGGCCCAGAGGGGTTATTCGACCCGCTGATGCCAAATATCACATTGGTTTTGAACCGTAGCGTCATTTTATCGGTTACGGTAGATACACGGTGACGGGTGTAAAACATAGTTCATCCCGAAACGGGTGTGTGGCGATTTGGATGATCGTGAAGCTTTGCACACATGACCACCGCCGCGCGCTACACACTATGCTGCGGCTTTTGCCTAAGCAAAGCACAGGGGAAAGATACATTTGCCGATTTGTGATTTTGACCCCTACCGTAAACCTACTGTAACCATGCAGGGAGACGTTTTCGTGCGGAAAAAGTGTGACATTTCTAATCAACATGTCGAATAACCCCTCTGTGCAAAGTTGCAGCGAATTTCGAGATTTTGACCCCCTACCGTATACCCACCGTAACTCGAGAAGATGACACTACAGTACGAAACCAATGTGATATTCGGCGTCAGCGGGCCGAATAACCCCTCTAGGCCAAGTTTCGGGCAAATCCGTGATTTTGACCCCCTACCGTAATCCTACCGTAACTCCACCGGATGGCACTGTCGCACGAAATAAACATCATATTCGTGTTCAGCGTACCAAATAACCTCCCTAGACGAAGTTTTAGCGAAATTCACGACCTTCATTTTTTGGGTCAACTTATGTGGAATAGCGCCTTTTTTTCTCTAACTAACGTAAATAACAAGTTTATATCTGCTATACACTAATGCCTCATGAGGAACTTATGCTGAATTTAGACTTGTATGAGGCTTACCTTATGAAACAGCTAGAGTCATGGGACTTTCTCGGACAAACTTGACTTAAATAGAATGTGTACGTGTATAAATGGTTTAAGAGATTGTTCAGACTTCCAGTGTTTGTTCTGTAACTTTCGCAAGCTTCGATTACTTCGCAACATGCTGTTTTTCAGCAACGTCATGCTGTTGTTCATTATTATGTCGAAGAAGGTGTTACTGCCTCAGGAATCTGGCTCTTACTATTCTGTCACTTTCGGTACTTTTGTTGTCCTCATCAAGCGGCAGTTTGATCTTTTCATGGTGACTTGCTGCCCATCTAAAAATTTAAAATTTTTAATTTCTTGTCCAAGGAGTCAGAAGGCCAAGCGCTGTCGGATATAAAAATCTCGAAACGGGCCCGATTAGGAATTTTACCTACAATCGAACGGTTTGCGAATTTTGTGAGAACAGCTGAGTCTATCTTTGAAGGAGCCGAAAGGAGAACTGACCTTGAGAAATGGTGTGTTTCGTTTTCATTCATCTTCTTACATCAGTTTTTTGCCAAGGGTTGCCCCAAACTGCAGCCGCTGCAGCACCTGCCTCGACAGCAGCAACGACACGCGCTGCATCGACCAAGGTAGCTGCAGCGGCAGTCCCTGCAGCTGCTGAACCGACTGCAGTCTGTAGCAACTCAACAGTATTCATTTGCTTTCATTAGGTATGTACATCTCTATCGCTGCGTATGTGAAGGAATTGAAAAAGCGGCCTCCAATCCCAACAGCAAATCACCCACGGCTGTTGTACGATTTGAAAACTATCACCAGTTATACCGTACGTCTACTTGTCGTTCCGTCTCTTTTCCAGTAAATGCTTTTAGTGAGCCTGTCTGAGTTGAGAATTCCCTTCTTGGACACTCAACGGAAGGAAGCCAAAAGAGAAAAGGAAGAGAACATCGACTTATACGTTCGCGAATATATGGGACGACCTCTAGAAAGAATCCACGTTAGTATGGTTTTCTTGTAGAAATAAAAAAAGGGAACTTGGAAATGGGCAGTATAGACTGATACAACTGACATTAAGGTGTTTTTCGAACTTGTTCAAAACGCAATCGAGATGCGCGGAACAAAACCGGATGAAATTTCTTACCAGCCGCAGTTCAGCAGAGTGGAATTGAAAAAAGTAGGTTGACATATTACCTAATTTTCGCTTTTGCGGTTATGGCAACTTAGGTCATCGCCATGTATCCGGGGAAGGAAGTCAAAAAGGGTTTAGAACAGTTGTACAGAAAAGTGGAGAAGCACCTCGTCGACCATTCCTCCTTGCTTCAAGTGGTGTGGAGGGAAATGCAGGTGTGATAAATGTTTAGCATCTTCTACGATTTTATACTTGTCTGGCATGCACCTTTACTTGAAGTCTGTCTTACAAGGGAAGGAAGGTTGGTCGAAGTGGCCTTTTGAAATGGGATGAACACTGCCTTGTAGAGCCTGGAACGCTGATTCCAAATCTACCTTTGCTATCTGCTGCGGGCTTCTGGGCGAGGAGATATGGAGGTTTTTGTTTGTAAAAATCTGAATACGAAATTAGGGTAGAATCAGTCGTAACCTTTTCCCAATGTTTAAATGGGGCAGCAGCGAATTGGTATATTTAAATCAAGAATACTTGTTGCACCGAGTGACCTGAGTACCAGTTAATCCCTATAAAAAATTTTACGACTGATTTTAGCCTACCCCTGCATTCACATTTTTACTCACAAAAACTTTCATAACTCCTCGCTCAGAAGCCCGCAGCAGATAGCAAAGGTAGATTTGGAATCAGCGTTCCAGGCTCTACAAGGCAGTGTTGATCCCATTTCAAAAGGCCACTTCGACCAATCTTCCGTTCCTTGTTAGATTCTGGGTTGACAAGGAATCCTTTTGAAGTAAGGTTTACGCACATCGAACTAGATCACGTTAGCAAAAAATACGATTACACTTAAGTAAGAGGTTTGCCTCCACTCTTCTCTCGCATCAAGCTCTTGTCTTTGAGAAAAAGGGTTCTGGACTGAGGTCAGCAGCTTTTACGAAGTAAAGGTGCATTCTTTGTGATAAAATAATTTTCTTGTCATCAGGATCAGTTCCTCAAACAGTTACAAGGCTACCAACGACTAATGTCGACGTGTTATCCGGGATCGAAAATCGAGTTGGAGGTCTCGGTGCAGGATGTACTGAGCTATTTCTCAGAAATTGCTCAACAGCATTGATTGCACCTCAACAAAGTGCTTCAGAAATGCAAATTGTTGAAATTGTTGTTAGGTTGTCAAATTCTGACTAATATTTCTCGAGATGTGATTGGTATTCGTTCTATCTAATTACTTCACACTTTTCAGTTTTGTTCTCTCATGTATTTGAGACTTTGGTTTCTGGTTTTATTTGACACATGCTTCCTACTTCATCGTGACATTGCAGTAAATGTAAATTACACTGTTCATTTTTCGTGTTTTCATGTTTTCATTCAGAAATAAACACACTCTGATCCGAGCCCGTGAGTACCGTGTGCACGCATTGACGTCGTCCTACATGCTCCATTCATTTTTTTATTTTTACGTTTTTTTTCCTCTGGTTCGGAATGCATAGTGATTTAGATGCGCTTGGATCACTCATTTGATGCAACGGTTTCTCGGTTGGAGCCAAGTTTGTTTTCCAGCGGCGACTTAACGCACGAACTAACAAGAAGGGAATGGTTAGAAGTCGAAGTGGCCAAACCAAACAAGCTGTATACCATTCGATGCAGTATAAAACGCTGACTTCGAATCTGTCTTTCTTCTCTGCTTCCCGCTTCTGTGGACGAAGCTACAAGCCATTAAAGACCATTATTTTGCTAAGAAATTACACGTGAAATTGAAAATAGCCGTGCAGACCCACGTTCGCCTTAATGCGGCCAAAACATGCAGCTAGCCTACTTCAAAATTTTGGAGAAAGAAGCTGAGCTAAAAATGCAACAGTATGTTCAATTTCGCTGTTTTTATGTGTGATTTTTTCACAATAAAACCGCTTGTAGCTTCGTCCACAGAAGCGGGAAGCAGATAAGAAAGACATATTCGAAGTCAGCGTTTTATACTGCATCGAATGGTAATCAGCTTGTTTGGTTTGGCCACTTCGACTTCTGACCATTCCCTTGTAAGCAAAATGAACGCTTGTTTGCCTTTGTTGGTGTTAACTGGTAGACCCTCTGCGCAGATCGTAGCCCCAGCCTCACACCTTCATCGTGTCTGAGCAGGAACTCAATTTCCAGCAATTTCACTTACCTGGGGTTATCCGCAACGCTGAATCTGAAAATTTACGTCAGAAAGCGCCAGGCTAGAACATGCGTCTCCCAAAGCCTTATATTTTGAAGTTCCGTTCAATGATCCCACCTTTCCCGGAGCACTGGGATCCCGCCTTTCCCTCCCGGACAGTGCCTTTAAAGGCAGTGGACAGGCAAAATGGACCCCTGTCAGATTTTGGTAGTTTCGGGTAGTGGACCCCCCAAGTACACCGTAGCCCCAACCCCAACTTCCAATTGATGCGCTAAGTCCTGAAAAAAGCGCTTCAAACTTCCAACAATAACGCCCACTCAATGCAAGTGGGCGGGGCTGGTGGAGTTTTGAAGCGCTTTTTTCAGGACTTAGCGCATGAAGTGGAATGTGGGGTTGGGGCTACGGTGTACTTGGGGGGTCCACTACCCGAAACTACCAAAATCTGACAGGGGTCCATTTTGCCTGTCCGCTGCCTTTAACACATGCGCTGAATTTTTAAGGCATGCTGCACTCTTCCACGACTGCTGCTCACCTTGGTGGTGGGCGCGTTGTGGATTTGAAGCACGCTTCCAGGATTTAGCGTATGGATTAGAGAGTGGAACTGGATCAACATGGAGGATCTACTATCTAGGATGACCAAAATCTAACATGGGCCAATCTTCCGAGTCTTTCGAAGAGATTCTTTCGCTTACCAAGTCATTCCTTCACGACGCTTGCGTAATAGTGTAGGAAGGAAGACGCCATTCGCGCAAAAAGTTCAGGCTCCTCAACTTTTTCGGAATGTTGCCTTTGAGCTGTATTCAATCGTGCGAAAAAGGTGCAGCCTTTTATTCATATCATCTCACCAAAGAAGCGCTTTCTACAAAGAAATTTTTTTTTGAATCATTTTTATTCAGTACTACCTTTCGCGGTCCGCTTGGACCGTAGGCCCGACAAAGGTTATACAGTAATTACTCAGATCGCGAGGTAAAGACTCACCCTACCTTCACCTTCATTTCCTTTCTTTGCTCTTCACCCCACCCTTTTCTCAATCGTGCTCTTGTTCCGAAGGGTAGCAGCGCTTCTGTGGTGGACTTGTCTTCTTTCCTAACCGCGCTTTGATACACCGCATCCTCCTCACCGCAATGGGATCCACCACCCCTTTTACATGGTTATTTGGAAATAAGCCGATAATGATTAATAAGCCTTCGTCATCCTTGATGTAAGAAAAAAGTTTAGATTTCTAAACAAATCAATAAGTCGATAGAAGGAGCGAGGGAATCGTCATAGAAAGTAGCGTAACGTGTGCGATACTCATGAACTTACAAACTTTAGTTATGTCTATGTATAGATGTTACCTCATGTAGGCTATGTACTTTCGGCGTGGCGGTTGTGGATGATAGCGCACTTAGGCAGGCATGCGTCAATAAGGTGCACACGTTAGCCCTTCGCTAAATGGACGACTCTTCTGCGTACAGCTTCGGCACTGGTTCAAGGCCATCTTCACTAGTCCACTAAAAGCAACCCTTTATAGTAAGCTATAAGCTTGCTTCAAGCAGGGGAGAAGCTTTATCATCTGCAGAATCGTTTGTTATATTGTGAATGTTTTGCCAGTTTGTGAGATACAGATGTGTTGAGCATGGTGTCTGAGTGTTGCTGGTTCATCTGATTGTCTTCGTAGCAAATTTGGAGTTGAAATCAACCTAGAACACTTCAGGTATGATTGTCTAAGTGACCTCAAATCTTTCAAAAGTTAGCACGCAACTTCGATCGCATTGCCTATTGATTTGATTTGAATGCAGCAGTTTTCGGAAGTAATGAACAAAATTTTTTTGTCAAAGCTTTTTTATCGTTAAAGAATAATATCAAAATTAATTATTAATAATCACTGTAATTATTTGAGCTTTGCTAACCGCTAGTGCATAGAATCTACTCTTAGCTATGATTGGTTTCAAATCTTACTTCTTCACTAGAAAAAATATGCTGATCGGATGTTACTGCAATAGTAGTAAGTTATTACACAAATTCATTTCTTTGCGAACGAGGCTCTGAAGTGGATAAGGACAGTCGCAAACGATGTGAGCTGAATTTTCTTCGAGCATTTTGGAATTAATTTTTCTTGGGGTTTTACTGCAATAACAAATTTGGACCGACCTACTAGACGAGAAACTGACACAAATAAAAATGGTTGCAAATAACATCAGACGAAAAATGATCCTGAAAGATGATTTTTGAATTATTCACAGGAAATTTTTGTAATTCACTGTTTCTGAACTACAACAACAAAAAGCACGGGTGAAATAATAGAGAGAGCCTTCCCAATAAGTGCAGCGCATTCCTATGCCAATTAACAGGGGCGGACCGTTCGCCCACCGCGCACGGTATTTAGCTGGCGACTGGCACATGCTATCGTTCGTAAAGTCACTTACCCTTACTTTCGTAAAGTCGCGACGCCTCCTTTCGGTTCGGTGCAGGAGGAACCAAAGGCTTGCCGCCCGTAACCATAGGAAATAAGTAAAAGCGCGAGCAACGCAGAGAAGATTTGGCAGAGTTACAGGAAAACTTCAAAAAAAAAATCTGTTAGAAGCAAGTCCTCATATATCGGCTTTTTTTTTTTCGGAATGGACCTCCGGATAAATCAGTGCTCTGACTTCAGTCTGTTTTGATGTAGAACATCATAAGAAACAAAACTTCTGAAACCTAGCATTGAAAACTGGAAAGCTGACTCCAATAAACGCACTCACAAGTTCCGTAAAAATCTCACGTTTATCGAAGCTCCGCTTGAGTTTCAAATGAAGGTAATCAACGATAAATTTTTCACTTATTGTTTGATTTGCTGAGTATATACTGAGAAGAATCATCTATTACAGGAAATCAAAATCAATTTTAGAAAATTTGAAATTTCTGGGAATCAAAGCATTTGAATTATAGTATCTTCGCCGTGACTCCAAATTGTTTTTCACTAAATTTCAACTGCGGTGTGATTATCTAATCTCAAGCAAATCACCATGTTTCGAGAGGAAGAAATTTCTGAGTCGAAAGTGTGCTTTTCAAGAATTGAAACATGAAACCTTGTAGCAAGTAAGTACTCTCTTGAGTAAATCATTTTTTTCGCGTCAGAACAACTGTGAATTTCAAGTCACTTCTAAGCTCACTGAATGCGACCTTGAGTGCTGTTTCCGAATCTGTCTTGTGAATCAAGATTTCCCTCAAGCAAAGTATGAGGAATTGTTTCCACGTGAATATCTGCTAAGTCTTCGGTATTTGCCGAATCTTCTCCACATTTCTCGCGCTCTTAATTAACTCCTGTGGATATATGCAGCAATGCTTGGTTCCTCCTGTACCACCTCCCTTCTACCACTGCAGAAAATTTTTGAAAACGCTTTCAGTTTTTGCACGTCTGTAGTTGCTCATCTGCTCATCGGGTGTGTTGTTTAGTTCACAGTAGTCCGTGGAGAATCATGTGATTTCTCAGGGTAAAGAGATTAGGTCGCTGAAAGTACATTCACAAAGTTGTGCTCGTGAGTTATGCACTGAGTTTGCACGCAGAATTGTTACAGACAGCGGCGGACCTACACGGAGGTGGACCCTGAAATGATTCGCGAAATCTTGTTGCCTACATGGGTTATGAATTCGTAAAAATGTGACAAAATTGTACAAATGGTCTGAGAAAACTTGGGTTGGCTTTGTGTAAAAGATTTCGTAGCTAATGCGACACCCCTCCACTTGAAAAGATTTGCTATTGCCTCCTCTCTGTATAGGGAAAATTTCTAGGACCGCCATAATACTCTAATGGTGCTTGAGATTGCGTTACGGTCCTCACCTAGCCATGCAGCTCTAGAGCGAGCTGTTATACTTCAACCAAAATCAACGATGACCCAGCTGCTGTCACAAAAGCTATTCCTTCTTCACCCCTCTAGAACAATAATCACCTTCAAATGGAGCATGTTATCGTTTGCTTCTCCTCGCTAAATCTAAAAGGCGGCAAGAGTGTGATCGCTTGAGCTTTTTTTTTCGGAATGTCTGTCAATAAGGATTATTTCGTGAAAAAAGCAGCCATGAGGTGATATGTTGTCTAGAGGATTAAATGCGCTTTCATGGCTCTAAGCGAATTTGATAATAAAGGCTTTTACTTATCTTAGAAGTAGCATAATTTTTTTCTTATCAAGAATTGAAATCAACGTCAGTATCTCAGTAAGTACGAGAATGTTCTTAGCCGCCTAACGTTCAGAAGCTTATAAGTGCGGTTTTTTCCGCCCTTCCGTCAATGTTCTACCCGTCAAAACTGGAAAGGCGTGGTCGAAGCAACGCTGCTGTGCGACACCTCGTCGTTCCTCATTCGGCAGTGTGAATTCTTAGCTTTACTAGTTTCTCGCATAAAGACCAAGAATACCATATTATAAGGTTTATCACATCGTCTAAATGTCTGCAGCAAAAATTGAACGCTAACTTCTAAGTCGGAGAAAGAAAGGTCTTCCTTGGAGTAATTGCAAGTCCTCTTCAAAAAGTCGCTTGTCTCAGCGTGTTTACTCTTCCTCTTTGTTTGTCATGTTTATGTTCCCCAATGGAAAATATTATTTTTTCTCAACGTCGTACTGACAACAAATGCTTTGCTTCAAACAACCTGCAGAGCACGCTATTACAGAGTAAGAAATGGCTTCCCGTGTCGCCGCAAGAGCAAGTTCGCCTGTTTCCGATGATCTGGAATGCATGGATATGGTTCATCCAATGAAATCCAGCAATAATTTACCTCTCACCAGCACAACTCCTTCAATGCCTCCTATCGTGAGTACATTTTTTTGAAGTTTAATAACTCCATGCTATGCTGCAGTAAAGAGTTTGTCATGTTATATAGTGCTCAACTAGGTGATGATTTATAAATTGTGCAAGCCTTTCGGTCGCTTTTTTATGCGTTAGCATAGGGAGTATGTAAAAGCTCTGAGCTTAAATATAAGGTTTTTATTGCACCTGGCTGTTTCAGAATCAGTAATCTTTCTGTCTGCGAAGACTTTAACCCTTTTTCTGTCTGCGTCATAAAATATGTAAGCCGTCATGGGAAGAAATTGTCACTTTTTGGAGTGTTCTATGCTAATGCTGAAAATCTTGTAGGATATTAATTCATAGCAGTTTTTTCATTGCATTTCCGATGTAATGCAGAGGGGCAGCATTCCTTTTCCTACCACCGAAGTTCCTTGTATGCCCTAAGTTGCTCCTTTATGACTCACTTGTAAAACGAATTCAAATCACGAATATGCATTGCTTTCGTATGCCTCGCTTTCGCTACATATCTTGTCCAAGTTGGCTCAGCACTAAAAGCGCCGCTTCTATGCGGCCCTCCACTAGATTGATGTGCCCCTCAGGGAGTCATCCCGGAAAAAAGCTGACTTGGTACTCTCCTTTGACAATATATACACAGCGTACGAGCAATAACAGATTTATTGCATTTGGGACACTTAATTATTGCAGATACGAACAACCGACAGACCGGTGGTATTGTACATGGCTCCAGTGCATAAACTTCGACATGCAGACGATCCAGTTACCACAGACGCAGATGTGAAGTCGTCGCTCGAAAATATGCAGCTGAAATGAGTTAGAAACTGAATCCAGCTGAGTCACAGTGCTAAAATCGCCACATCGCCCACATGCATCTCGTTGCTTTAAATCTCATTTAGAAATCCAAGCTCGCTTATTGTGGTTGTGATTTACTACAGAGTTTGCTATCTCTCCTGGTTCTGCCTTTCAGTTGTACGAAAACTTTTTTTTTTCACATCCTTTGCACACCACGGGTATGTACAATTAGGTTTACGACGTAAACCGAATAAGGAAGAAGCTGTCTGCGCTACTGGCAATCAGAAAAACTGATTTGCCTCCCGCATTGCTGCTATAGTATCATGTACTGATGCGGAAGACGCTCAAAATTCTTCCAGAAAATATTTGGAGCATTATGAGCTGAATCAGATCACATCGGCTTTTGTAATGCTGTTTGCCCATATATTATGAACAAATATAATGAACGATAGCGTATGTTTTTAATTGCAGCTCCTCTTTTTTTCTGCCAATAAATGTTATTTTTCGTGTAAAAGAGTTTGAGACAGAGTGATAAACTTTTTCCACGGATGTGGAAAGAGAAAACTGGGTTTGTCCCATAGATAACGGAAGAATGTCACTCAGATTCATATGAAAAACTTTTTAATATTCAAATTATTCCCTCAGCAACTAACACAATGATTGTGCTCATAAGTTTAGTAACAAATGACTACACTTCGCCCTTTTAAATTCTATACCCAAGATAACCCAATTAGCATTTTTCATTCTGTCATGTTTTACATTCAAAATATAGGTCTTTAAAATCATTATATGATTCCTGGGGTTTACGTAATAACTCTGGGTTAAGCAGATACCTGACATAAAACCCCGTTTATCCCCTAGTTGCTTCTTGATTGAAAATTAGAGTAGTTGCGAAGCTATCATGGAACATTTACTTTATGTAATATGAAATGAATATAGATGCGTCCCTCTTATCTAAAGTAGGGTTCAGCAAGCCTAAAGACTCATCAGAGTTGGATTACGGAAAAGTCAATGAGTTTTAGTAGCGTTAAATTGCCTGGGGTGTGTAAGCGCAAACTTTCAACCATCATGCAAATCTAACTTTGCTAGCACAAGTAAAGAAGAAGATTAGATCTAAAGCTGCCTTCCCAAATTTGCTTTCCTAACAGGATTGCAGATCGAGAAACTGGATGATTTAATTCTGCAAAGTTTTGCTAGCAACACGCTTGCAAACCAAGCCATACATGGTGTCGATTCTCAAATTCAATTAAACATTTTTTGGAGTGAGCGAAATAGGCCTCACAATTCGAAGCACATTGAGTGAGATATTTGGTCATGCATACTTTAAGGGAATTTGTGCGCCACTAGTTCTCCCCCTTTCCCTCCCCCCCCCCCCCCCCAACACCCTATTAAATTTTAGGAGCATTTTATTTGACGAAGGTGAAAGTGCTGGGATAAGTAGTGAATATGTTCGAAAATAGCCCTTGATTTTATGTAGCGTACAAGCTATCTGTTTGGGGACCAGATAAATCTAACTCAATGGTTAGCTGCAGTACATCCGACCTTGCACAGTAGACACGCTTTGTTTTCATGTATCACGGTCAGAAGTGGTTGCGTTTATTAGGGCTGGTAGACCAAAACATCAAAGAGCATTCTACTCTCGACAGATGCCGAAACCGACCCATGTCCAGGGCTGACAGTTGTCAATGGGGCTGAGTCTAGCTTGGACTAACTCACCCTTTCGGAGAAACATTGCGGAGGCGTCTGGCATCGCTGACAATAGCCCCCAGGGGCTGTGATTTTGGAGAATGAAATTTAGAATTCTGAATATTGCGATAGCATGAAATTATATGCGTAGTATGCAGAGAACGATTTAGCAAACGTACTGAAGTGTTTGATGGAAGAAGCGCTTTTTCGATAAAGTGCTTCGCTAATGTTATGCCACACATCTATATAGCATATACAGGGTGTCTCAAAAGTAAGTACACACCTTTCAATCGTCAATATTTCTCTTCCCAATGGGTCTTTTTTTCGCCAGTAAAGTACCATTCTGTAAAGGAGGCTCCAACTTAGATTCACATTATCGATCGAATCACCGATCGCTCTTCGTTACTTTAGCAGGATGAAGATTCCAGCATGTAGGACCATTGTGAATGCCATCTGACAAAATTTTTTCCAAAAAATTTGAATCGTGTACTAAGGTTTTCGCACACGTTGATTCCACTATTTAGCTTTTTACGAGTTTCAGCTTATTTGACAGTGTAAACACATTTCTGACAAATACTGGTTATTACGGCCAGCTACTTCAGTGTAGTTGATCCGCAAGCAGATGGAGTGAAGCAGCACCAAGGTTGAGTCGCTCCACACCACGAACATACATCGAAGTACAGATGCTTTCAATCTGAGTGCCACGGTCCACGTGGTTCAGATCCTCGGAGCCGCCTCGCTTGGGTCTCTCACGTGGTAAAATAGCGCCTCCGATACCGCAAACGCCTGAGCGGATGCGGTATTGTACCACGTGAAAGACCCAAGCGAGGCGGCTCGCGAGGGAGTGAACCACGTCGATCGTGACACTCAGTTTGAAAGCCCCTGTAGTTCTACAAACATCCATTGTGTGGCCACGCTGAGAAGCTGCGCAGTTCCAGCTATTTCAGTGTAGTCGATCCGCAGGCAGATGGAGTGAAGCAGCACCAAGGTTGAGTTGCTCCACACTGATCCGCAAATGTGAAGCCGCATCATGGTTGCGTTGCTGGACACCACGAACTTCCAGAAGTAGTTCTACAATAACCACTTGTGGCCACGCTGGAAAATTGAGCAGTTCCAGCAAATTCAATGTAGTTGATCCGGTAGCAGATGGAGTGAAGCAACACCAAGGTTGAGTTGCTGTACACCACGAGCCTCCAGCGAAGTAGCTCTTCATTAACCACTTGTGGCCACGCTGGAGAATTGAGCAGTTCCAGCTACTTCAATGTAGTTGATCCGCAAGCAGATGGAGTGAGCAACACCAAGGTTGAGTTGCTCCACACCACGTGATCCGCAAATGTGAAGCCGCATCATGGTTGAGTCGCTGTACACCACGAACTTCCAGCGAAGTCGTTCTACAATAACCATTTGTGGCTACGCTGGAGAATTGAGCAGTTTCAGCTACTTAAATGTAGTTGTTCCGCAAGCAGATGGAGTGTAGCAGCAACAAGTTTGACTTTCCACACCACGAACGTACACCGAAGTAGTTCTGCAATAACCACTTGTGGCTACGCTGGAAAATTGAGCAGTTTCAGCAAATTCAATGTAGTTGATCCGGTAGCAGATGGAGTGAAGCAACACCAAGGTTGAGTTGCTGTACACCACGAACTTCCAGCGAAGTAGTTCTACAATAACCCACGTGTGCCCACGCTGAGAAGCTCTGCAGTTCAAGCTACTTCAGTCTATTTGATGCGCAAGCAGATGGAGTGAAGAAGCACCAAGGTTGAGTTACTCCACACCACATGATCCGCAAATGTGAAGTCGCATCATGGTTGAGTTGCTGTACACCACGAACTTCCAGCGAAGTAGTTCTGCAATAACCACTTGTGGCTACGCTGGAAAATTGAGCAGTTTCAGCAAATTCAATGTAGTTGATCCGGTAGCAGATGGAGTGAAGCAACACCAAGGTTGAGTTGCTGTACACCACGAACTTCCAGCGAAGTAGCTCTTCATTAACCACTTGTGGCCACGCTGGAGAATTGAGCAGTTCCAGTTACTTCAATGTAGTTGATCCGCAAGCAGATGGAGTGAGCAACACCAAGGTTGAGTTGCTCCACACCACGTGATCCGCAAATGTGAAGCCGCATCATAGTTGAGTTGCTGGACACCACGAAGTTCCAGCGAAGTAGATCTACAACCCATGTGTGCCCACGCTGAGAAGCTGTGCAGTTCAAGCTACTTCAGTGTATTTGATCCGCAAGCAGATGGAGTGAGGCAGCACCCAGGTTGAGTTGCTCCACACCACGTGATCCGCAAATGTGAAGCCGCATCATAGTTGAGTTGCTGGACACCACGAAGTTCCAGCGAAGTAGATCTACAACCCATGTGTGCCCACGCTGAGAAGCTGTGCAGTTCAAGCTACTTCAGTGTATTTGATCCGCAAGCAGATGGAGTGAGGCAGCACCAAGGTTGAGTTGCTCCACACCACGTGATCCGCAAATGTGAAGCCGCATCATAGTTGAGTTGCTGGACACCACGAACTTCCAGCGAAGTAGTTCTACAAACACCCATTGTGTGGCCACGCAGAGAAGCTGCGCAGTTCCAGCTACCTCAGTGTAGTTGATCCGCAAGCAGATGGAGTGAGCAACACCAAGGTTGAGTTGCTGTACACCACGAACTTCCAGCGAAGTAGTTCTTCAATAACCACTTGTGGCCACGCTGGAAAATTGAGCAGTTTCAGCAAATTCAATGTAGTTGATCCGGTAGCAGATGGAGTGAAGCAACACCAATGTTGAGTTGCTGTACACCACGAACTTCCAGCGAAGTAGTTCTTCAATAACCACTTGTGGCCACGCTGGAAAATTGAGCAGTTTCAGCAAATTCACTGTAGTTGATCCGGTAGCAGATGGAGTGAAGCAACACCAAGGTTGAGTTGCTGTACACCACGAACTTCCAGCGAAGTAGTTCTGCAATAACCACTTGTGGCTACGCTGGAAAATTGAGCAGTTTCAGCAAATTCAATGTAGTTGATCCGGTAGCAGATGGAGTGAAGCAACACCAAGATTGAGTCGCTGTACACCACGAACTTCCAGCGAAGTCGTTCTACAATAACCATTTGTGGCTACGCTGGAGAATTGAGCAGTTTCAGCTACTTAAATGTAGTTGTTCCGCAAGCAGATGGAGTGTAGCAGCAACAAGGTTGACTTTCCACACCACGAACGTACACCGAAGTAGTTCTACAAACACCCATTGTGTGGCCACGCAGAGAAGCTGCGCAGTTCCTGCTACTTCAGTGTAGTTGATCCGCAAGCAGATGGAGTGAAGCAACACCAATTTTGAGTCGCTGCACACCACGAACTTCCAGCGAAGTAGTTCTACAATAACCCACGTGTTCCCACGCTGAGATGCTCTGCAGTTCAAGCTACTTCAGTCTATTTGATGCGCAAGCAGATGGAGTGAAGCAGCACCCAGGTTGAGTTGCTCCACACCACGTGATCCGCAAATGTGAAGCCGCATCATAGTTGAGTTGCTGGACACCACGAAGTTCCAGCGAAGTAGATCTACAACCCTTGTGTGCCCACGCTGAGAAGCTGTGCAGTTCAAGCTACTTCAGTGTATTTGATCCGCAAGCAGATGGAGTGAGGCAGCACCAAGATTGAGTTGCTCCACACCACGTGATCCGTAAATTTGAAGCCGCATCATGGTTGAGTTGCTGGACACAACGAACTTCCAGTGAAGTAGTTCTACAAACACCTATTGTGTGGCCACGCAGAGAAGCTGCGCAGTTCAAGCTACTTCAGTGTAGTTGATCCGCAGGCAGATAGAGCGAAGCAGCTCCATGGTTGTGTTGCTGGACACCACGAACTTTCAGCGAAGTAGTTCTACAACCCATGTATGCCCACGCTGAGAAGCTGCGCAGTTCCAGCTACTTCAGTGTAGTTGATCCGCAAGCATATGGAGTGGAGCCGCATCATGGTTGAGTTGCTGGACGCCACGAACTTCCAGCGAAGTAGTTCTACAAACACCCATTGTGTGGCCACGCAGAGAAGCTGCGCAGTTCCAGCTACTTCAGTGTAGTTGATCCGCAAGCAGATGGAGTGAGCAACACCAAGGTTGAGTTCCTGTATACTACGAACTTCCAGCGAAATAGTTCTACAACCCATGTGTGCCCACGCTGAGAAGCTGTGCAGTTCAAGCTACTTCAGTGTATTTCATTCGCAAGCAGATGGAGTGAAGCAGCACCAAGGTTGAGTTGCTCCATACCACCTGATCCGCAAATGTGAAGCCGCATCATGGTTGAGTTGCTGGACACCACGAACTTCCAGCGAAGTAGTTCTACAATAACCACTTGTTTCCACACTGAGAAGCTGCGCAGTTCCAGCTACTTCAGTGTAGTTGATCCGCAAGCAGATGGAGTGGAGCCGCATCATGGTTGAGTTGCTGGACACCACGAACTTCCAGCGAAGTAGTTCTACAAACACCCATTGTGTGCCCACGCTGAGAAGCTGTGCAATTCAAGCTACTTCAGTGTATTTGATCCGCAAACAGATGGAGTGAGCAACACCAAGGTTGAGTTGCTCCACACCACGTGATCCGCAAATGTGAAGCTGCATCATAGTTGAGTTGCTGGACACAACGAACTTCCAGTGAAGTAGTTCTACAATAACCACTTGTTTCCACACTGAGAAGCTGCGCAGTTCCAGCTACTTCAGTGTAGTTGATCCGCAAGCAGATGGAGTGGAGCCGCATCATGGTTGAGTTGCTGGACACCACGAACTTCCAGCGAAGTAGTTCTACAAACACCCATTGTGTGCCCACGCTGAGAAGCTGTGCAATTCAAGCTACTTCAGTGTATTTGATCCGCAAACAGATGGAGTGAGCAACACCAAGGTTGAGTTGCTCCACACCACGTGATCCGTAAATTTGAAGCCGCATCATGGTTGAGTTGCTGGACACCACGAACTTCCAGCGAAGTAGTTCTACAATAACCACTTGTTTTCACACTGAGAAGATGCGCAGTTCAAGCTACGTCAGTGTAGTTGATCCGCAGGATGGAATGAAGCAACTCCATGGTTGTGTCGCTGGACACCACGAACTTCCAGCGAAGTAGTTCTACAATAACCACTTGTTTCCACACTGAGAAGCTGCGCAGTTCCAGCTACTTCAGTGTAGTTGATCCGCAAGCAGATGGAGTGGAGCCGCATCATGGTTGAGTTGCTGGACACCACGAACTTCCAGCGAAGTAGTTCTACAAACACCCATTGTGTGGCCACGCAGAGAAGCTGCGCAGTTCCAGCTACTTCAGTGTAGTTGATCCGCAAACAGATGGAGTGAGCAACGCCAAGGTTGAGTTGCTGTATACTACGAACTTCCAGCGAAATGGTTCTACAATAACCACTTGTTTCCACGCTTTGAAGATGCGCAGTTCAAGCTACGTCAGTGTAGTTGATCCGCAGGCAGATGGAGTGAAGTAGCACCTAGGTTGAGTTGCTCCTCACCACGTGATCCGCAAATGTGAAGCCGCATCATAGTTGAGTTGCTGGACACCACGAACTTCCAGCGAAGTAGTTCTTCAATAACCACTTGTGGCCACGCTGGAAAATTGAGCAGTTCCAGCAAATTCAATGTAGTTGATCCGGTAGCAGATGGAGTGAAGCAACACCAAGGTTGAGTTGCTGTACACCACGAGCCTCCAGCGAAGTAGCTCTTCATTAACCACTTGTGGCCACGCTGGAGAATTGAGCAGTTCCAGGTACTTCAATGTAGTTGATCCGCAAGCAGATGGAGCGAGGCAGCACCAAGGTTGAGTTGCTCCACACTACGTGATCCGCAAATGTGAAGCCGCATCATGGTTGAGTTGCTGGACACAACGAACTTCCAGTGAAGTAGTTCTACAATAACCACTTGTGGCCACGCTGGAAAGTTGAGCAGTTTCAGCAACTTCAATGTAGTTGATCCGCAAGCAGATGGAGCGAAGCAGCAACAAGGTTGGCTTTCCACACCACAAACGTACACCGAAGTAGTTCTACAAACGCCCATTGTGTGGCCACGCAGAGAAGCTGCGCAGTTCCAGCTACTTCAGTGTAGTTGATGTGCAGGCAGATGGAGTGAAGCCGCACCAAAGTTGAGTTGCTCCACATCACAAACTTCCAGGGAAGTAGTTCTACAGTATACCGTTGTGCGGCCACGCTGAGAAGTTACGTAACAACGAATTGGATGAATCGCATCGTGTGGATCAAGCGAACAAGTATGGCGCGTGCCTGAGAATGAACCGAGTATGAGTGTAAGAATTTATAAGTCATAAGTCAACTCATGCGATTACAGTCGCGGCGAGGTTTGGCAGTATTCCAGTTGTCCATAACTCACCGTGCGTGCGTCCTGCAGAATGGGAAACGTTATTAGTTTATATCTACGAACGTCTACGAAACTTGTACAGGCTGTGTTTGCGGTCTGCTAGTGTTGGATTTGAAGACGTCTGGCAATGTGCCAGATCCGGGGCGACTGGAGAAATCGCTCGAGATATGGCCCAATTCCTAAGATAAGGATACACTATACCTTATGTAGAATTTTCGGGTCACTTTTTAAAGTGATTGGTACATGGGACTAGCTTCGTGCTATGCATTTGATATGCCAGACGCCGTTTTCAAGCTGTATGATGATTGCTGGGCATTCTTTGGTTTACAGTAACACTTTCACGCATTTCAGACGATTTTTGGTTCTTTATACACCTTGGTAGTTATAGTATGTCTAGCTCTTCGGTGTAGTTGCCTTCTGTGACTGCTGAAATATTGTTTTCCGCTATGCTGAGTGCATTGGCCAAAACTCTGTTGCTAACTGGTAGTTCGTTTTCTATTCTGACAACCTATTGTTCTACTTAATAATTTCAAAAACAAAACTGGGTCATACCAGTACAGCAGAAATAGCTGTATTCAGTGATAAACGCGTGGTGCATTGCATATATAAGTGCATGACGCACTACCACATGTAGAGGGAACAGGGGAAAGAGAGCTTGAGAAAAACTTTGATGAAAGACTAGAATGAACCATCCATAGAGAACAGATTTATAAGGGGTGGGTGCGCCTAAAAATAATTTCGCATGGCACCCTACCGGGACAGAATGGCCATGAAAAACAGCGAATGGGATATCATTTGATAGAGCAAAGCATGCTCTACAAGGTAATTACTAATCTCCGCGAAAATCCTGCTCCACCTGAAGTTCGAATCCAGAAATAAAAATTTTTAGATATCCGAAAAATCGTATCTCCGTTCATAGATCTTATGGATCTCCACTTTGCACAGGCATGTACTCTCTACACTAGACATTCACCTGTATAGTTTGTGTTATTTTCCCATGGTTACAGTGGTATGGAAATAAAGTCGGCGTGCGCGACTTCGCTACAAGAAATTTTCACTGAAGGCCTATCTTACTCTCATAGTGCGAGACTATTTTAGCACCTGTCCAAAACTACTGTTGTTTCGAGCATCACAGACACCACTTAGAATTCAGCCCTACATGACGCTAAATGACATCAGCTTATTAGTCGCGCAGCGTCCTACTGAAGGAGGCAGTCGGTTAATCTGGCGCCTACCTTAGGGAGCGCTTTGTGATTGGAGCAGATTTTTCGACTGCGAAGCAGACCGAGAAATTTTCAGATGGCTATAAACGCCGAAAAGAAAACATTATGAAAGTGTTTTTGCTCTGTGTGTAAACTTTTACAGTGCAGATACAATTCATGTAAAAAAGTATGAAAACTTATGTGAGCAAGGGGCACTCAGCTGGCACGGTGCCAGCTAATTCAGGAAAAAGTTTAGCACAGCTTTCATTCACATAAGTTTTTATGAATTTTTGGGCGATAGTTGGAGTCCCCCAAAGCGCATGCATACACCAAATTTGGTGTCATATCATTGCGTTTTGGTAGTAAAAAAGGCTTTTGTTTGTCCTAGTCGCTGCTGGCGACTTGCCGGCGGCGTATCCCTGGCATTCTAGCAAACACCGGCATCTAACCCGCTAAAACGATATCCCCTTTGCTTTCCACCCCAAAAACGATATCCAACTTGACCCGGTGCCGGCTGTGCCGTGCCCTGCTTCTTAAAAATGATATGAGGTAGCTGGAATGGTGCTGCCATAAGCAGCGCTGTCCAAACATTGCAACGCGGTGCTACATTCTTTAAATGATTAACAAATTGCCCAGAATCGATGATTTTTACGTGTTGTCCGCCTTTCCTGCCTCATGAGCGGTTGCTCTTCATTTCACGCCTCAGGAGTGGTAAGCAACTTTTTGAAGAATTCGTTAACTCATGTGAAAAGTAAAGAAGTCTATAAGGAAAATTCGCGAGGAGTGTGCCTCTACTTGTTGTGTATGTATTTTCAAACATGTAGGGTACCTATCTTGTTCCGTCTTCGAGTGTATATTCTCTCAAGAAGATTTGACTGGTATCTGTTCTACCTTAATTGTGCGGATTACGCTATAACTATCTGTCCATTATTGAATAAATCGAATTGCTGAGTGATGAACACCAGTCACGCCAGGAAAATCGAGTAGGGTTTTCGCAGCCGTCTGATAATATATCACAAGCGTTTACTCGAACAATTCGTTGTCGAAAAGCTCAGTAGGCTTTAAAAGTCTATTTGTTACAAACAACTCAATCATAATACACTGGAGCATTTGCGCTCGTTTGCGCTGAAAGTAGTCACTGTTTACAATCACGGCTTCTAATTTGCTCATTCTTTGCGAATGAGTGTCTACTGCCAAGGACCAAATAGGGAAAGATGGAACGACTTTTCAAGACTACCTTTGATTCAACGAGATTGGCGGCTGAAAGGCGACCGCTCGCACCCGCGACGCAATCTGCGTCTCCCTCGCGAGCGTACTCTATGATCGTTCTTTAGCCCGATTAGGTTACGAAGCGCCGCTTTCCAGCCGCCAATCCAGTTGAATCAAAGGTTAATCCAATACCAAATTTCACAAGCAAGTCTACGATAGAAGCAACACATTCAAAACGCAATAAAAAACCATTTCTTGCAAGGAAACAATAACGAAGATACAGTTTTATTCATACAGACAGGGAAATAACAAAGGGTAGACGACGAAACTTAAGACGGCTTGGGGTCCTAGTAGTAGTAGCCCATATTTGAATAGACTGGTTCAAAAAATAAATGGGAAATTCGCAAAACAGTGCATAGTTCAAAACAGATTAATCTAGCTACACCATGAACAAGAATCAGATACAGTAGGCTATGATCAATTAGTGCCGAACACTTTTGCTCTGAAGTATAGAAGAGCCCACGAAGCACTTTACCCATAGCATAGCCTTACATATAGCTACTGTATTACGTCATTGAGAAGAGTCAATAACAACTGCACATTCTTTGAATCTCTGCACACCACAGATCAGCAGCCCCAACGGCAAAATCGAGAAATGATATAACAAAGTTTGGGTGTGTCTCTGCCGTGCATAGTTCATCTGTTGGGTAGAAAACTTTGGCATGGATGCGGTATAAGGGAGAGCGGCGTGTTGTTGAAGATTTTGTATGCAAAAATACTTTACTGACTCGTAGTGGTATTGCAGATTCGTGTCATTCAAAATCGACGACGCTCTTCGAAGAAAGTCTTAGGAACACCAGAAACAAAGAGGAAATCATGCATGAGATTATCGGATGGAGTAGACCGAAAAAGAAAGCATCGTTGTTCACCAAGCCAGTCTACTGGTCAGTTACTTGTTCTAAGAAAAAGGTAAGGAGCAGAAATAGGCCATAAAATTACTATGGCCGTGCATGCTGATGTCCCACCGTAACCTAAGTGTAATGTATATGGAGATCGATAGATACTTTGCCTCATGCTGTTTGATATTAAGTTGAAGCAAGCTTCAGTGGTATCCCAAAGATCGGCGAAAGATATTGGGGCAAGAAAGATATAAACGAGAATGTTAGTACATTTGGCATATTGCAGGAAATGACAATGAGAAAATGTATATCAAACGCATTTTCTATCGGAAAGTTGATATAGGAGCTTACAAGCTGAACCGCTTTTGTCTTCTGCTGACAAAGCCCACTGCAGCAAAAGTTATTCGTTGCACAAAAAATTATCGAAAAAATATACTGATTTCTCATCTTACATCTGACTGAGTGTCCAAATTTGATAGAGTGGTTGTTTTTCCGAATACTGAAGATAACATAAAGGTATCTGTTGGTACAAGCTTGTAATCAGAAAGCAACTGTGACTATTCAATAGGATATCGAAGTGCACCCATGATCTACCCACATCTCGTTGTTATCCTCGATGCTTCCACCTATTTTCGAGAACCGTAGTTATAATTCTCATTTTTTCGATTCTTCACTATTTGTGTGTGTTTCCACACCCCTTAGAAGGCGCTGGCTGTGCTTCAGGTAGCGTTTGAAGTTTCACAAAACAGGGGGTACTAATTACTTTGATAGGTTATTAGGGGGGGGAGGGCGGGGGGAGTACTCAGCACAGAATTTTTCACTTGGAGAGGTCTGGTATCAACATGTATTTTCAGGAGACTTCTTTGTGTAAGTTTTCCCCATTCTTCGCAAAATTTTTTCAATCAGGCTAGGCGCCGGCCGAGCATAGTCTGATGACGGTACAATTAGCATGCAGCGACTTCGATAACTGCTAATTTGCTCGCCATTTAGAAGCGCTTGGTCACCACTATTATTGTGATGATTAAAATAAAATGTTTCTACTATCCACGAAAAGTGTTAATCTCGAGATCGATGCAAAGTCTAATGATCCAGGAACGATCGTGCCGCAACGAAACCTAAACTAGGCCATGTGGTAAAAAACGGCGACCTCGCAAAGCGGACACAGTTTACTGAGCGTAGCGTGAATTGCTTCATTGTTTAACTCTTCTGGCTGTTTTGCAGATTACGCATAATTGCAAATCTGTGGTCGGGAATATTTTATTTATTCTTCAGTTCTCAGCACTTGATTGGGTGCTGAGAGTAGTTTTCAGATTTTTCACGGTCAAGATGTCAAAGAATTGCTTCTCAGAAGTTACGAAAAAAAATTGGGCTAAAACATCTTTTATGAAAAGATTTTCCTAGCAGAAGTCTTCCAAGCTAGTTTCATGAGAAAAGTTATTCTATCGAAATTGTGCTTCAGATAATGACTTCGAGAGTATCGGATGTTTTTTGCTAAATTCTCCATGATTACTACAAAAGAAGGCGTATAATGCTTTCTAGTCACTAATGTAGTAGCAAATTGGAACTCTTCTCCTTTGCCGTGATCGTCAAGATTAACTTTATTAGAGTTTTTGTGCATGTATGCCAGCATTTACCAGTGGTGGCAGCGATGTTGAGCAATCAAACCAATATGCAATCTCGACCAATTTTGTAGTGATTTGATTTAGTTGGTTTTATCCAATACTGTTTCTTACATTCTTTTCGACAACTCACGCCACATGTACAGATCTACCTTTCGCAGAAGCAATTTATCTGCCCTCCTTCTCGAGTGTTTATGTGGACAGATCGGTGTCTGAAAGAAACAAGTTCTCTCATATTTCGAGAGAAAGCAATTTTGCCTCGGCTAATGCAGGGACTTCATGGCGTTACACCCCAAGTCGCAAATACAATAAGTTTACGGGCTAATTCTCGGTGGCGCAAAAAACACGCAAAACTCGCACAAGAGCATCCGACCCGAACCCATTTCATCGAAAGAATCGAACGATTTGGGTCACGAAAAACGTCATCTTGTCCTCCTGGTAACGCAAAGAGAGGATTATCCGACCTTGAAGACTCTGACCACTCGATCGATCCGCTGTCATCGACCACCTTACGGTAACCACCTGATTCGGTCTGGCCTCCGCTCTTCGCAGTATTGATTTAATGCAAATCTGTTTGGCCATTATCCTTATGAGGCGTGCAGGTTACTGGCGGAAACGATGGATTCGTATGTTAGCGTTGATTTATTGATTGATCGTGTGTTCATTCCCGGTTTACGCTAAGTATTTCTGGCTGTTTCAGCATTTATTCTCTGAAATTGCAAACGTTCCGTTTATTCTTGTCTTCGTTCATGCATGTCATTTTTTTTCCTCCTCCAAATCTTTCTTTTTGATGTCCAACTCACCTATATCTTGAGACTTATGTTCGTTGGAGTAGAAAGAGTGTTCGCACCTGGTTCAACTGGCTTTCTGATTGTTTCATTCGCAAATGTTTCCAAAACCATTTTACGATCGTCTTGTATTTCCATCAAGTGTCATAGGCTTTTCGTATTGGTCTTTGCCGTCACATTCAAGCTAGGTATTGCAAATTTCGGATTACATGAGACTAAAACTAACACTAAGCTGACTAATGACGAATAATCAGCATCGATTATGATCGAAAAAAACGGATGTTTTATTTAATTGGAATATCTGACCATTCACCCATTGGGGGTGGTGTCGAAAATCTGAACATACTCTTGGACAAACTCGATCTTTTATTTTTCCTTCAAATTTGTTTTCCTGATAATTGAAAATTCAAGCACAATTCATCTATTAGGTGTTTGCGAAAGTCTTTCCCGTTTCTTTGATCGTTCACCAAAACTCTTATTATTGGCGAATCAGTTAGGTATCAGTCAACTCAAATCTGCATCATCTATCAAACAGCTACATTTTCTCTCTGATTGTGCACTTGCGATGTAATCACCGTGGCTCTTAAAGCACTTCAACAGGGTCGGAATCTCCTCTAAAATAATTTTGTTTAATCTGATTCTAAAAGCCTTGGTAGCAAATATGTGGAGAAATGAGTATAACGTAGCCAAAGGCTACGTTATACTCATTTTAAATTACGCGATCATATTTGTGGAGCATGCGGTAGCTTATTTGTTGAGCACGTGTAGCGCATAGGAGTAACGAAATCCGAAATGCTGATTCTTCAAAGCAAGTCAAACTTGACTATTTTGCACAAATGATGTTTAGTAACAATCATCATCAACTTGCAGAAGCTTTGAAGGATCTTGTTTTGCTGCATTTGTCTGTCTCATGAACTTTTATAAAGTCGAGATCTTCAAAAAACTTTTTTTTGCAGTAGATCATAAGAATCTAAGAGCATTACCTTAAAGTCCAAATTTCCCTATACGTCTCATTTTTATCTTTTTCGAAACTCTAGAATAAAGTTTTTGAAAATCAGCCGAAATTTGAGCAGATAGAAATGACAGATGAATTTTGGCGGGTTTTCAAGAAGCTTCATAGGGTTATGGTTCGAAAATGTAACCATCAGAAAGAGAAAGAAAAATTGCATTTAGTGCATCTTTAAACAGTTTCATGTGTTCAATGCAAGATTTTTTATAGTCGTTCGTAAAAAGGGACAAATGTCGTTGCGCTTTGTTTGTTAAGATCTTTTCGATGTTGCAAACTTTGTCAGTGATTTTTCGATTTTGCGGATTTTAAAACTGTGATATTGTAAATTTTCGATAATCCCAGCTTCATTTAGCATGACCGCTTAGGAAAAAGTTATTCATTAGAGCGTTTCAAAATCTTTCTTTATTCCCAGTCGGACACCTTATTTTAAGAGCACTGGTTTACGGGCAAACCTATATCCCATTTGATGCAGCATTCTCCCTTTCTGCGGTTATGTTCTATCCAGTATCTTCGGATCTTCGAAATAAACGCCACACTTCAAGAGCTATCTCGCATGGACAGATCCCGCAAATTTTGAAGTTTAGTTCAACCTTTGGACTATTACAATCAGAGTGTAAATAGCGAACCTTCCGTTATGGGAGTCAGTTTAACCACCTTTTTTCAACAGCTTTTAGCCTCTGTAGAGGGTAATGTTTGAATAGACCTCGCATCTTGATGGTGACTGAACGACGATCAGGTTGATCAAAAACGATGCGTTCCAGGTGCCTCATAATCAGTGCTGCCATTCTTCGCTATTTTTTTATTGCAAAGCGTTGCTCACTAGGAAATACTTCATGCACCACAAAAAAGCCCACTTAATGTCTAGGTTTGCTCTATATAACCAGTACCAGATCCGAGACATATTTGCAAAAATATTCGAGCCAGGCCTGAAGCTTCTTTAGAAAAATGTGATGCTTCAATAGAAGCACAGAATCTGGATTTGAATTCATGCCGGAAAGCTGCATTGAATGCAACGACTTCATTGTGAGATCCAGTAATCGAGTGAAAAAAAATCGAGAGATTTTTTGAGAATGTCTACAATATCTTTTTGCCACTAGGGAAAACCACTTTGCACTGGATCAGAATTCGATTAAGTCGAAAAAACAAGAAACTAATGCCCTTTTTCAAAAAGTGATCTAGCCTTTTACCTATCCTCATTTGTTTTCTTCTTGTCCGGGAGGTGCAGTGTAGGTGAAAGACGCTTGCACCTAAAGGTTTACTTCGTGTTTTCCAATAGTTGAAGGTCTGAAGTGTCTGATGCTTCTTCCATTGCTGATCCATTTGGATAAAGTTCACTTTCTGATAGTATTTGTCCTTCTTAGTGACCGATGATACTTCAGAATACAGTTGGTGGCCTGACTGATAAATAGTAGCACGCTCACCAACTTTGAAGCGTTTGTACAAATTTTACTTGTTCTTTTCTAATTCCAATTTTCTAAATCTTTCTGTCCAGATGCATTGCATCTATCATTTTTTTGTACAGCGTTGCAGCGTCAAACATGCTACTTATCTGGTCACCCAAAAATTTTGAAATCGCTTTACCTGAATTCATCTAAATTTCTAACGGCCTCGATGTTTCTTATTTTTATCGTCGTAACAGATGATAATGCAAAAGTTCACTTGCATCTTGCTTCCGAGAAAAGGAATGCATGCGCGTCATGCGTCACTGAAACAGAAATTACGTCAAGATGGGTGCGCACCATCATTACGTACTTTTCACTGAACCGTTATTGTACAGCTCACTTCTGTAAAAATTTGAAAGGCAAAACATTGCAAAAAGTGTTGGTCTGTTATTTGTTGGTCCACATTTTGGAGTTCTAATGTAACTTTTTTGCTTTTGATAATAAGGCTGCTGAGTTTGTTTTTAAGCTGATGATTCGATAAATCTAAGGTGAAATCCAAAGTGTCTTTTCCCTTTCTTGAGCAACTACAAGAATTACTGAGTTTTCATCACATTATTTTCGTTCAGCTATACTTTCAATATTTTCTCAAGCTCTGTAGTAAACAAACTTTGAACTTATAGGCGGCCGGAAGTAAGGGAAGGTCGAATGAGGGAATCCAAAAATGGTCTACATGAGATATGGACTCGTGTTTGACATGTTTCTGACTGTATATATCAAAATAATTGTCAAATCTATGAAAACTTAAATTTGCGTTATAAAAAAAGATTTTCCGTGGAGCATTTTGAAGTAAGAACTTTTGGAAATTTTGGATTATGCGCTCCATGTGCTCTAATAACTGAGGTTTTCCTCAAGCAAATATTGATGACAGGCTTCACAAAGTGGGTCCAGGTAATCTGAATGAAGAGAATATAGCCGAAGGTGTACTCAACATGACAGTGACTCGTACCAAAAGTATTTCCGGTTTCTTTCGAACAAATGCTTCCACGGAACAAAGATCCATAAAAGATTTTGGTAGCATCCAACAATTTTTTCATACTTTTCAAATAATTAACAAAAATCTGGAAGACCATGGAACCATGGGTGGCATTTCTAGTAATTTTTTTTTGGGATCTCGTTTGTTGAACTGCATTATAAAGATAATCGTTTGAAAAGACATAAAAAATGCGTCGAATGCTTCCAAGATCTTCGTAAAGCATTGTTTTGCGGAAGCGCTTGTTCAAAAAAAAAAGTCAAAATACTTCCGGGACGATCCAATAGTTGAAAGCGCTCTTTGGCCAGCATAAAATTTTCTAAAAATTAGAGGAAACTTGGGGTCGCTGTTAGATTGCAGAGCCATGGCGATA